TTAAGAGAAGAAACGAAACCTTAAAAAAGAAAATTTAAATTTCTAATTTTATTACGCAATATATATTATATTATGAATTGTAACCGTTTGTAAATGTTTAAAAAGTTAAAAAAAAAAATTTCCATTAGCTTCTTTCTCTCTATCTATATATACCCTTCAATGTCAACTTTCCTGCATTGCATTTTTTTTTCATTGGGCAAATCTATCCATATTTCTGTTTACACACACAATATATATGCACACAATGCAAATGAAAACTTATACCTGAACACAAAACAATCATTTTTTTTGTTGCTTGATTTCAAATGTTTACTAAATAAATTATATAAAAATTTTTTTTAAAAAATTTAATAAAATATAAATGATATACATTAATATTATTTCATTCATTTCATAGGTAAATTAGTAAATGAAAAAGATTGAGTGAGAGAAACATAAAAAAAACGGCAATTGAATCGGGATTTCTACAATTACATTTCGCAAACAGTGAAAAAACAGTGCCTTATTGACAGTGAAACAGCAATCCAAAAAACCTAAATCACTCGGGGTTTTTTTCCCAATTTGTTTGTTTGTTTGGTTGGTTGGTTGGTTGTCGAGAATTTCAATCAAACAAAAATGAAATGAATAAATAAATAGATTGACTAAATTACAAATAGGAAAATTGAATGAAACTAAACGACCAAAACCAAATATTATTATTATTATTATTATTATTTTTGTATATGAATAAATAAATAGACGAAAAATTCATCGATTTTCTCTTCTTTCTCTTCTCTCTATCTCTATCTCGTTCGGGTGATGCATTTCACAGAATATATCTTTCTTTCTTTTTTTTTGTTGTTGTTGTACCGAGAATCTTATGAACTTAATTTCATTTCACTGTGTGTGTGTTATCAGTAGTTTTGTTTTTGTTTTTTCATTCATTCATTCATCATTTATTGATGATTAAATTTTGGTTGTTGTTGTTTAATTTATATACATATATGTGTGTTTGTAAACATGTATAAATTCTTACATTATCTTTTTTTTTTTGTTTTGTAAATACTTTTTGCATTTACACACACACATACAGACAGAGAGATAAACTTATCAATCGAATTCTGTTTTGGTTTATTCATGAAACCTTGGTGCAAAAGAATTGAAAAGAATTTCTTTCGACATTGTCAGATTGTTGTTGTTGTTTTCCTTGGTGACCACCAAAATTACATACTAATGTCTTTTCTAAACTAATCAATATACTTTCTTACCCAAAGAAAAAATTTAATTCATTATCCACTTTGGTAATAGTATTGTATCCATACAAACAACAACAACAACAAAATGGACATCAATATCAAATCTATCAATAGGTTTCTTAGCTATGATGCAAATAAGAAATTTAATCAAAAATCTATGATTATAATGAATTTAAAAGAAGTTTTTTTTTCCATGGAATTTGAATGGAATCAAGCTTTTATCCATCTTACTTAACTTGATAATAAGATTTATATTATCTTCTTCTTCAACAACAACAATTTCTCCATTGAACAAGAATTTTGACTTTGAAATATTATGGATGTTTTTTCTGTTTTGTTTTGTTTTGGTTCAATAGTATCTATCTTGTTAGTATAGCAATATACAACCAAAAAAGAAAACAAACATTGAAAAAAATACAACACTTTCAGATCTTGATCATATCGTTTTCTATGGTAACAATTCAATGTAATGTTGTTGTTTTTTTCATCATCTATTTATTTTGCTATTTGCTGCTTTAATCGATTTTTTCTTCTTCTTCTTCTCGTTACTTACCAATATACCAGAATAAGCAGAAAAGACTTATGCTATTTGGCCTTTTTATCCAAACAAAAAAAAAGCATATACAGAAAATAGAGACTTTTTTTCAAATAGCAACATCATCATTGGCCATTTGGGCCAAAACGAAAAAAAAAATTCGCTTAAATAAATTTATATTCTTCAGCCATTGATGAGCTTATGATTATGTTTGATTTTTCCAGCAAGACTCACTACATATTGACATTGTAACATTGAAAATAATCTTCAAGATTAAAGTTTTTTTGTTTTGTTTTGTTTGTTGTTTTGTTGCAAATCGATTTGAATCCAGTCATATATAGGAACAGAGAGTTCAGCATATGTGTGTGTATTGTTTATCATCAGAATGTGTAGAAAAAAAAGAAACATATACAAAAAAAAAGCCAAATGTCAAATACACCAGATTGCTACAAAATTATGATGAATGATCACCATAAGAATAATGAGGGAGAGGATTTTTTTGGGATTTTTCTTAACAGAAATGTTACAACAATACATATGATACTCAAACACAATGTACCGAAAGAGATTAAACGAACAGGTGAATTATTTTAAGTAAAACATAATAATAATAATAATAATTTATCTGGTTGGGTTATGAATATTAAATTATTATATTCTTCTCATTTTCTGTTCTGTTCTGTGTTCTGGTCTGGTTTCATTGAAACAGAAACATTTTTTGGTTGATTATCGAATCTTTTTGTTTGGGATTAATAAATTTGCTGCTGCTATGTCAGAAGTTTGGATTTTTTTTTTTTTTTTTGGTGCAAAAACTTTTATCCCAAAAACTGAAAATCATCATTAAATTATATCAGCATTTTTTGGTCCTATGATAATGATACAGAAAACTTTTTCTTCTTCCATCTTTATATCCCATAAAATTGTTGTTCGTTTTTGCAAAAAATATGATTGCAAACGAAGAGGGAAAAAAATCAATGTTTTTTTTGTCCAAAATGATTGCAATAATCAATCCCTTTTGTTGTTGTTGTTGATTCTGGTTATTCACAAACACACACACATTTACCAGTTACGATAATCGAATTGAATTGAATTGGATTCAATTCAATTTAATTTTATGATGAGCAATAATATTAACAACATTGGCCAGTATTGACAATATTGACCAAATTCCATACAGAATGATTAGAATTTTGTGTGTGTGTGTGTATGTTTTCCTATTTATCCAACAAGGAGAGAACGAATTACTGTCCAAATTTTATTGCATATATTCAATTGAATTGAATTGCATGTTTGTTTGTTTGAAGCGGATGAAGGGGAAAAAAACAACCGAAACGTTTATGTTATTATCATGGAATGAAATTGGGATTCACCACACACACACACACAACCGAATTTCATTTGCAAAATAACAAATTTCTTATTTGTATTTCTTAGAATCGGGTGTTTGCTGTCTTAATAATAATCAATGTGTGTGTGCGTTGTATGTCTGGCACATTCAATTCATGGTTAATGTGATTTGATCACTTGGTAACTGGTAATGTTATGAAAATATTGCGTGTATGTGCATCTGCATGTATATTTTTCATTCAATTAAAACCAATCTTATGACATTTTCCAACAACAGAAAAAAAAAATGTTTGTTTGTTAATTGATTTAAATTTATGATACAATAAGAAAAGCCTGAAGAATAGTGTTGTTGCAATAATAAATCCCTGTGTGTTAAAATTAATAAAAAAAAGTAAAATTTTCACCCTTTTTTTCTTTTGCTGTCGCTATCAATTTGAATATTCAATTAACATTGTCTTTGTTGATATTTGTGACCAGAATTTGTTTTAGTTTGCAAACTTTTTTTGAAAACTATCACTTGACAAATTTTAAATGAAATTTATTATTATTTTGTTTTTTTGCTTTTGCATGGATTTAAATCTCATTAAAATTTCAACCAAAACAAAGAGAAAAAAGAAAATGTTTGAAAATCCAAACATAAATTATAACAATTCGGTCGGTCGTTCAACTAAAACAAACGAAATAAAATGAAATAAATGAGCATAGTTGATGAATAGGGATACTGGATTTATTTCATTTAATTTAGGTATAAAAATAAAAAATAAAAGTTCACTTGGTTAGATGAAAATCATAAATTTCGTTGTTGTTGATAACAAAACATTCATAATTTTGTTTTACCTTGTGGGCAATCTCATTATACATTCATTCATTTATGTATAACGTCTGTGAGTGTTTGGTATCCTGTATCCAGTATTTCAGAGAATATTCTCGATTTTTTCTTTCTCTCCCCCGAATGATAATGATGAAAAATCATCTTGATTTTGTTCAATAGAATATTGAAACCAGGGAGATTCTCGATAGAAAATAATCACATTATGAAGTGCCAAATATTGCTGAATCATCATCATCATTGTTCGGAATATAATTCGTTTTTCCAGAAAAAAGAAAAGATTTTGTTATTCAAAAAAATCTTCGATTATGTAGTCGATTGAATGTCAATCGTGTGTTCGCTAATTTAAGCAATTTTTTTTTGAATTTTAAATTTTTTTATGTTGTCGAATGATTCGTGTTTATCGATCGATTCAACTAACAACAACAACAACAACAGAAATTCACTTTATTTGCAAAATTCAATTCAATCATGATGTAAACTTGTTTGTTTTTTTTCTTTTCATTCAGGTCATTCTGTGACAAAACAGAAATTTTTTTTCGCTAGGTTATTTCCGTTTTTTATTTCGCTGTTTTCACACACCAAACATTTTTCGATTAATAATGTCTATGGAATTTTCGTTTACGTTGTTTGAACGAATCTTTGAATGTTGTTTGGAAAAAAAAATATTTTAAAAATAAACTTTTTCTTTTCTTCATCATCATTGTTCTTTTGGGTGGGCTACTGTTTTTTTTTCTTGGTTGTCAATTCTTCAATTTGATTGAATAAATAGAAAATCGATGTGTATAGATCGGAGGAAAGAAAGAAAGAAAGAAAAAATCCACAACAAAGCTAAACTAAATTGTTATTCTGGATTTTCTTCATTTTTTTTTGCTTGAAAAAATATTCAATGTTTGTCATCAGCAAACAAATTTTTATGTTTACCAAACCTGTACCCAAGGATTTTAGTTATTTTCAGGAAAAAGAAATGCAATTTTCCATAGAAATATTTTTCTGTATTCCAATTTGATTGTAATTTGATTTCTGTTTTTTCCTTTTTGTTTGATTATTTTAGTTCCAAGATTTGATCTCAACAAACCTGAAGATGGTTTTCATGCTATCGTCAAAGAAAATGATCGTACAGTAATCATTTCACCAAGGATTAAAGTTGTCGATGGTTAGTATTTAATCTATCAATCAATAAAAACATTTTTTTTAATCATAACAAAAATTTTCATTCAAAATTCCGTTTACTTCTATTATAGCTGAATTATGTAATATTGAAATTGTAAACAAACATCATAATGATATACCATTCGAAATACAGATTACCGATCAGCTTAATGGTGAAGCTATCATTATCGCTAAACGCGATCTTAACTGTGAGAAAAAACGTTCTTATCATTTTACAATGCGAGCTGTATCATGTACTGGACAATATTCAGCCAAGTAAGCTAATTTTTATGATTAAAATAAAATTTTTCCCCCCATTAACAACAAATGAAATTGAATTATTCTATAATTTCTTCATCCCAATCTCACTAGCACTACTGTACACGTAACAGTTGAAGATGTTAACGAATTTGCACCGGTTTTTCGACAAGATTCTTATGTTGTTACAGTAAATGAAGGACGTATTATTGATCCAATAATACAAGTAGAAGCAATCGATCATGATTGTAGTCTAAAATATAGTGAAATTTGCAAATATGAAATTATTGGCGGTGACAAACTAAACACACCATTTACAATTGATTCAAATGGAAATATCAAAAATACAAGAGCATTGTATTATAAAGAATCACATAATCATATTCTTGAGATTGTTGCTTATGATTGTGGAATGAAACGATCGAAACCTGCCATTGTTAACATTAAAATTAACAAAGTATGCACATTAGGTTGGAAAGGTAAGTGTACAATAAAAAAAAATATCATCAATCAAATATGTCAAACAAATAACAAAAAGAAAAACCTGGGGACAATTTACCATTTTATTAATTTCTATAATAAAATTAATCAATTTTTCATTTTTTTTGGGTTTAGGTATACCTGAACGTATGGAATATATACCAGGATCTGGTTCAAGAGTTTTGGTTCCGGATGCTGAATTACAGTTGTGTGATTTTCCATGCGAAACTGAAAATGTTACTGTTCGTATGTCATTGGCTACACATCATATTGGTAAAGGTTGTGATCGTGATACTTATTCAGTTGAATCTCAAAGAAAACTTTGTGGTAAGTTTTATTCATAATCATCATCATCATCATCATTCTTATTTTATAAATTTGCTGTCATTATTTTTGTAATCGATTCGAATTACTTGATTTTTTTTTATAATTATTATTATTATTATAAACAGGAGCTACTGTAGAAAGTATCGATCTACTTCCATCACCAACAACCGGTTCAGAATGGATACGTGATTTACCTACTGACGAAGGTCGTGAAAGTGATCAAATTTATGAATTTGATGGTACCAATAATGCTGTTATTGTTCCTGAAAATGTTTTCGATCATAATTTGACTAGTAAATTTACAATTTCTTTTTGGATGAAACATGAACCACCATTAGATCAATCGAATAAACACATTAAAGAGCACATTATTTGTAATGCAGATGATCATAGTAAGTGTTTCAATTGGTCCATAATCTATAGATCAGTGTTTCATTTTTTTTGGTTATGTTTTTTTTAATTTGCAGAAAAAAATCGCCACCACTATTCTTTATTTGTTCGCAATTGTCGTTTGATATTATTGCTTCGTAGAGAATTTGATGAAGAAAAACATACTGTTTTCAAACCAGCTGAATATCGATGGAAATTGGCACAAGCTTGTGACAATGAATGGCATCATTTTGCAGTCAGTATGGATTTTCCGGATGCAACACTTTTTGTTGATGGTATAAGATTTCATAATAGTTCATCTAATCCAGAAATTGTTGATGATTGGCCACTTCATGCTGTAAAAGATGTCAAAACAACATTTAGTGTTGGTGCATGTTGGGAGGGTAAAAAATCGAAAATGAATTTTCATTTTAGAGGATTTCTTGCCGGATTAACATTACTAAGAGGACAGACAGAAAATGCAGACATTTTTAAATGTCTTCATCATTGCAAAGAAGGATTACGACAACCAAGTTCAGATTCAATTGATACTGGTATTGATATTCTTTCAAGTGGTGATTCTACTTCAATTATGGTTACAGGAAAAGAATCGATCGATGTTGAAGATGTTGTTTCACAAATTTCTTATATTAATTCAAGAGAATATCCAACACCTGGTAGACGTAGCTTAAAGATTTCCACCTGGGTGACGTATGTGATTTTTTTTTGTTAATATTTCCACTAAGAAAAAAATAACTTTTTTTTGCTATGTTTGTATAATGATGTTCATAGATGTTCTAATGGTAAAAAGATAAAAGTTCCACAAGTGGACACCTACGTTATGGTAATGCCTGCCGATCCTCCAATCATTCTGATTAATGGAACACCTAATTTGGCTCGTGAATATGAATCATTTATGCAAGGAATTGAATTATTTTCATCTGTTTCCATATATATCAATCAGGAAAATGAAAATGAAAATAATGAATCGGATAATGATATTAATGAAGATAATAATGATGATGATGAAATGAATAATGTTCCACCAAGTATAGCAAAACTTATTGGTGAACATAAATTAGATAGTTGTAGTATTAAAGTCTATCCACCATTAAATCCGGATCATGAATACTTTAGACTACCGAATCAAATGATGTTAAATCTTAATATTCGATATAAAGAAACAAAAGATGGAATAATTATCTATGGTAAATTTTTTTCTTATTGTTTTTCATTATTATTAATATGCTTACTCATCAAAATTATATGATTTGTTTTTTCATTTATAAAAGGCGCGGATTCTGTTCATAATTACAACCAAATAATTCGACAACTAATATATTTTAATCGAAAACCGGCATATTATCTGAATCGAGCATTTAAGCTGACATGTTCAGAATTAAATAGACGTTTTAGTAGTAATGATTATATACAAACATTGACCGTAATACATCCAAAAATTGAACCAATGGAATCTAGATCATCATCATCATCATCATCATCCGCATCAGCATCAGCAAGTGGTATTGGTGTACAAACATTTGCAGCACATTCTCATATCAATGAACATAAGGTCGAATTAAAAGAACCACTTATCAAAAGTACAGCTCATTTTTTCGATAATAGCATCACAGTTGATCCTAATGATAGTTTTGTTCGAGCAACACCAAGTATGTATTATATAAATTCTTGATCTATTTAATCTATTTTAACTATTATATCCATCCATATTTATTCATTTTATTTTCTTTTTCTTTCCTTTTTAAAAAAATAAATAATGTTCAGGTCACGCAGTCACCATTATAATTGTAGTTTGTGTAGGATTTCTTGTTTTTATGATTGTTTTGGGCGTCATACGGATTCGATCGGCTCATCATCGTAATAATGATTCAACAACCGAAGATCAAGAAATGGCATGGGACGATAATTCATTGAATATTACTGTTAATCCTCTTGATGTATGTATTTTGGATTGTTTTTTTTGCTATCATTTTATTTTTTAGTTAATATGTTCAGTAGAAACAAAAAAAAAATGATTTATCATAATTTGAATTTAATATATTCTTTCTTTCATTTCCCTTGATTATAGCAAATTGAACAAGAAAATGAAAATCCACAATTAAACGATGATGATGATGATAGCGATAGTTCGGATGATGCAAGCAGTTATCATGAAGATTGTGAAACAAGTGAAGAAGAAGTGGACAAAACTAATAAAAACCGTTCAGAATTAGAATGGGATGATGCTAATTTCTAGTTTTTTTCAACAACAGAAAAAAAATCAAATTTTCAACAACCATCGAGCATAAACAGCCTCTCTTCATTTTTAACACATAGTACATTATATATCACTTTTATCGATATCTATATCAATTTTATTTGTTGAATGCAAAATTATTATTATTATTTTCGTAATAATTTCGCTTGATCATTTTTTTTCTCAGCTTTCTTTTTCCTCTACTGTTTGTGTGTTTGATTGATCAATTTCATCTCTTTCTCTCTTTCTCTCTCTTTCTTATTACACTTTTATCTTATTTGTAAATATCACACAAAATATATGATAAATTTGACAGCTTCAAAATGATGAAGAAAAAAAAATTCTACAATTTTAAAAGTTTAAACCAGGAAAATTCTCGATATATATAAAAAAAAATCGATTCTCAACCACAACCGATAATGACCACCATCTTATCTCGAACGATATGATTACGTTATGATTGTATTTTTTTTAAAAAAGCAAAAAACAAAAATATAGAATATTCTTGAATTTTTCTTTTTCAACCATTATCATTACAGTGAAAAAACAAACAAACAGAGAACAACAACAACAAAAAAAAACAACTCCCTTGTTTTGTTTTGTTTCTGGATAGAAAATAGCATAAAAATCTTAGGGTTTTTTTTGCCTGATTATTCTCTCTCTCTCTCTCTCTATCGCTAACTATCTTAACGTTTGTTCTTCTTTGTGCCATATTCATCGAATGATATCATTTAGATAATGATGAGATTTTGTATTTTGTGTTTTTTTTTATTTTATTTATCTAGTTCAATTACCACCATTGACATTTAACATACACATATAGACAACATACACGGACAAATAAACAAAACGAACCCATCCACCACCACCAAAACCACTACAAGCACCACCAGCGGCCATGTTTTCTTGTTTAATATTTGTTGTTTTTTCATTCTGTTCTGTTTTCTCTTTTGGTCTAGTTATTTTATTTCACTATCGCTTATTTTTTTTCTTGAACGTTATTTCACAATCGTTATCGGTATATTCATTTCCTTCTTTCTTTCTTTTTTGTTTTATGCCTTGTCTTATCCCATATTTTTTTTTGTTTGTTTGTTTTGATGAACACACACACACAAACACCAAATAAACATCTTTTATATAGAGAATCGTGTTATTTTGCCATTTATATGTTGAAAAAAAATCCCATTTGATTGATTTTTAATCAAAAATAACAACAACAACAAAAAAAACTGTGTGAGTGTGTAAATCGAATATTCTTTCTTTTCTTTTCTTTTTTTTCTGCTATATCCACCTCATAAACAATGAATTTTGATCGATCCATTTCCACTCTACCATATATGTTTTACGATTGATATTTTGTGTTTACTTTAAATCTCCTGTCACATATCTGATTAATCATTTTCTTCGTAAAATTCATTTTTTTTTTCTTTCTGATAATTTCTAAAATAAACTTATCACACACACACATTAACCGGAAATATAGGTTCGAAGAAGATTTTTAGTTTCAACTTACATACACACATCACACACGAACACTTACAATTTATGTTTGTTTGTTTTCTGTTAACATAAAGAATTTTTTTTGAAATTTTTGACATCCGCACACAATTATGCAAACACCAAATACACAGAAAAAACATTATTATTTCAACAGAGAATAAACAACAACAACAGCAAAAACTAAAACAGGTCACATTCATTCCATTTCACATTATTAATTAATAATAATAATTTATAATGATTATTATTTTGAAAAATAAAAATAAAAATTTTAATTTTGACAAAAAAAAGAATGGTTTTGGTATATTTGTTCATTCGATGATTCGATGATTCGATGATTTTGGTTGATAATGAAAAAAGTTTTTCAGGCTAGTTATCATTATTTTTTTGGTATGTTTGGTTTGGTTTGGTTTGGTTTGAAATTAATCTAATCTAATCATTGGTTCAGCAGTTGATTATCAATTTTTTTTTCGATATAAACGATGCATTTTGCGTTCGTTAGTTGCACACGTTGTCATCATTTGTTGATAAATGAAATTGTTCAAATGCGGAGAATAAAACACAGAAAAAAAACAGAATAGAAAAAAATGGTTAATCGGATATACGGAAATCAAAAAACAAACTACTAGACCAGTTGAAAATGAAAAAAATGTTATTTTTCAATTTCCGAAGATTTTGTAAACATCATCAACAACAACGACGTCGACAACAACAACGTTTTATTTTCATTTATTCATATGGTTGGTTGAAAATTGTTACAATTTTATTTTTTCTTCTTGTTTCATTATACATTGTTATTGATGTAAGTTAAAAGAATTTGATTGAATAATTTTCTTTTATTACAAATAAAAAAACTTTACAATAAATATACTAAACGGAGCCGATTTTCATTTTATCCTTTTGTTGATAGATTTTTCTAATCAACAATAATTTATTTGAATTAGTACCATTGAAATCTATTACAAACATTGATGATATACAGAAAAATTCACAATTTGACAATAATGTGGTCAATGTCGATGTCGATGTCGATGTTGTTTACACATGGGTGAATGGAAGTGATCCAAATTTATTTCATTCATTATTCAATCAAACAAATCAATTATTTATTAATGAATTATCTCAATCATGTACAGCAGCAGCAGCAGCTCCTGTTTGTGATGATCATTATTCTTATTGTATTCATTTGCCTATCGTAATTGTTCGACCTAAAATAATAACCCGAACGAATAATTTTCCAATGAAAAATGTTATTCGATTTGAACATGACAATACTTTATCGGACAACAACAACAACAGCAACTATACAATATTGTTTTTTTCCGATATAAAATACGGTTTGTTTTTCATTATCTCTTTTTTTTGTTTTTGTTTTTCTTCTTCTTCTTCTTCGGGATTCTTAATTAATCAAAAGTTTTTTGTTTTTTTGTTTTGTTAACATCATTATTCTTTCTGTTTTTACTATAGTTCGTGAATTTTATTCCGATTGTATTCGTATTATCGATGGAACAATTTATAAATTTTCACCAACATTTATAATGTCGACAAATGATCAGAATAACAGTACAATTAAATTGGATTCATTGTTAATGCTTCGAACAAAAATAACTTCTCTTAACAATCAACAAAATCATGATCCATTATTCAAATATTTGGATTTTATTGAAAGATCCGATTTTCAATTTCTTAATTTAAGTTTAAATGAAAATTTAACGAAAATTTATTTATATACAAAATTGAATCCAAAAATCAACATTACAAACATAATTACAAAACTTAAATCTTTGACAGATTTTGAATTACATTATCCAATCAATCTACAAATTACAGATCATTTATTTTTCAAACGTCAATTACAAACAAACGAAAATATAGCCAAAAATCGATTTTTTGACAATGATGAATTAAAATATTCGTTACGTTCATTACATCAATATGCACCATGGATTCGTTATATTTATATAGTGACCAATGGGCAAATTCCCAATTGGCTTAATTTGGAACATCCTAAAATACGAATAATAACACATCAAGTATATTTATTTATTCGCCATGATTTCTCATTCTTCATCATATTTTCATTTTCGTAATTATAAATCTTATATTCGTTCGTTTGTTTGTGTGTTATATATAGGAGATTTTCGTGAACCAAAGTCATTTGCCAACATTCAGTTCATCGGCAATCGAATCTCATATCCATCGTATCAAAAATTTATCAAAATATTTTCTCTATTTCAATGATGATATAATATTGGGCAAATCAATCTTTTTGGATGATTTTTTTACAAAAAGCAGAGGATTTCGTATCTATCTATCATGGCCAGTGCCTAATTGTGCCAGCGGTTGTCCACTCAATTGGCTGAATGATGGTTTCTGTGACAAAGCTTGTAATTCATCACGATGTCTTTGGGATGGTGGAGATTGTTTGAACAATACAACAATGCAAACACAAACCCAACAATCGAACAATAACGAAATCAATCAAAAATCAAATGTTCGTCCATTCTATTGTGCTACAAATTGTATAACTAATTGGCTGGGAGATTCTTCCTGTGATCAAGTTTGTAATAATACTGATTGTGCATTCGATATGGCCGATTGTGGTGTGGATAATTTTCAACAATTTTATCAGATCATAATTGAAATCGATAAATACGAATATTATTATCCATCGAATGCTAGCATAATCTATTTGAATTTTACTAAACTTAATGATTATCGTTATGATAGTCGATCATTTCCAATTAAGATTATCGATATCAGTTATAATGTATCATTTATACATAGTGCCGTTTTAAATGAACATTATCGAATTTTAACATTAATGTTTGAACAGAATATAGTGAAAGGTGATTTGAATCTAAACTTAACAGCATCGTTTCGGAAAAAAATTTTCAATTTTAACATTTTCATTCACTGTGATGTTATGATAACGAAAACGTTAATAAATTATACATCATCATCACCATCATTTTTCAATTTAAGTTTAATGATTAATGAAGAAAAACTAAGATATTCGAATATTCTTGAGGAAAGAAAACGACGTCGTTATTCGAAACATCATTCAACCATATCGTGTGGAAATGATTTACAAGATATTTCAGATGAAATTAGTTGGAAATTTCATAAAATCGACAATCATCAAGGATTTGATTATGAACAGAAAAAATTTTATTCCAAAGTAAAAAGCTTATATCATCAATTAATTTGTGATGCAAATTCAAATTTAAATGAAATGAAAGAAAAATTATCCGAATATTTTCAAAAAAATTCGGATGAATTTGTTCGATTTAGATCAAGAAAACTTTTGGATGCTTATGCTGATTCATTGATATATGTGAATCATATTTATAATAAAGAATTTGGTATCGAAGTACGAAAAGTTCCAGCTCATATGGCACATTTTATGGATCGAGATATAATGTTTCGATTACATGATCGTTTTGGAGATGAATTTGAAAAAACTTCATCACATAAGATTCGAAACAGTTTTGATATGCAATTAGCATTTGCTTATTATTATTTCTTAATGAGTGAAACAAAAGACGTGAGCTTCGAACAAATCATTACCAGTTATGATATCGATCATTCTGGGTATGTATTTTTTTAGGATTTTTTTTTTGTGTTCTTTTCACTTTATATTAATAATAATATTGTCATCAGAACTTTGAATCGAAATGAATTACAAACATTGGCCCTTCAAATTTATCATAGAAATAATGCTTCAAATGAACTACAGAATCATTTGAAAGAATGCTGTACCAGCTGTGATTGGATCAATGATACACAATCAATGGTAATGTTACTTATTGAAAGAATTTTGATAACTATTTTTTCTTTTTTCTTTTTTTTCTTTCTCATATTTATTAAGAATTCAATAAATTTGAACATTGAAATTCTACAAAAGTGTTCATCATTGATGGAGCATGTTGTCAATAAATTCGGCAGAATAAAAGTTAATAAATATGAAATCATTAATGATGATGATGTCGCATTCAAGATGTTACGTTCAAATCGAACATTACTCGAAATGGAATTAGATGAATTACGTATTAAGCGGAAAAAATTCATTTGTCTAAATGACAATTTTGATCATGATAATCATGATATAAAGGAGAAAAAAGAATTAAACAATATATTGAATAATTTTTATTTAAGTTTATTTCCATATCCATCACCATTTGAATTGAATGAACATTTTCAAAATCCATTTCTACATATTGATCAATATCGAAAATGGAAAAATCATAACAATTGGATTTATGATAATTTTTTCAAATTATTTTTTACATTTAATACAATGTTAATTATTTTAATTTTATTATTATTTAAACTTATCAAAAGAAATCGATTTAATTAATTAATCAATGAATGTTTAATTTTTTAATCATTATCATCACCAGTCTACTAACTGGAATTTATTTTTTATTTTTCTAATTGCAACATTATTATTTATACAATAAAAAGAAATTTATAAATCTGTTTCATCAATTTCCGTAAGGAGATTTTTTTCTTCAAAAAAATTTTTATAAAATTCTATTGTTTCACGTTTACGTTGTACAGTTATGTAGGGATTTTGTGATAAACCTAACAATACTAGTTCCATAAATTGTCGAACTGGACCATGTTGAGGAAATCCGTTCAATAGATTATCTAATAAAACGTGATCATAAAATGGTATCGATTCTTCGTGATCCAAACCTATTGAAATTGTTATTTTTTTGAAAAAAAATAATAACATCCGAATTTTTTTAATCATTTTTTCAACACAATTACCTTGTTCATTATCGATTGGATATTTCCACATTTTTCCATCATCAGTCAATTTGATCATTTCTTCGAAAAAATTTTTCGGTGGCCTTTCAAGAAATAATTCCAATTCTCGTTCAGCCAATTTATGCCATAAAGAATTTTTATAAGTTTGATCGGTTAGATATATTCCTTTGGGATCGAAAATTGAGAGACATTCATTGGAAAATAAAGATTTTGATCGCTTTCGATAAGGTCTAGATTGATCCGAAAAATCCGAAAACGAATCTTGAGGAAGTTTAATTCTAACCACTTTAGAAGTGGTACCAATTTGATCATCAAATTTTTTCGATTCAGTTTTACTAGACAAAATTTTGTAGCTTATGCTTTCAGTTTTATCTTCTTTTGAGGTCATCATATTTTTTCTAATTTCAAAATTACAAATTTAAATCAAATTTTTCAATTTGAATACAAACTTACGCTGCTTCGGCAGTTTCTTTTCGTTGTTTTTGTATCGAACTTAAAAGTTCTTTTTCTGTTTGTTTGGACGAATGTTTAGGCATGCGATTAGCAACCCTTCTGGCTGCATCGACAAGTCTTTTGTCCAAACCTCGAGCCAAACTGTCAACAACAACAAAATGATTAAGAAACGATTATAATCATTTTAGAAATACTTACATTTCCATTGGTTCGAGATCTTCAACAACCTCAACCTTTTCTTTTGATCGTGCACTTTGTCGCACATGAATCTTAGGCTTAGCAATCGTTTTATTGATCGTATCTTTATCATTCGGACTAATTGATTTAAATGATTCAATCTTTTTCTCTAATGATTTTAATTTTTCATTCCTATCATCTTTAACTTTAATTGTACTAGATTTCGGAGATTTTTTTGCTTTTTCTTGAACATTATCTTGTTTATCATTTGTATTGTTTTTGTCACTTGATAAAAAACGAATCTCTTTTCGTAATAATGCTGACCGATAAACCCTAAATGAATGTTTAAGAAACATTATAAGAATTAATATATTTTTAAAAATGTTATCCACTAAGAATTTTAAATCAATTCTGTTCAATTGAAGTTAAAAGATCTGCAGATGTGCATGCCATATGTGTGTGTGTATATGATATATATACATTGGAATACGTTTGGGTAGTATCCAAAAGGTGAAAATAGAATAAAAAAAAAGATGTGTGTTTTTGTGTGCGGTGCAATGTGTTGATGATCTGTCGCGTTTTTCTTTCCATTGCTTACTTGTTTCATGATCATTGATGGTTGCGGCGGCACATGCCGTTGTTTTATTACAGTTGTTGAGTTGATGCGCGCATTGTTTTTTTTTCTGGATATATCATCACCAAAAACGTATATCTTTGTCGATAATTTATTTCCGAATTTCTATTAATCCATGTGCTTTTGAATAAATTGCTTCATAATAATTAATCGATTGATCGATATATTTTTCATCCTCAATCCTTTTATTCGACCTAATAAATTTTGATCAATTGACGATTTTGTACGATTCCTTAACTATTTTCTTTAAGTAATTTAAAAAAACGCCACAATGGATATTGTAAAATTAGCCGAGATTTTCAAAGGTACTCTTGATGGCAATTATAATCAAGCAGAAAAACAACTTGATGAGGTAATTATTAATTTGTTGAGTTGATTTCACTTGACTTAGATTATCTATTTCATAGATTCATAAAATCATCGGTTTCTTACCAACCGTACTTCAAATTGTTATGGAATCAAACATTGAATTGCCGGTCAGACAAGCAGCCGTTATTTATTTCAAAAATGAAGTTTTCAATTATTGGCAAGAGAAAGAGACGAAAAATAATCATGTGCCATTCAGCATACACGAACAAGATCGGGCTTTAATTCGTAATTCAATCATCGATGCTTTGGTACTTTCTACTGATGTCATTCGAAATAGTTTAGCAATGGCCCTCAATTATATCATAAAATATGATTTTCCAGAAAAATTGGTTGTCACCGATAAAATTGTTCTCTATTTACAGATGCCTGATCCAAACAAATGGATGGGAGCGTTAATTGTTTTGCTAGAATTAGCAAAAAATTATGAATACAAAACTAATATTAATAAGGCACCATTGTTGGATGTTATGAAAATTCTAGGTCCAATCCTTTACAAAATGATGATGGAAATTCTTCCAGATAATTCAGAACACATGGTGTTGATGCAAAAAACGATATTAAAAATTATTTTCATAATTACTCAATATTCATTACCATTAACTCTCTTTACTGAAGAATTTTTTACAAAATGGATGGAAATCATTCGACAAGTTTTGGATCGTCCAGTGCCTGCAGAAGTTAACAATTACGATATCGAAGAACGTTATGAATTACCATGGTATAAGGCTAAAAAATGGGCATTGCATATTGTTGTTAGAATATTCGAACGTTATGGCCCTTCAAAAAGTCAAAGTAAAGAATACAAACATTTTGGTAGCTGGTATATGGAAACATTTTCCATGGGAATGATTCAGGTGATATTAAAATTATTAGATCAATACAATCAGAAAATGTATCTACCACAACGAGTTTTACAACAATGCATCAATTATTTAAATACATGGTTAGTATTTGAATTCCATTTTACTATATTTGCCATTTTCTTTATTTTCTTATTTTTTTCATTTAAAGTGTGGAACATCTTTTCACTTGGAAATTATTGAAAACAAATATTTCTCAAATAATTGAAAAAGTCATTTTTCCATTGCTGTGTTATACGGATGAAGATGATGAACTTTGGCAAACTGATCCAGCCGAATACGTAAGAAAGAAATTTGATTTTTTTGAAGATTATGTTTCACCGGTCAGTGCTGCTCAACAATTTTTATGTACTTGTTGTAAGAAACGTAAAGATATGCTCAAAAATACTATCGGGTTTGCCATTCAAATTTTGAGTTCGAATGTTAGCACTTCACAACAAAAAGACGGTGCTTTACATATGCTTGGATCAGTTTCGGATATAATGTTGAAGAAAAAAATGTATCATCAACAAATTAACAATATGCTTGCTTATCATATATTTCCTTTTTTCAATTCTGATCATCCATTCTTGAGAGCAAGAGCTGCATGGATTTTACATTTCTTCGAAGATTTCGAATTTGACAATGATCAGACATTGGCTCAAGCGGTAAATTGTTTACAGTTTGCTTTGCTTCATGATGGACAACTTCCAGTCAAAGTGCAAGCAGCAATTTCACTTCAAATTTTAATTGTCAACCAAGAAAAGACTAGGCCATTGATAGCAACGAATTTAGATGCGATCATTATAGAATGTTTAAATATTGTGAAAATTTCCCAAAACGATGACGTATCGAATGGTCTTCAAAGATTGATTTGTGCTTATGGTGAAAAAATTTTACCCATTGCGGCCAAAATAGTAACTAGTTTAGTGGAAATTTTAGAAACCATATTGAAAACTAATGATGAAGTTAATGATACTACAATAACAATAATGGGATCGTTGAACACAATCGACACTGTACTCATGTTAATCGATGATCAAGAAACTTTAAGCATCATCGAACCAATGGCAATGAAAAGCGTTCTTTTGGTGTTGAATGAAAATCTAAAAGAACTATATGAAGAATGTTTCAACATTGTAACTACATTGACAGATAAACATATTTCGAATGATATGTGGAAAATTTATGGATATATCTTTCAAATATCAACCAAAGATGATGGAGTCGATTATTTTGCTGATATGTTACCTGCATTACATAATTTTTTAACCGTTGATCCTGATGCATTTATCAGTGATCAGAATAGGATCGTTGCATTATTTGAAATTTGTAAATTCATTCTTAATTACGATTGCATCGATGATATTCACTGTAATGCAGTTAAAATGATTGAAGTTTTCTTATTACAATTCCGCGAAAAAGTTGCCAATATTATTCCATCATTTTGTGAAATTGTGATGGATCGATATTTTCATTTGGATGATGATCTCAAATCGACCGAACTAAAAACACTTTGTCTACAAATTTTATTGGTCGTATTGTACATAGATGGTGGTTTATTTTTTCAGGTTATCGAAAAATTACAGCAAAAATATCCGAATAAAAATATTTTAGATCATATCCTTGAAGATTGGCTTTTGGATTTGAAATCATTCATTGGTTTACATGATCGTAAAGTATGCATATTAGCATTATGCAAATTATTTACATTGCCTACGAATATGATGCCACCTAAAGTTCGTGAATTGGCTCCAAAATTTTCACCCGAATTATTAAAATTATTTGATAATTTGAAAGAAGCATATAAAGCCAAAGCAATTGCCGATGCTGTAAGCACCGATACCGATAGTGAATATACAAATTCTTCTGATGAAGAAGATGCCACTGAAGATGATTTGAACAATACAAAAGGTAATTAATTTCTTATATCAATTTTTTTTTTGGTCGAAATCATGAATATTTTATTATATAGTGGATGACATGGATGATGGTGAATATTTGGAAGACGAAGATGATGATGATAGCGATATTATCGATGATGATAATGAAAATGAATTGACAGAGTTGGAAAATTTCGAAACAACCCTTGACAAAGAATATTCACATGACGATGAATACATATTGTTCAGAAAAACGATGGAATTTTTAAAACATCAAGATGCTAATTTATATAATCTACTTTTTGGTAATTTAACTCCACAACAAATCAGCACGTTGGAGGATGTATTCGTTCTTGCTCAACGTCGCCAGGATGCCGCTGGTAATTAATAGATTTTTTTTTAAAAAATATAATTACAATGATGCTAACTTTGAAAAAAATTTTCTTTTTAGAATCGCGGAAGATTGAACAAGGCGGTGGCTATGTCTTTTCCGAACAAACTATACCAACAACTTTTAATTTTGGTGGAAATTTTGCCATCAATCAAAATTAGCTCTGTTTTATTTTTTTTTAGATTCATTGATTCAAATATAAAAAATTCTAAAATCAATTATATATTTTCAAAATGATATTAAATTTATTATAATCGATATATTATTAAATTAAAAAAGAATTGTTTTGAAAAAAAATCAATTTGTTTTGGTCTATTTTCGAAAAACATTCGAAATGGTATCGATATACAATCGATGCTGATGTCCATTTCATTCACGTGATTGTAGAATATAAAAAAAACTTGCCTTTGTTTAATGCTTCGAAATGCGCTACTTTGATTGTATAACTTTCATCGCAACTATTTTCTATGCTTTTCCTACCTTTTTATTTGTCTCAATGCAAATTCATCTTCCGCGCGTCTCACATGTTTTGGGCTGAGTTGAACGTTTTTTTTTTGTCTGGTCCTTTATTTCAATTGATTAATTTTTTCATTTAAATTGTTTTCAATATGGTAAGTTTGAATGTTGACGATATTTACAATAATTAATAATTACTTTAATTACTTTTTTCTTGTAGACGATCAGCAAAAATAATAAAATGATGCAGTACCTCAATTATAGAATGAGGGTAATACTGCAAGACAGTCGAATATTCATTGGAACATTCAAAGCATTCGATAAACACATGAATGTCATACTGTCAGAGTGTGAAGAATTTCGTAAAATTCGAGGAAAAGGAACTAAAGGCATTGAAAGAGAAGAGAAACGAGTACTTGGATTCGTATTGCTTCGCGGCCAGAATATCGTATCTTTGACAGTTGAAGGTCCACCACCACCAGATGAAGGTCTTCCACGTGTGCCTGGTGTCATTCCTGGTCCAGGATTAGGACGACCTGCAGGACGTGGTATTCCAGCTGTAGTTGTTCCACCCGTTGTTGGTGCTGCACCAGGTCTTCAAGGACCAGTTCGAGGTGTTGGTGGTCCTGCTGCAGCAGCCATGACACCGCAAGGTCGTGGTATTCCATCTGTTGGTTTGACCGCTCGTATACCAGCACCACCTGGAATGCCAATGCCTCCAGGTATGCCACCAATGCCTCCAGGAATGGGTCGTGGAATACCACCGGTTGGTGCACCACCACAACCTCCACCTGGAATTCGACCACCGCCTCCTCCTGGAATGATGCGTCCACCACCACCGAGTGGTCCACCAATGCGACCACCACCAATGTAGATCACAAAACATCAGTCCATCATTCAATTCGAAAAATTTTTTTCTATCACATTTTTCATTATTTTTTAAATAATTGTATCATATTATCGCATTTTTTTCGATAAAAATCATTTTGTTTCAAAGGAAAAAAAATATGATTAATAAAAAAAAACCCAAATCGTTTCGACATCATCATCCTTAAATCATTGAAACCAAAAAAAAAAGTTTTTAGGTCAATCGTTGCGTCACCAGATGGTGGCAAGAATATTAGAGGAAAAAAAATCTGTCGCCATTCGTTTCACGCGCACATACATAAATTTATACGGACAAACAGTGAGAAAGAAGAGAAACAACAGAGTAAGATGAGATGAATGTTGGGCATTATAAATAATGAAAATAAAAAAAAAAATAAAATAACAACAATAACACCATCATATTGTGTTGTATATATTTACTGACAAAAACATCATCAACAAAATCCAGCAACCAGAAAACCAACAATAACAACAAACAACAACAATAACAATAGAAAACACAGTGAAACACAATAAACAAAACATTTGGAAAAAAAATCCATTTGGTTTCAATTTTTTTTTTCAAATTTCAATTTGTATGTTTTTATAATAATTTGCTTGATTTAGCTATTTTAGTGATAAGGCATTTTTTCTATCCATCTAACTATCTATCTATCGGTGAGTATCTTGTTTTTGTTTTCTGTAGTTTTTTTGATTGTTTCCTGGAGTTTTTTTTTATATTTTTCATTGTCGTCATTATTTTATTAATTTTTCTGGTGTTTTTTCTTCCTATACTCACTCGTATTGTTATTATTATTATTTTTCGGACTCCTTGAAAAGATTCGATTTTCTCGTTTCCACGGTATTTTTTTTAGGTGAAGCAGCAAAAAAATAATAATAATAAATGAAAAAACAGAATATATTTTCATCGTTATACAAGATATGTAAAAACCTTAAGATTAACATTCATTCGAAATCAGTTTAATTTTATTTCATCATCATCTATATTACGATTACAATTCAATCAATCCGGAAAAAAAATATTGATCTTCAAATGAAATTGCCATTCTGATTTTTTGATTTTGATTGAATCCTTGGACAATTAAAACGATTAAAAACGACAACAAGGATTCGTAAACAAAATAATTTAATATTCGACCGGGTTCAATTTGATATCTGGATAACATCTAGCTTGTGTCGAATATATTTGAAATTTAAAAAAAAAGAAACAAACAACAACAATAACAAAAAATTTATCAATTTTTATCTGTGGTTGATTGTGAACATTGTTCAAGTTTCGCCTTTCAAGCTGGAGAAATTGCCCGAATATCTTCGTGACACAATGGACTGGTTTATTGGGTGAGTTGTTGAAATTTTATTTTACTTTCTTTATAAATTTACAAAACCAACAACAAAATTTATCAATTTTTTTTCGTCCAGATGTTTAGAAGCAAAAAAAAAAACAAGTTCAAATTTTTGAGCATAATAACAGGTGTACAGATCAATTTAGCTTTTCCATTGTTTTTTCAATGTACAAAAATTATTATTTATTATTACAATCAGCGACAGTTTGTTGCTTTCATTCATGATTTATGAATTTGAAATTCTTTCTCCCTTTTTTTTCCTTCATTTGAATATCTTTCGATCGATCAATGATAATTTTGTTTCATTATAAAAAAAATCGAATTGAAACAAGCTTATATGAAGTAGAGAAAAAAGAGATGGAAAGTATTCGACACAAACTGTTTTTTTATGATGATGATGATGTTGTTGATTTATGTTTTGGATTTGATGTATCATTTCCTACTTTTTTCTCTCTAACTGTTTTTGCTATTTTTTTTCCTATCCAAACATAATGTTGTTATCATTGTTTGATTTGGTTAGATTTTTTTTTTTAAAAAGAGAAATATACACAATGAAATTATTAAAAATGAAAAAAAAATATGCCAAACATTAATTTTTTTTTCTGAAGAGATTTCATCAACAAAACGATTGTAGGCTACATTGTGAATATAGATTCTTTATCTTAGTGTAAATCATGAAACATAATTAATCTTTGAAATTTTTTTTTAATGATTACTATGTTTGTTCTTAATTTGGTTTGGTTAGTTAGTTTGTTTTTTTTTTACTTTCAAAACAGCTTTGCAAATATTGTTTCTGTATCTAATAAAATTAATTTTTATTATGATATTCTTTGTGTTATATGATATACAGGAAAACCCGGCGAAAAGACAAAGATCCGAATCCATCACAACAAGAAGATACTAAACAATATCTTCATAGTGCCATGCTTGAATGCACAACATCGGAAACCAAATTAAGAGAAATTGTCAATCTGGCCGAAGGTTTGGATTATAATGAATGGCTTGCATCACATAGTAAGTGTTTTTTGTTGTTGTTGTTGTTGAAATATTAGATTCCATTCCATGTTTTATTAATTTTTATTTTGTCATTTTGTTTTAAAGCAATCGCTTTTTTCGAGCATATTAATCTACTTTATGGAACAATTTCCGAGTTTTGTTCAATGTCTGGCTGTCCGGATATGAGTGGTCCATGTAATCGGTTTGTAACATGATTTGTTTTGTTTTTTTAAATTCCATTTGTTTATTTTGACAATCTTTTTTAGACAATACTTATGGGTGGATGAAAAAGGTAAACGAATCAAACTAACTGCTCCACAATATGTTGACTATGTAATGACTTACGCCCAAAAGGCGATTAATGACGAGTCAATCTTTCCAACGAAATTTGGTAATATTTTAACATAACATTTCTATCTAAAAAAAACATTTCTAATTGTTTTTTGTTTCGTTTTCAGATAGAGAATTTCCCCCCACCTTTGTATTGACTGTCAAGAAGATAATGAAATTATTGTATCATGTAGTGGCCCATATTTATCATTCACATTTCAAAGAAATAGTTTTGTTAAATCTTCATCCACATTTGAATTGCATTTTCGCTCATTTGATCTTGTTCAACGAACGTTTTAAGCTTATCGAAGAAAAAGAAGTAGAAGTTTTACATGATCTAGCTGTAGCATTGCGAGTTTATCCATCAAGACAAACATTGATGACCCATAATCCTCATTCTAATGAACAGTCGCGTTTACAATCAGAAGCTGGATCAATTAATTACTTAGACAAACAAGATGAACGTCGATGTATGGTTGATGATACCAATAATAATATAACAATGGCTACAGATTATTGCAATCAAGACGTCATCACTACACAATGTCGAAGCATTAGTGCATTAGATGATTATCGAAACTTTGATTATCAAACAACGGATGAGAATCTAGAATATTTAAATGATCAAAAAGAAAATCAAAATGCAACCAAAGTGAGCAATATGTTTGGTGTTAATTCGCCAATGTTGGTTGATGAACAATTTGTTGAAGATTCAATAACAATGTTTCAAGTCAATTCTCCCGAACCAATGATGGTCGAACCGATGATGTCATCAGAAAATATGCCCGCTAAGAAATGTACGTTTGATATACGAAATTCTCTTAGAGAACGAAGCATCTCAGCAAATGCCGTACTTGCTACATGCAAATCATTAGAGACATTTACCGCTTCTCCAATCACACGTCGTTCGAATTCGGATCGTACTTCGGCAAAAAGCAATTCCGCATTATTTTTCTGTGCTACTAATGAAGACAAAAAATCGCTATCATTTGATCGTAATGATAATTTATTTCAATCAAATACAAATTTTCCTAATACTGAAGAAACATGCTAAATGAATGAATGGATAAACTAATAATGAGATAATTTATATTCATTTGGCAGTTATTTCTTTTTTGATTCGATTCGATCTCGATTTGTTTCGACAATAATATTTGTTTGCTTAATTGTTTATTTCTTCTTTATCGAATTTCGTATTCGTCACTCACTCTCATTATGCCTTATTCGAAATTTTTTTAGTCATTTTATATTATTAAACGTTATAATTCGCTTGATGGTCGATTCTTTCTTTTTCACTCTAATATGATATTTTTTTGAAAAAAATAACGATAGTGGCGATGAACGAAGAAGAAAAAAAAACATTCATATCATTATCACCATTACTTATTTAAGCCCCTTCTAATTCCTTCAAGGCAAATTAAAGAAAAGAATCATCATTCTTCGTAATAATGTTTTATTTGTTATTGCTGCTTATTTGATTATTGTATCTAAAATTTATCGCTTTTATTCGCTATTATTATTTGGTCAACATTATCTGTGATTTCATTGGATTATATATTGATTCTAATCAAATTATTCTATTGAGATGATATTATATGATAAAATTAATTAATTATTTTCATCAATCATTGAAACAAAACAAACAAACAAAAAAAGAGAAAAGAAAATATTCATGTGCAAATTTCAATTAAGTTTCCGTTCGAATGTTTAAATTTGACTTGCTCGTTTTGAAATTAAAAAATGATTGATTTTTATGTAAAACGGTAAACAATATGATTCTCTTTCGATATATGTTCTTTTTAGAATTTAAATTGAATAAAATTCCAAATGTTTTTTTTTCTTATTTAAAAATTGTTATATGTGTGTGTGTTATATGATGTTCGCTTAATATTTTGGGATTCACTGCGCATACTGCATTCCAGGATGCATTCTATATATGTTCTATAATATTCGTATAAAGAATAGCATCCTCATATATGTTTCAAGAACGTGAGTTATTTTATAAATTGTTTTGGATTTTGGATATCAATGATTCAGAATAGAAAACAATCAGATTATCATTATCATCATGATTTTGTGGTTTTCAATCAGATTTTTTCTATTTTCATCAATTGTTCTGTTGTTTTTGTTTTCAACGGAAGCTCATTTTCATACAAAACGTTTACACGATGATCTTTTTAGCGATTGTAAGTTTTTTTTTGGATAACAAATAAGATCATTTAGTAATTATCTTTTAAAAAAAAATTTCAAGATAATCGATTAATAAGGCCATCTAAAAATCATTCATACAAATTAACTGTAAATATTGGTCTTAAATTGACACAAATTATAGATATAAATTTGCGACAACAAGTAATGACCACTAATATATGGTTGGAACAGAATTGGTATGATTATAAATTAACATGGGATCCAAATGATTATGGTGGTGTTGATATGATCAATGTTCCAGCTGAAAATATATGGCTTCCAGATATAGTTTTATTTAATAATGCGGATGGCAATTATGAGGTAACATTAATGACTAAAGCAACAGTCTATAGTACTGGTTTGGTTGTTTGGAATCCACCGGCATTATACAAAAGTACATGTAAAATTGATGTTGAATATTTTCCATTCGATGAACAATCATGTTTGATGAAATTTGCAAGCTGGACATATGATGGTCATGAAGTTGATATTCGACATGTTAAACAAGAAGAAGGTTCAACTTATGTTGATGTTGGTATCGATCTTAGTGAATTTTATAAAAGTGTCGAATGGGATATATTGATGGTTCCAGCTAAATATAATGAAGAATATTATGAATGTTGTCCTGAACCATATCCAGATATTACATTCAATCTAACAATGCGTCGTAAAACATTGTTTTATACTGTCAATTTAATTATTCCTTGTGTAGGAATTACTTTTCTTACATTAGTTGTTTTTTATTTACCATCGGATAGTGGTGAAAAAGTAACGCTTGCCATTTCAATTCTTGTAGCATTGACTGTGTTTTTCTTACTTCTTGCCGAGATAATCCCGGTAATTAATTATTCGATTCATTAGATAATTAAATAATGTCATTGATTTTGTTTTGTAGCCAACAAGTTTAGCAATTCCATTACTTGGCAAATATTTATTGTTCACCCTGATACTCGATACACTTTCCATATGTGTAACAGTGGGTGTTTTAAATGTTCATTTTCGTTCTCCAGCTACTCATATAATGACACCTTGGATTCGAAAAGTTTTCATACATATTTTGCCCAGAATTTTGCTAATGAAACGACCATCTTCACAAGATTGGCATGCAGAATTAGCAGGTTTGAAATGTTTGATAATAATGAAAAATTTTTTTGTCATTGATTTTGTTTTTACAAATAAAAGCAATTGCCAGGAAAGGTCGTGGTAAATCTAAAAAAGAATCGAATGGTAATCGTGAAACATCAATGAAATATAGTGGAAATTTTCATGATTCAATTGATTCATTTCAAGAATCAATTTGTATGTCCGGTAGTCCTGATCAACCTGGTCCATCAACATATTCAACACATCAAACACAAGAACTAAATCAATTATATGAACAAAATTATGCTCATCTTAGACAAATATTCAATATGGTCGAAATACAAAAAGCTATGAAAGGAATTATTCATCTTGCCGATCATATACGAAAAGATGATGAAGATAATAACGTAATTATTGATTTATTTATTTAATCAAATCACACTTTATTTCATTGTTTTTTTTATATAAAAAAATATTTTTAGATAATTGAAGATTGGAAATATGTGGCAATGGTTTTGGATAGACTTTTTCTTTGGATATTTTCGTTGGCCGTATTCTGTGGAACATGTGGTATAATATTACAGGCACCATCATTATATGATACACGTAGACCAATCGAATCGGAACTTTCATTGGTTACTCCACAAATTCAATCACAACAATCAACTAATTTTTAATTAAATCATTTTGTTCATTATTTAGTTTATGTTCGATACACATATTTAAGTAAAGCCAAAATAGTATTAAAAAATCGTTTTTTGTAAAAATCATTAAAACCTATACAATTAAAGAGAAATTTTTAAAAAAAACAAAAAATGAAAAGTTGTGTCGGTGCTAAATGTTGCAAAAATTTGCTTGCTAATTTGACCAATGGTTACACTAATGTTGAAGGAATGGATGATATTTTCGATGCAATAATCTTCAACATGTTTTTTACTATTGTTAGTCTTCTTTAAAATAATAATCTACTATCGAATAAGTGTACTAACTTTTTTTTTTTGCTTACAATCACCAGATTTTATTATCATTCTTGGCATTTCTACGGGCAATCTATTTCACAAAAAAACAAAATGGCCGAGATTGGCCTAAAAAGTAATTGAAAATTTTACATTTTTAAAAAATTATTTCATCAATTTAATCATTTCACATTTCATTTTCCAGTTGGTTAGAATTTATATATAGCGATCGTGAAGTGGATTTGTTACATGAAGAAAATCCAATCAAATATTTTCATCCAGATGCTTATCTTCATAGTAGTTTACATGATTTTACAGATTTGATTACAAACAGATATATGTTGAATAAAAGTGATAAAGCAATTGCGATTATTAATACAAAATATCAAAATATAAGAAAAAGTCATCAAGAAAAACTGAAATCTGTTGGCCAAAAACGTCATTGGATATTTGATTATACATTTATTAAAGATGAAGATATTCTTAAACATCGTGGCAAAGATGCTATACATTATTTATTATTTCAACGTTATATTATCTATATTTTAGCATTATTTTCGTTTGTTTCAATTGTAATTCTAATACCGGTCAATATGATTGGTGGTAATAGTTTAAATACCTATTATGAAATGTCAACAATCAATAATGTTAAAAATACATCATCATTACTTTGGATACATACATTTACAACACTAATCATTGTACTTGTCGGTGTTTTTATGATGAAAAAATTTTCCGATTATATTGTTTTACCGTTAAACGAAACGGATGGAAAAACAATTTTGATACAGAATCTACCGAAAAAAGCTCGTAATGCAGATAAATTGAAACAATTTATTGAAGTTAATTTTAGTAATGTTGAAGTTACACAAATTACATATACTTATAATGTTGAACCAATCAACAATTTATTAAAAGATATTAAAGCATGTAAATTATCAATAGATTATTGTAAAGAATATGAACAACATTTTGGTTATACGTTATTAGTACGACCATTTATGTTTGGTTTGATTTGTCCAAAATGTCCATTATGTGGAATATGTTATTATCAACATCGATTGTATGATTATCGAAAACAACTTAAAAACGAAGTAATTAAAACATTAGATCAACCACAACATGCTGCATTTGTTCAATTTAAAACATCAATGATGGCTAAAAAATTATTGGAACATTTTGAACTTACACAACATACACGATTATTGAATACAATAAATTCATGTTCACAAAAATTTTGTGGTTTTAATTGGAAAAATACTAATGTTGCTGATCCATATGGTTATTTTCAATGGATAACACAACCGGCACCATTTCCCGAAGATATTGAATGGAGTGATATTATTATAAATAATCGTACATCTTATATTTGTTCAATCATATTGAATTTATTAACAATTGTTATATTTTTGTTTTTCACTACACCTATTGTGGCATTGAATTTTTTACAAGAAATATTTATTTTCGGTATGGGTCCAACAAAAGTAGCCGATATTGAAAATAATAAGTTAAACATTGGCTTCATTCAGGTAAAAACAACAACAACAAAAAACTTTTAAAATGAAATTAATTTTTTTTTCTCAAATAGATAAAATGGGTAAGATATTTAAGCGCATTAATAATGAATGGTTTTGCATGTGTTATACCTAATCTAATTATGATAATCGAATTATTTGTACCACAAACAAGTAAATCGGAAAAAAATTCCAAAATGATGAAAATGGTTTATCTTTATTCCATATTAATGGTGTTAATATTTCCTTCGCTTGGACTTATGTCGTAAGAATATTTTTTATTTTAAAATTTGATTAACAGTAAATTAACGTTTTTTTCTATACACATGCCTGCGAAAATAGTGGACAATTATTGATCAAAAAAATATCGGAAAAAACATTTCCAAGAGATTTTTATAAATGTCTATTTCCTGCAAATTATAGTCCATTTTTTATTTATTATGTTATATCATGTATATTTATTACAAATCCAGCACAATTATTACGTTTACCTGAATTAGGATCATATTTATATAGTTGTATAATTTATTATCCAAAAACGGAAGCTGAATTTGGACGTGCACGTATGGAAACAAATTTTCAATTCTGTTATAGTTCAAATTATCCACGTTTTTTATTAATATTTACTATTGTTGTTACATATAGTATTGCTAGTCCTATTCTGGCACCGTTAGGTAAGTTTAATATATCATTTTTTTTTTGTTACATTTTTTAATGAAATTTCTTCTTTTTTTTCTTGATATATTCAATATTTTTTTCATTTCCGATTTGGTATATGTCATTGATTGATGAATTATTTTATGGATGGGGGTGGAATATTGACGTTTGTTTTTGGTTGCTTGATATATTTTTTTTCAATATGCAAAAAAACAAAACAAAAACAAATAGGATTATTGTTCATGTTATCAAAACATTTATTGGATCGATACCATATTTATTATTTATATAGTACAACACAAGTGATCAATGCTAACATTCATCAAAATGCAATATTATTTGTATTAATTTCATTTTTTTTTACATTTCTACAATTAACAACATATACAAATACTCGTAATGAATTTTCATTAACATTTAAACCATCGAATATTTGTATTATAATATTATTATCATATATAATGTTTTTATTGTTTGTTTGTTTTAATTTTGATTCATTTTCAAGTCGTTCGGATAATAACAATAACAATAATAATCAATCGACACAATAATCAATCAATTAATCCGATCTATAAAATTAATATCCAATGTGTTTCTATAGATCAACAAAATCAATAATTTTAATTAGAAAAAAAACAAGGAAACACAGTTATAATTATAATGAGCAAAAAATTATTGTGAATTTTTTTTTAAATAAAAAACAAAAAACATTAAATAAACCAAACCAATCCAACTATCCTTTTTTTTTCTTGTGTCCATTTAACCATTAAATGATGATGACGATGATGATAATCATCATCCTGTACTGGTATTTATAAATATAGAAACAAATAAAAATTATTATTAATCGATTGTGTGTCGGTATGTTTTTAAATTTGAAAAATAAAATTTTTTCTGTCGTTTGGTCATCATCATCATCATCGGCGTCATCAGATGATAATATTGTTTCAATTGAACGAATGTGAAACAAAAAATTAAGATTTTTTCTTTCTTTTTTATCCAACATCAATCAATCCTGTGACATTCATTCATTGATTCATTAATGTTTAAATAACAACAACAACATTTTGTTTTAACAGAAAAAACTGATACGTCAAATCTTGCGATTCGCGAATGAATAACAAAAAATTCATCATTACCATGCATACATACATACACAAACATTAATATTCATTATACACAAAATGAATGAATGTATGTATGTAATGATGATGATCATAATAAAATATTAATAAAGGTAACAATTTTTTTAAAAAAAAGAAGGAATGATAAACAACAACAACGAAGACGATGGAATTAAAAACCAATCGTATTTGCACTTTTTTTTTGTTGGTTGGATGTTCATCATATAAAATAACATATAAATAACATTGAAATTTTTCAAAACATTTTGGTAAGTGAAAATTTTTTTTTTCATTTATTTAATTAAATTTTGATTAATATTCATTAAATTAATCAATATCTCTAATGAATCTCAATATGTGTGTGTGTGTGTAGAGTGAGCAAAAATGAATTTTATAGAAAACATCTTGAAAATGTTGATGATGATGGTGACTAATAAACCAATACAGAGAAAAATAAATCAATAATAATCCAGTCTATAGGATCGGTTATTATTGCTGTTATGACATAATCGTCATACCATTGTCGTCATTATTTGATGAATTTCTCATCAAATATATTTGGTCATCATCGATCATCAATGATGATTGAGAAAAATTTATTTTTCTTTCCTGTTCTATAAATATCACAACAATATCCAAATCAATATTGATTATAATCTTACAAAATTTCCTGTTATTACACTCTTCACAATAATTGTGTGATATGATACAGGTGTTTTTAAAATCGAATTTGTAATTTTATAAAAAAAAAACAAAATTTTCCTATTGTAATCATCATTAATCTTATCAAAAAATCGTCATCACATTTTTTTCTTCAAATAAATAAATAAAATAATCGATAAATTCAATGTGATCATCATCATCATCGGATCAATGATGATCGAAAATAATTGCCCATTCAATAAAATAATAACATTGATTTTTTCTGAATTTCATTATATTTCATTTTTTGTTTTGTTTTGTTTTGGTTATGTAATCCATACGGTGAAATTGAAACGAGTGCACAAAAAATGAGTTTTTGTGTTCAATGTCTATGTTATTAAATGTCTCTCTCTCTCTCTCTCTCTCTCTTTTTTTTTGAATGAGTTTGAGCACGTCTTTCAATTTTTCATCATCATCATCATCATCATATATTTCAACCATTCTCGTTTGGTCTTCAATTCAATTCATTCAATATTCCTCTTGAAGAGAAAAAAAACCATCATTATATTTTTGTTATCATTATCATATCCAAATAAATGCAAGCGGTTGTTTGTCTTTTTTCTTTTTTGCTTCATCCATTCACCACCATTTTGGTGTGTGTGTTTTTGTGTGTATGAGCTCACCTGTCCTGTTTACATCAAATCATTGAGATAACCACCACAACAACAACGACGACAACGACAATAACAACAGTAAAAAAATAATAATAATATTAAAGCCACTACATGTATATCTGGTCAAATCTGTAATGATGATGATGATGATGGTCGAATGAAAAAAAAGACCGAGAGCGAGAGAGATAGAGGGAGAGAAAACTTTCATTTGAATCATCGTGAAAACAACCAACCATTAATTTCAACAGAATAATTTTTTCCCTTCTTGAATAACATGTCATTATTTATGTTTTGTGTTTTTTATATCGGTCTCATTTTTTTTGTTTCATTAAATTATTAATTAATTGATCTAAATATGATTAAATAATCCATCCATCCATATGTTTATTATTATTGTTTTATTATTGTTTTAATGTTTCATCATCATCATCTTGTGATTTCCTATATAATAATAATTCCATATTTTTTAAATCATTGAATCATTCCACATCATTCATTCATCATTTATTATTAGTTTTTTTATTATTGTTGCCATCATCATTTTCATCATCAGTAACAATAATAATAAAAAATTTGCTTTTGCCTTGTTTTTTCAATTCTTGTGCACAAGATTTGCCATTTATTATTTATTACTGTCATCAACAACTTCATCATCATTTTTAGATCATTAATTTATGGTCCAAAAACAAAATCATCATCATCATTTTGAAAAAAATATTTAAATCAAATCTTCCAATTTGACGACGACAAGCCTTATATATTAGTTATTATTAAGTTTATTTGTTAAAAAAGAACAACTCAAATCCAAATGAAAAAAAAACAAAAACAAAAATGATTTATAAATCTTGCAATTCTACTATATAGCTAGATATTTGATTACATTTTCGATAAGAAATCCATTTGTTACATTTTCGTTTTGATGATTATCAAAAGAAATCAATTTTTCATACATCCATAATAGTGGTTGCCAATATCAAATTTACCAAACAAAACAAAACAAAAAAAAATGGCCGAACATTCGGATCTGGTTTCTGAAATGACCTATCTAGAAAAGCTTAACACTGAAGAACGATTAAAATTAGCACGAAAAAGACGATCTCAACAATTGAAAAAATGGTCACAACGAGAAAAAGATCATACATATTTAAATAAAAGAAAACGACCAGATGGAAATCAAATTGATACGGCCAAAATTAAAAATAATAATAATAATAATAACAATAATAATAAAAATGGATATAAAGTTCATTTTGTACCATCTGTGATGTTGTTGGAAGCTGCCACTCGAAATGATATCTACGAAGGTTTGTTTCTTAATTTTTTTTCCCCTGAAAATTAAAAAATTCATTTTTGTATTTTTTTTTCATTGTCCAATAGTGAGACGTTTACTCATGTTGGGTGTAAGTCCTGATTCGACCAACGAAGATGGTCTTACTGCTTTGCATCAATGTTGTATTGATAATTGTGAAGAAATGATGCGTTTATTAATCGAATTTGGGGCCAATGTAAATGCCAAAGATAGTGAACAATGGACACCATTACATGCTGCCGCAACTTGTGGTCACTTGAATTTAATTAAATTATTAATCGAAAAGTAATATTATTGAAAATGAAATCTAAATTTTCAGAATTTATAATTATGATTCTTATCACATAGTAATGCCGATTTATTAGCTGTGAATGCCGATGGTAATATGCCTTATGATATTTGTGAGGATGAACAAACATTGGATTATATTGAAGCCGAAATGGCCAAACGTGGAATCACACAAGAATTGATTGATCAAATTCGATTGAAAACAGAAAATCAAATGCTTTTCGATATGAAAGAATTGATTCAAAATGGTTACGATATTAATTTGAAAGATGAACAAGGCGCTACGCCGGTATGAAAAGAAATTGTTTAAATTCATTCCATTGATTTAATGTTTGATTCTTTATAGCTTCATATAGCTGCTGCTAATGGATATTTGAGTGTCATTGAATTTTTAATCGATAACAATGCTTCAATAGATGAGTGTGACATTGATTTATGGCAGCCAATTCATGCGGCTGCTTGTTGGGGACATGTAAGTTTTTCATTCAATTACTCTTGGTGTTTGCTTTCATTACAGATATTTTTCCAACCAGATTGATGTTGTCGAATTTTTAGTCCAAAATGGTGCCGATTTGGAGGCCAGAACAAAAAACGGTGAAATTCCTTTTGATATTTGTGAAGATCCAGATTTAAAAAGTCGCATTTTACAACTAAAAACGGAAATCGATGCCAAAAAAGCTGTAAATTCAACCAGGTTACGAAGATCACATAGCACTAACACTCGTTCACATTCTATTCGGCGGACTAGTATTCGCGAAAAGTCACAAATAGCGAAAAGAGAAGCCATTGAAGAAGCGAGGATATGGCATGAAAAAGCTGGTGAATCTGACGAAATTAAAAAAGATGATAGCGATCTTGATTCAGACACTCAATTCTATAAAGATTTTAACAGAAAATTAATGACCGAATCACCAATTGATGTTGATTCAATCAAAGTCAGTATGGATTCAAATAATACTTTTCACATCTCATCACCATCAACCTACCATTCAGAAAATGGAAATCACAATGACCTTATCAATAATAATACTTCAAACTATTCAAATCAATCAATCACACAACCAGATATACGAACTTATAACACCGACCATCATCATCAGCAAGTTGGATCCAGTCATCAATATGATTTGAACATTTCGAATGAACCTCAGGACAATCATTATCCTAGTGCAGAATATGCACAACAGAATAGAAAATCCGATCGAATGGATGGCAATGATTCTCAACAAAATACCAAGAATCATGATAGTTATCATCCTGATTTAAGTGGTTATAGTCTGAACAATAATAATACTGGGACAGGAACGTTAATTGATCTCAAGAAACAACGTTCAGAAAAACATCGAAATAGTTTGAATAACACCTATTCTGATCGATACAAATTATTTGTAGTCGATCATCCTAATAACACTAACATTCAATCAACTATGTCAACCAATCAAACATCAATCAATCATCAAATGAAACCAACGACAACAAAACACTATGACCAGAATGTAAATCTTCAATTACAAACACAAATGGTAAATGTTTCATCATTGAACAATACTAAAACGCCTTTCTCAGCGTCTATGATGCAAAATGATTCAATGTTTGATTCACCAGATGCTACAAGGAAAAAATTTCGTGGAAATCCAAGTGAATTGATCGGTGAAGAAGAGAAAAAAGGTTGTTGCAATATTTGCTGATCAACAAATAATAATAAGATAAATATCTGCCTATATTTGTTTTATCATTTCATTCCAATCATTTAAATTATATAAAATTATCGCTGTGATAATCACGGTTAATCAAATTTTTTTTCACACAAAAAAAAAGAAATTATCGTGAAGCGTTATGACATTCGAAAAAAAATCATGCTTGCTTACATGTTCATTAGGTCATTTATATAAAAATGAATCAATTTTTACAATTCACAGATGCTTTGTTTTTTTCTTTCGAAAATGTACAAAACACAATAGAACATTCAAACAAACAAACAAACAAAAAATGACAGTATTACCAATGATTTTTTTTTCTACCACATTTACCCCCGCGCGCAAATTTACTTGTTATCAAATATATTTAACATGTGTTTTATATAAATTTAAAAATAAAATTATTTTTTCAAGTGAGCTTAAATATTAGCTTTTAAAATTGTTTTTTTGTAAATTGCCAAATGAGAAATATTTTAAGTAATAATAAAAGAATTATAATGTAACAAAACAAAAAAAAATCGAATCTAAAATATTATTCATTTAACATCAATGATTTTGTTCAGAATAAGAAAATCTCTCTTTTTTTATGATCAATTATTATATATAGGACAATCTTTGATGTTCATCTGGTTTTTGCAACATTATCACATTATAATATTATTAAACTTGAATATAACATATCATATAATATTAGTTATAAATTGATTATTTGATGTTTTGTTTTAAATTTATAAAAAAAAATTTCTTAGTTTTACTATTAAAATGTTTGTATGAATAGAATAGTAAGCGATGAATGTGATGAATTTTTTTATATATTTAAAGAACAGAATAAATTACATCATTGAAAAAAGATTACTAGAATAGCACATCGGTTTCTTATCAGGATGAGGCACTTCTTTGAACGTTGTATATTTTGGAATCAATTCATCGCCTCCAATGAAATTGATGAATGCGCCTAGATTGCCCATACGATCGCAATAATTGGGAGCGGAAAAAACTGTAATACATTTACCACCATGAGCCTGTTTGATGAGGAAAAAAATGAAAATTGAATTTATTTGATGATCGAATGAAAAACTTACCACTTCATAACCATTATCTTTCACTTCATGGCTTCGAATGATATAGTCTAAATTATTCAACTTTAAAAAGCTTTCTGTAATATCTGGTCCAAATTGACAACCAACACCTCGTTTGCTTGGTAAACGTCCTTTCACCGGCATAGGATCAGACCATAAAATATCGCACATTAGACCATCTTCAGGTGGCTGTCTAATTCGTTCGATATTACGTATATCATCTAATGTGATATTATCTTTGCTGAAAAGGCCTCCATGCATGACCAAAACTTTTTTGTTCAAACAATGTGCCAATGGAAGACATTCAAAAACTTCAGTAAACAGATCATACATTTGTTTTGAATATTTTTCTTTGACTTCACCTTCAAAACCGAAAATTTTGTTCATAGTTTCACTTTCATGATTGCCACGAGCTATGAACAAATGATTTGGATAAAGAATTTTGAAAGCAAATAAAACTAGGATACATTCGACTGAGAATGAACCTCTATCAACAACATCACCATTGAAAAGGTAAGGATTATCTTCACTGGGATAACCGTTCAATTTGAATATATTTAACAGATCATAGAATTGTCCATGAATATCGCCACAGACTGTAAATTTTTTTCCTTTCGGTATTTCAATGTCTACCAATGTTTTCGACTTAGAAAATAGTTCTCGTGCATCCAATATCAATTTGTAAGCATATTTCCGATCTAATTTTTTCTCGTCTTTAAATGTGTCTAATAGTTCTTCAACAAATTCTTTTGTAACTTTTCCATCCACAATTTTTGGTCCATCATATTTATCATCGATTGTCATCGATTCAAAATCTATGGATTCGGCCACCGATCTTTTGATTGTATCCACAGAAATTGCTTTTTCAAACGCTTTTTGATTGACGATTTTTTTGCATTCTTGACATTTAATCTTAGCATCCTTATCGTTTGGACAAAATTTGACAACAGTTTCGAAATCTTTTAATGCTTGCTTAAAACGTCCATTAGCCATTTGTGCTTCGGCTCTTCTATAATAGCCTTTAATATAATTCTTATCAATTTCGATAGCACGGGAAGCATCGGTAAAGGCATAACCGAAACATTCGGTTTTAAGATAAGCAAAACTTCGATTTCCATAAAGTATAGCATTATTTTGATCTTTTTCGATAGCCATCGAATACAATTCAATTGCATCTTCATATTCTTTTCTTTTGAAATATTCATTAGCTTTACATTTTAATTCGTCAGCAGTCAAATCTTTGAATTCGGCAAATTTAGTGCAATTCTTCACAGTATCACCGTCAGTATTCATGGCAATGAATTTTTTGAATAAATGTCGATATATTAATTGTTATGGCCCAAATTACAAGAAAAAATTATAAGTTTATACAGCAAACAAAAAAAAAATGCTAAAACATGCTGATCAACAATGCAATGCGATATATCGAATACACAGTCTGCCCAATATGATCACGGTTAGTCATATGATTCTGATTCTGAAACGACATCTATCGATATTTGTATGATTTAATAAACAAATCATCATTTCATTCATGATATTTGAAATTTTTTATTTTTTATTTTTTTTCATTGCACAATTTGAGTGTATAATTTTTAACATAAATAATGGAAGATAATTCTTTACAAAATTCATTCAATACAATTAAACTTTGTAAAATTTTTGTTTCCTGTTCATTATTATCATAAAAATGATCCGGAATTTTTCCCGAAAGAAGTTTCATTTTAGTTTCATATAATTTATCATGAAGATTATCAATACCTTTGACTGATATCTGTAAATTTTCAATCAATTTATGTAAAATGTTAAATAAACTTTCATCACTATTTTTTATAAGAATAGTAGGATTTAGAAAACAATTATTAATATATTCATTTGGTACAAGAGAAATTTTAGCCAAAATTGAGAATAATTGTATCTTGATTTCATATGGAAGTTCGAGCAATGAATTCAAATTATTAAAAAGAATTTTAACAAAATTACAACGGTCATTATTGCATGCGTCATCATTGAAAGTTTGCTGTTTTTGATCTGTATTCCATTTGATAAAACTGGTGATTATAAACATATGAAATCCCTTTACAGCTTCTTTTAGATAAGCTTCAAATTCAGATTTTTCTTGTTGAATATCGAATTTAAGCTCATCAGGCATCAATGATATAAACAAATATAAGATCTTAATCATATGATCCAAATCAATATAAGAGGTTTGGTTTTGGATATTCGACAGATGATGTATTTCATCTGCAACCGTATTCATCTGATCGAGCACATTGATTGAATTAAATTTGGATGATATTTTTGTCCAGATGTTTGGTTTTTCTAGCATCGACCAATCAATATCGATTATTTCAACATTATTTTGGCAATTTTCAGCTGAAAGTTGTTTGATGACAAGATCGTTGATGATTTCAAAAGAAGGTCTCGAAAGAATATCTTCAAATAATTGTAATGTTGCTGAACTTAGTTTAATGAATTTGATTCTATCGCCTTCTTGTTCAAAATCACGTTGAATAATGTCGGAAATATGACATCGTTCTAGCAATATTGTTCGTAAATGTTTTTTGTTCGCTTTTTCTGGCATAATAATCACAGAATGATTTTTATCATTGTTATGATCAGATAAAATTAGAAAATGGCATATCAAATCAAACAGTGAAGAATTTTCAATATTTCGTAGGCAATTGGACATCAATACTGTTGCACGTAAGACATTGTCAAGAGCATCTAATTCATTGGCAAAACCATCGCCAAGCAAATCAGGAAGAAAACAAGCCCATAAAAAGTTTTTCTTAAATTCATTTAAAAGATTACATTTTAATATTGAATTGTCAATCAAATTTTGAATCACCAGATCAAAGAAAATGAACCATTTGAGAAATGATAAAAATTTTCGTATAGATGTCGAAAACAATGGAGAATCATGTTCTTGAAGCAACAAAGAATTAACAGTCTCAATTTCTTCAGGTTTAAGTGAATGTGGTATTGCATTATAATGAATGATAATCTGATCGACAATCTTGCAAGAAAATGGAGTATCTTCTGCAATAACTTTGGCTGCATTTTCATCCAATATCTGAATCAATCGTATGATGGAATCACCAGCATATTTTGATATTTCAGCATCTTCACTATATAACAGAGATAATAAGGAATTTATTAACGGAAAAGAATTTATTGAAAAGAAATGTAAAAAATCGGGATTTTTGATCAATTTGATGAGCGATGTCAAAAAATACATTTCGGTCGATTCATATGGACTTGCCGGTATTTTGCCACAAATAATGATTAGCTTATTCAACGAGGAATGTACAGATTTGTGTGGAATCAAAGTAATTTTTGAATCATGTAAAAAACGTGTAAAAAATAAGAGAATATGTGGACATATTCCAATCGGTGTATCGGTTTGAGCCACAATGCTCAAAGTTTCCAGAATATTGTTTTGTAAAATATATTCAATCGTTGGACATAAAGCAGATGAATCTTTTTTTCTTTTCATCCAATCTAATTGTTCCGTTATGATAATTTCGGTCATTTTGATTAATTTGTTGGCAAGATTAGTTGATTCAATATGCAACTTTTCTGTTTGAGTGTTATGATCATTTTGACGATAAAATGCAGTGAATGAATTCCAATGATAAAGGAATTCTTCAAAAGAAGTAACTGGTGGGGCAAGAACATCCGATAAAGGACTATTAGAAATAAGATTAAACATTATAAGTTGACTAAATTGTAAAAATCGAGAAAAAATTTTGATTTGTTACAAATGATACAAATTGCCTGAATCCACTTTGATGATTCAATTGAATCTATATTTATACACGTGTATCGAAATAGCGTTTCCCGTTTGTTAGGAAAAAAAAGCTCATTCTGAATTCTGAATTTATTTATTCTGAATTCTGTTTTTATTTTGGGGCCAAAAAAGAAAACCGCAATGAATGATCAAGTTACGAGTTCAGATGAAACTACCACAGAAGAATCACCATTAGTAGATCAAGACACGGATAAAGATGCCTGGTCTGTACAATGTTTTTTTTACAATTTTTTTTAACAATTCACCTTTGTTTTGATGCAAATAGGATTTTAGAACTTGAAACGGCATTGTTATCCGATTGTGATATTAATGTGATTCGTAAAATGTCCAGTCAACAATCAATACCAAACAATTTACGCTATGAATTTTGGCAGGTAAACATGACGATTAATTCATGAATCTGTTTTAATATATGTTTATACAGGTTTGTTTAGGTATCAAAGGGCGTGTCAAAATCTTAGAAGATATATTTGATCTACCTGAGCAGAATTTGATACGAAATGATTGTCGAAAACTAGTCGAAAAGTTAAATAATTCTAGTTCTGAAAAGTTGTCAATATTATCCGATCTCGAATCGATTATAACGAATTTTTCCCGGCTAAATCATTGCCCATATACTTCGAAAAACGGATGGATCGATCTACTGGAGACTTTGATTCATCTAAATGTAAAACGAGATGAATTGTTTAAAGTATTTGAATCTATCGAACTTCGTTACATTACCAAATATTACAACTGTTCCAATGACGATTCAAAAGAATCCAAATCAATTTATATGCAACCATTCCATCTATTGCGTCTATTTTTGCTTTATCATGATCCAGAATTGTGCAATTATTTTGATACCATTAAATTAACTACAGAACAATTTGCCTCAACTTGGGTACCACATCCAGCCATTTATTTTATCGATTTAACTAAAAATTTGTTTTCATTTTCAGTTTCAGAGTCTGTTTTGTTTCGACATTTGCAATCCAAATGTTTCATTGAATCTTTTGGACGCCTATTTTACTTATTCGGATTCATTTATGATATTCTATCTATCCCTAGTCATGATCATCAATCTAAAGTACGGTGATATTTGTTTTAATTTATATTAAAAACTATTTTTGTTTTTTTTTAGAGATGATCTTAAGATGAAAAATGATAGAACCGAAATCATCAACATCTTATCGACCATACCTTCATCGATCACCGAATCTGATATCAAAGATATGTTTTTTATTGCCGAACAACATTTTCTACAAAAAACACCACTATCTGTGAAAGTAAGTCTGAAATTTATATTTCAATCTATTTTGTAAATCCATTCGATTATTAGGATTTTCAGAAATTACTTTTTCAAGTTCATTCCCAAACTGATATATATGATGATCTTTGTCATATTGAGGATTTATCCACTTTATTATGTCTCCCGATATCGATACATGAATTGTTGAATAGTTGCCAAAATGAAAATAATCTTAGATATTTTGTTGTTGATTGCCGGCCACCTGATCAATACAATAATGGCCATCTTTTAACAGCATTCCATCTGGATTGTAGTCTGGTAAGTGTTGAAAATAAAATTTCGTTAATCTGGCTAAAATAAATTTGAAAAATAGATGTTGAATGACCCATCAGTGTTTGCAACAGCCGTTCAAGCACTGTTAGCATCACAAAAACAAGCTATTGAAGCAAACGCGATTGCTGGAGGTGAACATCTTTGTTTTATTGGAAGTGGCCGTGACGATACAGATGATTACATTCATATGGTTATCTCTTCGTTTCTACAAAAACATCATAAATATGTTAGCTATCTTTATGGCGGTTTTGAAGTACTGCATAAAACAATCATGGAAAAACATTTAGATCATTTATTAGTAGATCACAATAGCAAACATTGTTTATGTTGTGTAGCACGAAAATCCTTTCGTTCGATTCAAAATGACCATTCATCATCATCATCGGATTCTAGATTTCCGAAAGATGTCGATCATTTGACCTCGGTATTTTTTCAAAAATTTTCCACTGCCGTTAAGCCTAAAATCAGCGAAATGAAAGAAAAACTAGTAGAATATGTAGTCAACCCTAATCAAAAACAAGTGATCAAACATGTTAGCTCGGAAAATCTAGGCAAACGTTATAAGGGAAGCAAATTTAGTCTGGATGATTCGAATACAGATTTAGGTAACGAATGTTTGTTTGAGATTATGATCATTTCAATACAATATCTTTATTTTATAGATGAAGATACCAGTGATATAAATGCCGAGAATGATCTATCCGAAATCAATATAGAAGAATGGAAAAAACAACAAAATCTAATTGGATGTTTTGAATGTTCAAAAATTAATTCGGATAATAGTAGAATTCCTGGGTATGTCATGATGAAATCTTAATAAACTTTTTTTGATATTTTTTTCCATATAATAATAGCTATCTGGCAGTGACCAAAACGAATCTTTATTTTTTCAAACATTCCAAAAATCGTGAAGGATATGGACAAATAATAGTACAAAGGCCATTAGAAATGATATATCAGATCACCTCAAAACGAAAATGTCCAGAGATCATAACGTTTAAATATGGACATTCAAACAATGATGGCAATGAATCGGTTTTAATTGCCAAAGATAGTCTAATTCTTGTCGAACCATTTGAAGTGATTCGATTAATTAAACAACAAGTTATCAATTTATTGGACCAAAATCATCTTAATTATAATCAAAAAGATTCATCAAAAAAATAATTATTATTATTGATATAAACGCCATAGATTACAAACAACACATACCTACCACAAAATTCAATTTTTAATATATTAATTTTTTATAAAGACTATTATTATTTAATGAAAATAAAGTGAACTATTTTTTTTGAAAATATAGTATTTATTCAGTTTGGTTGTTTGTTTTTATTTGTCTATTGATGAGTGCAAATTCGATAAAATGTGTATTTTTTTTGTTGATAACAGTCGATCCACAATACATTAACATATAATACACACATAAACGTTGTTTACGTTGTGTGATAAATGTAATTATTTTGTTGTTGGAATTGAAATTTTCTTAGTATTTTTTTTTACCTTATTTCTAATTTCTGATTGTTTCGAATAAAAATGGCACATTTTGGTATGTTTAAATTACAATGATAATATATCTAAATATTATTTGATAAATGTTGTTTATTTACAAAATAATGATGATTCTATTCATAGATGCAACTCTTTTGAAAACAAATATTGTATCCAGTGAAATTAAACAAATAGCTGAAAAATTGAAATTAAATTCATTATCAATTTATAATGATAATGATGATGCCAAGGTAATATTGAATTGTCAATTGTTTTTTTTATTTGGTCATTTTATATTCTATCTGTTCAATATAGATTCGAGATTTATTACTCATATTGAATTGTATAGATTTAACAACATTGGCTGGTGATGATACTTACAGTAATGTATCTAGGCTTTGTTATCGAGCTAAAAATCCATTGAGCAACAAAATAATTGAGAAATTGGCTCTATTTGATAATCATTACCATAGTAACAATATCACAACAGGTGCTGTTTGCGTTTATCCATTAAGAGTTAGTGACTGTCGTCAATATTTGGATAGAATCGATTCCAATCTACCAATAGCTTCTGTTGTTGCCGGGTTTCCAAGTGGTCAAAGTCCAATTCCAGTAACATTGGCTGACATTACTTTTGCCGTACAATCAGGAGCAAATGAAATTGACATTGTTATCAATCGATCTTTAGTGTTGTCCGGCAAATGGCAAGAATTATTCAACGATATAAAAATCATCGCACAGCATTGTCATGAGAAAAATGTTCATTTGAAAGTGATACTCAGCTGTGGAGAACTTGGTAATTTACAGAATATTTACAAAGTATGTAATGATTATCATCGAAATTAGTCAGCCAAATAGCAATAATCTATTTCTGTCACTGTCATACAGGCATCAATGTGTGCAATGATGGCCGGTGCTGATTTTATCAAAACATCCACTGGAAAAGAATCTATCAATGCTACATTGACTTATGGTCTTATTATGATTAGAGCCATTACTGATTTCTACATTGCTCGAAATATTCGTGTTGGACTTAAACCGGCCGGTGGTATCAAAAATGCTACCGAAGCTTTATGTTGGATCAATTTGGTGCGGTTTTATTTAGGACCAGAATGGCTCAATAATAAATTATTCCGAATAGGCGCTAGTTCTTTACTCAACAATATCGAATTTGAAATTTTTAAATTGTTATTCAATCGAAACCCCACAGTAAGTGAATTGACAATTTAAAAAAAAATCAACAAATCAAAATTTATTTACAAAAACAAATCTTTATTTTTCGCAATCATTTACTTTAAATTATAATGATAAATGTTTAGTTAAGTTTTTTTTGGAATTTTTAAATGTTTACAAATTTTTTTTTTTGAGAAATGTGTTGTGTGGACATTAAACGAATCGAATTGAAATGGATATGAATGAAAAGGAAACAAAAATTGATGTGTAAATTTTCTGTCTTTTGTATGTGGTGTGCAGTGTGTCCAAACATTGATTTAGGCCGAAGAAGTTACATCACCTTCAGTTTTTTCTACGGCTTCAGAATCAGTTTTCAATTTCTTTGGTGTTGTTTCTTCAGTTTTGTCACCTTCATTAGAAATAGATTTCCTTTTTGGACCATCTACTACATCGTCTGTTTTTTCGGATTCTTCTTCTTTTTCCTCTTTGGATTCGGATTTTTCTACTTGTTCTTTGTCTTTGTTACCATTGGCAGGTACTTCGTCGGTTTCTTCGGCTTTTTTTCCATTGTCATCAACATTTTCGCTGACTTCTTCAACATTACCATTTGCTTCTTTTTCAACTTCAACTTCGACAACTTTTTTCTCTTCCATCGATTTCTACAAAGATATATAAATTATAACTTTTATTGTTAATCATTAAAAAAAATGACAATTTCACCTTTGTTGGAGTAGTTTCAACCTTCTCAACCTGTGGTTGCGGTTCAACTTCGGGAGAACTGAAAAAAAACATCAAATTAAAAAAAAATAATGATAAATAATCAGAATACTTACTCAATTTTAGTGCTAGGCATTATTAAAATTAAATTGGTATTACCAAATCGAAAAACAGTGAAAAAATCAAACAAAAGAACAAGTTGGTTGACAAGCCGGTAAAACGTGCGTGTGGTTTTCGAAAAGTTTTCTTTTTTTGGCTGCTAAAATTAACACGAAACGAACACTTCAACAATCAACGATAGAATGAACGACTTCCGAGCCGTACAATTGCATTTAGAAATGTTTTACCATCAATGTACATGTATATTGCTTCGTTCACCATTGTTTATTGATCACGTGACCATTGCTTTTAGCCAATCAAATTGAAAGTTTGAAGAAAATCTGCGCTAAAAAATTTCTTTGTTCATTGTTTGGCCTTGACCACTATCACATCATAAAATGAGTAGCTGTATACAACATTTTCGAAAATAAAAATAAAATAGTAGTAGTAGTAGTCGTGGTAGTAGCAATATATATTGTACAAGAAAACAAATAAACGAAAAGACAAAACCCGCGCGTATATGACAAACTGGCGCCAACTTGATTTCGATGTTTGAAACATGCGCAATGTTGATAACGAACAATGGTTTTTTTTTTGCTTTTTGATAGAAAAATCCAGACCCTAGCTTTCAGTGATTGTAAATTCTCTCTCTTTTTACAAAACTGGCTTAACCTTTTGGGACAGCCAAAAAAAAACGAGAGAGAGAACCAATGCAAACGTAAAAAAGAAACTAAGAGAGAGAGAAAGGTAGAGACAAAGTATGAAGGTAGAAACAAACAAACAAAAAAATATTGAGAAAAAAAACCATCCTTTCATCGCGAAAAAAGCAAGCCGGTCGATTTCGCATGGATTTTTTGTTTGTTTGTTTGTTGGATAATATCGAGAAAAAAAATGAGATGGATGAATGATGAATGAAGCAAGTATCATCATATAAATGAAAAAAAAATTGTTCATGGATTTAGGGGATATAGGTAGTAGTACATTGCTAAAAATATACCCAGAAAAAAAGTCCCCATTCTATTGTCCATCTTTGTTCTTCTTCGTTAATTATCCTTCAATCCCCCTTTCAAACCTAAATAATCATTGAAATATAGTGAGTGAGAGAGAGAGAGAGAAAGAGGAAAAAAATGAGAGAATAGAATGATACAAGAATAGTTTTCATTTATGATGATATAAAAGATATGGAACAATCTGTGAATAGCTCTTTTTTTTCTTCTGAATACCTGGATTTAATGAATCCAATCATTCATCTTTTCATACATCTTGGTATACCTGATTTGTTCGAATGAATAGTATGACCAAAATCTTAAAAAAAAGGTGGTAAAGCAACAAGCTTTCAAACAAGTTTATTACCAGGTATACGATCTTTCTCTTGAACACACTTATCATCATCACGATTGAATGAACGTCATACACATAAACACACATCCAATGCTTATATCCGGCCTTTATTGGTCATTGGACTAACAAAGAACAGAAAAAAAAACAAAGTTTGAGAGCAATGAAGTTTTGACTTATTTATTTGTCAAAATAGTATTTTATAATTTAATTCCTCCCCCAATATTTACACACACACATAACCGATGATCAATGTATCATTTTTGATGATTTCGTTTTTTTTGTTGTTTCTTTGGTAAAATCAAAGAAAAAAAAAGAGAAAGATACATGATCAAAATGATGATAAAATGTAAAAAGTAAAAAATTCGAACAGGTTTTTTTTCAGTTCGAATTCGACTTTTTTTCTTCATCCAAAACTGTTACCCGAAAAGATAATGTTACTTTTTTAACCCTACGATCTACATTTATGTATTTATAGACATTCGAATGTTTATTTTTGGAAGGGGGTGTATTACAACAACAAAAAAGAAGAAAAACTTTGTCGAATTTCAAAATAGAAAAAAAAATTTCAATTTATTATGACAAAAAAATAGTATTTTACATCCAAAAAAAATTGTAGTGGAGTTTGTTTTCCAAAATGTGATGAAAGAAAAAGAGTATCGCAAAAATTATGTCCATGTTTGGCGTATACAAAAAAAAATTAAAAAAATAAAGCTACCATTTGTTCGATTTCATTGATTGAATAGAAGAAAAAAAAAATACAAAATTTACAGATCAAACTTATTCAATTGTCCAGTGGATATAAAATAAAATGGACGATGTTCAATGGATTGATTATTTTTATTCAAACATTCACCATTCATACTAATAATATCTGATTGATGATCATCATTATCGGCATCCGATTCTTCTAATATTGAATCTAATTTTGGTGCACTTTGTGATCGTTCTAATGGTTGTTTAAAATATTTTGATCCATTGACTAGAAATTTTTTCCTTATCGGCAATGTATTATTTGGTGTTTGTTGTCGTAGATAGATTTCACGACGAAATTCTCTTAAAGCATTATAAAGACGTATTCTTAATTCATCGGCCATTTGATTTGCTTGATTTGAACGTTTACATAGTACAGCATGACAACGTAATTCGGGTTTTCCACGTTTACCGGTATGTCGATAAATCCAAATAAATACACGTGGATGTGTATTTGTATTTGTTACATAGGTAATTTTATTCGACCAATATTCAATATTACCTAATTCACGAGTATATACTTTCAAACCCGAATTACATATTGTTATCTTCATTTTGGTTAATGCTTTTTTTCCTTTTCTACGTTCATAATTTTTCCATAAAATATTTAATGGTGATTCAACAAATTGATCACCTTTTGCCCAAAATGTTGGTACATTACCCAGATACGTTACGTGATATGATAGATCACCACGATTCAATGTAATTGAACGTTTTTTCCAGAATTTTAATCGTGATTGTACATCGGTTAACCATACGTTTAGATTTTGATTTGATGAAAACCATTTAGAAAATGAGAACAACTTTGAAACAGATTCAAACATTATAATTCTGTAGTCATTTTGATGATAAACTTGATGACATCACACTGTGTTAAAATGCTGATGATCATCAAAGAATTTATTTAGCTAAATGATTAATGATTAATTCATCACTATTTCATCATCATGTTGCAAGCAACAGTTACAAACGAACGATCAAAATATCGATGGAATGATGTTGAAGAATAGCAACAACAAAAAAAAACAGTGAAACAAGATACAGAAAAACGTGGCTCATTTGTCTCACTACGTACTGCTCACTTTTGCTTCGTTGAAAAGATGAAAAGAAAGGCCCTAGCTATAGTTTTCGTTGATTGCACAGTTATTATCTAGTTCATTTGGTATTGACATGTTGATTGGGAAAAAAAATGCTTCTTTATTATCTTGTCCTGTTCATTCACTCGCAACCGTAAAATAATTTTGATGAACATAAATTGTAACATAAACGTTAATTACGTTCATAAATGACATTACGAATTGGAAACAAAAATGGATCAGAATCTTGAATCTTCAGATTTTTCATAATGTCTTCATCTACAGGTTTGTTTTGAATATTTATTTTATTTCTGTTCGAGAAAAAGCATTCTTTGAAATCTATTTCATAGGTAATATCAAACAATCGATGAATGAAGATCGTAATGAAAATGATCACGATTTTCAAACAGTACCATTCAATCCGAATAAATCTCTTTCAATTGAACAGCAACGTCTTCGATTACCGATTCACAATGTAAGATTCTTTTTACTCATTTCATCATTTTGTGTTTAATTTTTAATTAGTTTAAAAATCATATAGCATATCTGTTGGAAAAATATCAAGTTCTAATAGTGATTGGTGAAACGGGTTGCGGTAAAAGTACACAATTGCCACAATTTTTATATGAATTTGCATATGTCAATTTCAATGAAACGTATGGAAAAACTCAAATTATTGGCATCACTCAACCAAGAAGGATAGCCACAATATCATTGGCTGCAAGAGTGGCCGAAGAAATGAATGTCGATTTAGGTGCTGAAGTTGGTTATTCCATTCGATTCGAAGATGTTTGTGATGAAAAATCGACAAAAATTAAGTTCATGACAGAAGGAATACTCATTAGAGAAATGATGAATGATCCACTGCTTACTAAATATTCGATTATAATCGTGGATGAAGCTCATGAACGATCAGTGAATACGGATATTTTGCTTTCATTGTTGAAAAAGATAATCAAAAAACGAGCCGATTTAAAAGTAATCATATCATCGGCAACACTAGAAACCGAATCGATATGTAATTATTTCAATACGATTGGAAAACAAAAAATTGATAGATCCACTGTCCTATGTATTGATGGCCGAGCATTTCCAGTCGAAATAAATTTTCTAATCGAACCAACTGCTGATTATGTTAAAGAATCTGTTGAAACTGTGATAAAAATTCATGAAAATTTTCCTAATGGTGATGTTCTTGTATTTCTTACTGGTCAAGAAGAGGTAGAAGAAACCGTAGAATCAATATTTGAATATTCAAAAGATTTAAAAAGTAAACATGACTATTTAGATTTATAATAATTGTTGATTATTTATTCTTTTTTTTCTTTTCAATAGATAAATATGAAAATTACAAAAAATTATTGGTATTTCCATTGTATGCATCTTTGCCGACCAATGAACAAATCAAAGTATTTCAAATTTTACCTCGTCACATTCGTAAAGTAATTGTTGCGACAAATATTGCTGAAGCTTCGGTTACTATACCGGGTGTATCTTATGTTGTTGATTGTGGTTTTGTAAAAATTCGTAATTTCAATTCTAAATCTGCCACCGATTCTTTGATGGTAGTACCAATCACTAAAGCATCAGCTCAACAACGTTCTGGTCGTGCTGGTCGTACAAAAAGTGGCTATTCATTTCGATTGTATACTGAAGAAGAGTTTCGAAAATTGGCCGATTTTACTTCGCCTGAAATTGAACGAGTTTCACTTTCATCGACTATTCTTCAACTCAAAGCATTGGGTATTGATAATATTGTTAAATTTGATTTTATTTCACCACCACCATCCAGAAATATTATCGCTGCATTCGATGTATTATTTGCATTGAAAGCCATCGATAATAATGGATCATTAACCGATCCTCTCGGAATGCAAATGGCCGAATTTCCTTTGAATCCAACATTTTCAAAAATGCTTCTGGTTTCTGAAGATTTTGGCTGTAGTGAAGAAATTTTAACCATTGCTTCCATGTTACAAGTTCAAAATGTTTTCACCTATCCACATGGACAACGAGCTCAACAAGCTAGACGTGCCAAACATAATCTGTCCGTTGAAGAAGGAGATTTAATAACCTATTTGAATATTTACAATCAATTCATAAAATCTGCACAGATTCGAAGTTGGTCAGATAAAAATTATCTTCATTATAAAGGTCTATTACGAGCTGTTGAGATTCGAAATCGATTGAAAAGCCTATTACATCGATTTAAAGTTCGATTAATATCAAGCACCGACGTTGAATCCATTTTAAAATGTATTGTTGCTGGATTTTTTACAAATGCAGCACAATTAGATGAAGATGGCATCTATCGAACTATTCGTGGTAATTATGAACTACATATACATCCAACATCCGTATTGTATACTATGAAACGTTTACCAAAATTTGTTTTGTTCACCGAAGTAATTCATACAAACAAAGATTATATGAAAGATATCAGTGTCATTAAGCCTAATTGGCTTTATGAATTGGCACCACATTATTATGAATTTGGAACAAAAAAATAATCATAATATCGAACGAATCTCAAATTTATTATTATGATTCAGGAATGATTACATAATACAAAAGGTTTTTTCAAGTCATATTTTCAATCCACACAATTCTATACGAATAAATCTGTTTCGGTTTTTTTTTGTACAGTTACAAAAATATATGTTAAATCACAAAAAAAAGGTTATATTGTCAATCTGAGGAGAAAATGTGTGTGTGTTTGTTTATGATTGTGAATTTGTGTGTGATAAATATAGATCAAATCTTTATTTCTAATCATATGTATGATGATTAATGGGCAAAGGAAGAAATCTTTCGATCGTTTGATCAATATCAGTCTTCATTTATTTCAATTTTTTCGCTGATGTAGATACAAATCTGATTATGATAGTTAGGCAAATTTTTTTTCCTGCATGATATCATTTGAGTGTACCTATAAAATGGATAGATTCCAAGGTTAGCAGATTTTTTTTTTGGTTAATATTATAACTGTTGGAAAAAAGATCAAGATGAAAAGAATCAGTTTAATTTCATTATCAACAGTACTTACTTTATTGAAAAAACCATTTTGCTGATGATAATAAGAAGATGATCGTTGATGACCATTGCCACTATTATTATCGTTATAAATTTCCGAATGTTGTTGACCAAGTGTTCCATATAAGTTATGAATCTCTCGTTGCATTTGTGTTCGGCTAGCATAGATTGGTTGTTGAGTTGAATTGGTTTGTATTTCGACTACTTGGAACGCTTGATTATTGTTATTGCCACCAGAATTACCGCTAGTAGATAAATTCAATGAGCTTGAAAATGTAACTCGATTTTGATTCTTAAATGATGGATTGTATTGTTCAACGGAATTCAATTCCGGTACGGATTGTTTTCGTTGTAATGCACTTGAAGCAGCTGCTTTTGCTATCTCATTCATGGTTACTGCTACATTATGTTGTTGTTGTTGATGTTGTTTATGTAATAATGTTTGAGTAAGTTTGTCAACAAAACTTTCATTATTCAGACTACTGGATACGGTAAAGCCATTATTTTTTTCGATTGAATTCTTTCGGCTAGAAGATCGAGAAGCTGATTGACTACGATGCGAATGACGATGTTTTCCTAAGCATAAAAATTGAACCAAAAAAAAATGTTATTAAGCCATAAATATTAATAATAACAAATTAATAATGTACCTGAATAGCCGGAGGTAATATTATCATCCGGAATCGATCGATTTGATGAATTTCTTCGTTTGGAAATTTTGGCATTGTTCTGATATACTAACGGTGATTGGCTCAATTTTGTATTCAATGTTTCCAAGAATTCACGATTTACGTTTGAAATTTTATTATAATGATGATGTGATTGAGATTGATAGTGATTATTATTATTGTTATTTGAGGATGTATTCTGCGATGATATTGAAGGTGTAGCCATTGTTGTTGCAATAGTAGATTCAGCTATGAATGCTTCGGGTGGTGGTGCAGGTAATGGTAACTGTGAACCATCATCAGAATCGATTGATTTGAATATATTTGATGATGATTGTTGTTGATTATAGCTTTCAAATATTTTCTTGACAATTTTGTAATCATTTTTATCTCGTTCACTATAAGGATTTGATTGTTGTTGTTGTTTTGATTGATAGTTTTTATCTTCGATCAATGTTTTATCGGATTGTTTGGCTACGCTACATGAGCTTATATTAGTAAAATCGGTATTTTTCAGGGTGAAATTAATATCATTCATTGATTTGGTCAGTACATTGATCTCATCATAAAGTGAAGAATTTTTTGCAACGTCTAATGCCATAGCATCATCATGATTTTTATTGCTATTGTCATTATTATTATTATTATTAAAGTTGTTATTTTTTAACGTTCCTAATGTAATTGCATTAGGATTTGATAATGATGATGTTCGACGTACTGGTGGTGCAGGCGGTGGTTTATTTGATTTTTGATAAATTTTTTCTTCACTTTTATAAATTGAATTTATCATAGTAGAATTTTGTGAATGATCACTAGTGGTAAACATAAGACTTTTTTGTAGATCAGTATTGGTAGGCGTTATTGAACCATCGGATTCATGACTGGGTAATAAATATGTTTGATTTGATGATATGGATGATGTAGGATTTTTATCATAAAATGATTCTTGATCATCTGTTTTGTTTTGGATTTGATTATATGAACTTAAAAATGGATTTGTCGATGTAATTTTTATTGTATTCTTTTCCAAATTATTGCTAGATGATATGGTATCGATCTGAAATTGTAGATCATCGTTATCACCAATTTTTTTCAAATTATTATCCGAATATGAAACATTTGATCCATATACAGTTGATGTAAGCTGATTGAAACAATTAGAAACTTATTGTTATGAAAAAAAAATTTTAAAATTTTTCTTACCGGATCTGTTGTCGAAAAATATTTGTTATGGGTTTGATGATTCGGTGTTTGGTGATGCTGATGGTGAATATAGTTTGAGACTGAATTACTTGATGAAGAATTATAACTTGAAATTGAACACATGCTTGATTTTCTAGATCCTAATGAACTTGGTGAACTAGGAGGTGTGTGAAGATTCCAGGAAGTAAGACTAGTATCATTTTTATTTAATTTAAGATTTGAAATAACTGTTTCACTTGATATGGGTAAATCAAATGGATCGACAGTTAATTTCTGTAATGAATCCATTATTTCTTGTATATGTGATATTTCACTAATCATAGATATTTCTTCTTCGATTATTGGCCCTAAAAATTTGACTAGCAAACAGAAATGACTACGTTCTTCAATCAATGCACGACGTACGGCCTTTTTTTCCAAATCTTCAAGCATTAGTAAACGTTCATTACATTCCATTTCGGAATCCAATGATCGTGTCAATGAAGATGTTGATTTATGATGATGACCACCACCGATCGTACCATAAATTCCTTTACTATTTAATGAATCGAAAAAATCAAATTTACTTTTGCTAAATGAACGTGAAGAATGTTTTTTATTTCCACGAATACTGCCAGATGTACTAAGTGAATCACAATAATGACGTTTTTTGAATTCTTGTCGAAGACGTTTTAATTCTTTTGTACGCTCTTTATCCAATGCTATGGTTGTTTTTTTCCATTCTTCAACTCGTTCTTGTAACGGTATGATTAAACAATCCAGAAAAGAGCTACTGAAAGATTTTAATTTTGCTTCAACTGATCGTTGTCGAAGACATAATCGTGTTAAAGCAGTACCGATTTCTTTAGTACCACCACGAGTTGTTGTTGCCATATCAGCTATCTTTTGAAATGAATCTAAAAATGCTGTCGATGCAGATATCGTTGATTTAAGATGAGTATGAAATTTGGTCGCTTTCAAAATAAAATCATCCCATGTTGAGGATCCATTCTGTAAATGATTAAATAATAGTTACATTATAAACATAAAAAATACCAAATATGAATGAAAAATGTCATTGACATTTTTTTAAAAAAATGGACATTTCTAAATAAACATGACAAACCTTTAAATCATTGATAATGATTTGAAAAAGGCCACCAAGAACATTACAATCATGTTCGGTTATTGTTGATTGTTCCATCATTATAAATTAATTTTTATTGTTCAAATCATTATCCCAAAACACACAATTTAGAAAATCAATCTATGTTGAAAAAAAGAATGAAGGACAATGTTTTTTTTAAATCGTTGAATGGAAAATTCAAATAAAATAAAATAAACACAAATGAATATTTAGAAAATTATATTTGTGAAAATAACGGAAGACAACAAGGCAACAACATAACAGACAATTCAATATGATCAAATTCAAAAAAGATGTATTCGAATGTTGTTGATATTAACATTTAAACAATGTAAAGGTCGATTCATAAAAGAATAGTTTTCTTAAGTTAAAATGATAAGAAAAAGACAGAAGAAATTATTATTCTTTTATCCAATCGACAGAGATTCGTCCGATTAAACAACACACGAAACAACACAAACAATCATCAGTATTTTGGAGATCCTATACGACCAACACGCACACACACACACACCACACGGACTTTTAAAAACGGTAATACACAACATATATGAAACATACGAAACAAAAATATTGAAAATGAAATAAAACCAACAAAAGGACTTTCCACTTTTGTCGCTGGATTTTTTTTTTGGTTTCTGGTTTGGTTTTTTGTTCGGTTTTTTTTCTGGGTAGTTGACTGTGTTTGACACAAACACACACACACACACACAAGCATATATAACAGGCAATACACAGACACAAAGTCAGATATTGAAGAAAAAAAAAAGTACAATAAGAATCCAGGCACCGTTATAAAATGAATGTAATGTTTAGTTAGTGGCATCTATTATAAACACACACACACAAATAATTTCGCCCATAACCAAAAACAATATTGAATATTATTATTATGGTTCTATCCCATTTATTAAATGAATAGGGTCGTTTCGTTGACGGATCCATTTGTCTTTTACATTCTTTCTTTTTTCTTGTTGGAGTTACTATTTGAAAGATAACTACTATATATATACTCTCCTCGCAAAAAAATATATAAACATTTTTTTTCTCTTGATCATTACATAAACATATCTACTATATATACAGAAGTAATGTTTTGTAATGTAAATGCACAGAAGTAACTTTTGGAAACTTGATTTTTAAACAAAAAAACTGAATATAGAAATCAATATCAGAATGTTTTCATTTTAAAAACAAAACAACCACGACAACCGAAATCAAAGAATAAAAAAAAAAGAAAAAGAAAACAAACATGAATCGGTAATGATGATGATCCCGAAGTAAAAGAATTCCGATTTTCCGATATCGTAACACACTAATTCGGTAATTAAAGATATTTACATAGTAATGGCCATTTTCTATTTCTCGAAACACATCCAAATATCAAACAGTGATTAGAAATTTTCAGTTTGTTTTCTTGACAAAAATATATGCAACAAATTAACTGAGAAAAGAAAGAAAATTTTCTTTCCAGACACTAAATGATGCCAAAAATGCAATTGGAATTGAAAGAATATTTTAAAATCGAACACAAAAGAACTGATTTCGATTCATGAATATTATATTTACACACATATCACAAGAATGACACGAATCGTCAGAGACAATAATAATTGAAAAAAAAACAGAATCTAATTTAGATTAACTAAATATAGTAACTATAATATACTATAGTTATGAATAAATAATTTAGAAGAAGAAGAAGAAGGAAGTATTTGTTTTTGTTTTTTTGGATAAAAATAAAACTTCATATGAATATCATCATCATACTACTGTGTGTGTATATAGTTGACCTTATTTATTTATTTTTATTTATTATTTATTATTTATATAAATATTTTGTATTTATAACAATCATCATGTTTTTATTACTACAGATAGACAAAGGAATAAATCGCGATTTTAATGTTGCGACCATTTTATTGTTTTAATATCGATACCTTCTTGTATCATTTCCCATAATGGACTCATTTCTCTTAATCGTTGTACATGATATACACATTTATCAATAGTATATTGCACTTCTTGTTCAGTTGTAAAACGACCTAAACCAAAACGTATTGATGAATGTGCCAGATCATCATCGGCACCGATTGCTCTTAAAACATATGATGGTTCTAATGATGCCGATGTACAGGCACTTCCCGAAGATAAAGCTACATCTTTTAAAGCCATCAAAAGACTTTCACCTTCAACATAGGCAAATGAAAGATTTACACATCCAGGATAGGTCATTTCAGGATCACCATTACGAATAACATGAGTAACTTCAGAGGTGATACCAGTGATTAATTTTTCCGATAATTTATCTATCCATTTACGATCATTATCCATTTCTTTCGACGACACTTGACAAGCAGCACCCAATCCGACGACTAGTTGTGTGGGTACGGTTCCACTGCGAATTCCTCGTTCTTGACCACCACCACTTTGAATCGGTTCGATTCTAACTCTAGGTTTACGACGAACATATAATGCACCAATTCCTTTTGGTCCATAAATTTTATGACCACTTATTGAAATCAAATCAACTTCAATATCTTTGATACTGATAGGTATTTTTCCCACTGCTTGAGCCGCATCTGTATGAAAAAAAACTCCACGCTCTCTACATATTCGACCTATTTCTTTGATTGGTTGTTTGACACCTATTTCATTATTAACAGTCATCACAGACACTAAACTTGTTTTATCAGTGATGGAATCTTGTAATTGTTCCAGATCGATTATTCCATTTGATTTGACAGGCAAATATGTGACTCGAAATCCTTCATTCTCGAGATAACGGCAAGAACTAAGGACACATTTATGTTCGGTTTGAGTGGTGATCACATGATTCTTTTTGTTTTTATAAAAATTTGCCACACCTTTGATAGCGATGTTGTTGGCTTCTGTTGCTCCGCTTGTAAATATAATTTCTTTTGGATCAGCTCCTATCAAAGTGGCAACTTGTTCGCGAGCATTTTCAACCGCATTTTCACTTTCCCAACCATAAACGTGTGTTCGTGAATGTGGATTTCCATATTGATTTATCATATAAGGTAACATTGCATCCAAAACTCTTGGATCAATCGGAGTGGTAGCCTGAGCATCAAGATAAAGTGCATGTAATGAGGATGATTTCGATTTATCACGATCATCTAAATTGTTTATGAATTGAAATTTTATTTTTTTTGTTGCAAATTATGATTTGCAAATCATAACTTACTTTCGTTGATGGCTAAATTTGCCTGTTCAAATGTCGTCGAAACATTTTGTGACCAAACATTTATTAATGATCGTGTTGTATTTCGCAACAAACGATGAGTAGCTTTCATAATTTACTAAACTTATCTTATTTCTATTTTTTGAATAGCCAAAAAAAAAATTAAAAACCGCAATTAAACATGTGACTGCATATGTAAGCATGAAAACATGCATGCAGCGACACTCAGTTGTTTTCCTCTGAATCTTCATATTATTATATGTTCAAAACAGAATTTTTCCGACTTGATAAAAAGATAATTTTTCATTCAGAATATGAATTCAAATTTTTTTCTATTTTTTTGTTATTACGGAATACAGTACATGAATAAATGTGTAAAGTTTTATTTTTTGTTGTTAAAAATTGTCATAATTCAAATTTCAGATGATGATCAATGATTAATTACATTACGGAAACGGTTAGACAAGCAATTTATTATTTGCAAAATTTATCCGATTTCATTTTGGCTCGTCTATCCAGTAATTCTTCATGTAAACGTCCTTTGGTTTTTGCTTCTTTCAATGATTGAACACTGTTGTCATTTAAACGTAATTTTTTATCTTGAAAACTTTGAAATTTTTTTACATAATTTATTTCACAATCACGAAGTGATCCTTTTTCTTCATTCGGTATACTTTGTTTCAATTTTTCCAAACGTGTCATTTCGGGATTGATATTTGTACGGATTTTGATGAATTCATTGTCACCAGCTTTTGTGCTTCGGGCTACAACATAAGGTAATTCGGATTCGGTTTCATCAATTGTTATGAAACAACCATTGGAAGCGGAAAGAGCTAATTTGCCATCTTGAAATACCGGATCAAAATGTTCACGATTACTTATGGCATCTGAATGTCCGACAACTTTTCTATGTTTATCGATGGCTAGATATTTATTATATCCACTTTTAATAGCAATCTGTGTTGGTGAAACTCGAACAGCGATGAAAATTTCTTCCGGATCTGGTCCTTCGCCTGGTGTATGAGGGCTTCCAAGAATTAGATTTCCATTATCTAATGCTCTTGCATATTGATAAGGAGTGAATTCAATACAAATTGATCCAGTAATTTGTTCGAAACGATCAACTCGAAACCAATCTCCATGATTTGCAGCATCATCAAAATCGACTGCCGATGATGTTGATGGATTGCTTTGAATGTCATCATCACCATCTTCACGGGCTCGTTTATTTTTCTTCTTATGTTTTTTAACACCTTTCAATTTAAGTTTGCCCAATCTTACACCAGAATATTCTGACATTTTCAAAATAAACAATATTTTATATCTCAGCCGAAATGATGAGCCGAATTAATCACAATGTTACGTCTTATAAGGATAGAAATAATTTCACGTGGTCTCAAAATACAGAATCTCGTCAATATTAAACGAAAAAAGTATGGAAATGAAAAATGAAAATTCAAATACCGATAATCATCAAAATGAAGAAAATGATTATTTTCAAACGATTGGTAGCCGAAAAAAATTGAAAACAATCAAAGTGAAACCAAATCTTCCAAAATGGATTAATGAATCTGTTAATTATTCGGGAGATATCGAAAACAATTCAGTTGGCCTGAACGAAATCGAAAAAATAATTGATGAATGTTTGTCAAATAATCTTCGAAAAAATGGTATCGAAAAATTGTTTCCTGTACAGAAAGAAGTTATACCAAAATTAATAAACACTCTAAAGAAAAAAAGATATTTTCGACCAAGAGATATTTGTGTTATATCGCCGACTGGTAGTGGAAAAACATTTGCTTATTCAATTCCAGTAATTCAATATCTACTTGATCGAATAGTGACACAGATTCGAGTGTTGATCATATTACCCGTACAAGATTTGGCCAATCAAGTTCATAAAGTGTTTCAAAATTTGTGTGAAAATACAACTCTTCGAGTTGGATTGGCAACTGGATCATCATCATCTAATATGTTTTATAAGCCAAATATTGATGGAACTCAAACAATTTGTTTGGCTGATATTCTAATAGCAACTCCAGGAAAACTTGTTGATCTTATTATGAATAATGAAAATGGTTTCCATTTACGAAATTTAGAAATATTAATCATCGATGAAGCAGATCGAATGATGAATGAAACACAATTACAATGGCTCAGTACAATTGAATATGCTGTTCATGGATCAAGTAGTAAATTTTATTGTCCATGTTTGGCTCCAGATAATGGAAATCGACAATGCAATTATAATGTTGATCCATTTTGTGCTTGTTCAACATTTAATACGGGAAAAACATTGTTGAAGATTTTATTTTCAGCAACATTTACAACTGATCCGGAAAAAATAGAAAATCTTTCGCTATACAATCCATTGTTAATCAATATGAACAGCGGACATGATGATGACAAAAATATGACCGAAAAAATAAATCCTGTAGCTTTGCCCGAAAATCTAAAAGAATTGATGGTCATTTCTGATCAAGATAAAAAACCGCTTATTTTATGGCATTTAGTAAAAAATTTAGGCTATAAACGAATTCTTTGTTTTGCAAATTCAATTACAAATGCTCATAGACTTGATTATTTGATGAAAAAACTACCGGAATTGACTGTTGATGAACTTCATTCAAGACAAAACATTCATAAAAGGACAAAAATTTTAAAGAAATTTGAAAATGGACTTATTCATATATTAATATCGACAGATGTTACAGCTCGTGGTATGGACATTGATGGTATTGATTGTGTAGTTTCTTATGATCTACCACGTAATGAAACTGCATACATTCATCGAATTGGTCGTACAGCTAGAGCTGGAAAACAAGGAACTGCCATAACATTAATTTCACCTGATCAATTAAAACATTTTAATATTATAATACGACGATCACATAAATCATCATCTAATGATCAAAAACAAATGATTGAAAAATTATCCATTAAAAATTCTGATTTAAAACCATTAATCGGTATCTATACTAAAGCATTGGAACAATTAAAAATGGATGCTAAAAATGAATGGAAAAAAGATGCTAATGCTAAACGACAACAATTACGAAATAAATCTTCATTTAAATCATGAAGAAGAAGAAAAAAACTGTATCGATTTACAAATGTATTTTCTTTGCCGCGGTACTGTTTTATTAAATGTCAAAAATTACATGTTTGCCCAAGAACGTACATTACGAACAGACAGAAAACAAGCTGACTCGTTCCTCGTCATCAAAAGTTGCTGTTGAGTTGCTTTAACATGTTTTTTTTTTAATAAAATGGTCATCAAATAATATTGTCCGGCTGTTTTTATCTGAATTTTAAATTTCATTGAAAAGAAAAAATTGTGATTTTTGTTTGTTGTTTTTTTTGTGCAAAGTATTCATTGAAAATTTTTATTAATTAAAAAATATAATAAAATCAATTTTTTTTTCGCCAAAGTTTTTTATTTATTAAATATAACTTTTGTTTGTGTGTGTGTGTGTGTGTGTGTGTGACGACAATTAGTTTGGAAATATATCTTTTCAATAGATAATTTTTTTTAAAGAAACAAAAGAATGGATAATCTTCAATCGGCAATATTATCCCGGTAAATTATAAATAAATATTTTCATTATTATAAACTGATTTATTTTGTTTATAATTAATATATAAAAAAGCTTTACAAATGCAATGCCAACGCCTATACGATTACGAGATCTGATAAGACAGATTCGTGCCGCTCGTACAGCCGCTGATGAACGTGCTGTTGTACAAAAAGAATGTGCTTATATTCGATCAACATTTCGTGAAGAAGATAATGTTTGGCGTTGTCGTAATGTAGCTAAATTACTTTACATACATATGCTCGGCTATCCTGCACATTTTGGCCAGGTAAATTTTGGTCAAGATCAGTTTTTTTTTTCAATTTTAACACAATTATTGTTGTATATAGCTTGAATGTCTTAAACTGATCGCATCTAATCGATATACGGATAAACGAATTGGTTATTTAGGCGCAATGTTATTATTGGATGAACGTCAAGATGTTCATCTATTAATCACCAATTCATTGAAAAAGTAATTTTTTTCTTTAATTCAATTCATTACAATCAATATTGACCCTATTATTGATCTGTTTGAACAGTGATTTAAATAGTCCACAACAATTCATCGTTGGTCTAGCATTGTGCTGTTTGGGTGCCATTTGTTCGGCCGAGATGAGTCGTGATCTACTTGATGAAGTTGAACGTTTAATGAAATCATCAAATTCTTATATTAAAAAGAAAGCTGCACTTTGTGCTGCTCGTATGGTCAGAAAAATACCCGATTTAACCGAAATGTTTATGAATACTGCTAGAAATTTTTTGTCGGAAAAAAATCATGGTAATTTTTTTTCGTTGTTAATATTTTCAATTTTTCTAAAAATTATCATCTTATTCACCTTTATCAGGCTGTCTCATAACCGGCATTACTTTAATTACAGAGATGTGTGAACAAAATCACGATGCATTAAATTTCTTCAAAAAGGTGTGTGATTTGTTTGAAAAAAAAGATAAATTATTCTGTCAATTTCCATTTATCTATAAAATGCTTTTGGCTCTAACTAACAATAATTTTTCTATTTTTTCTTTTAAAAAAAATATATTTAAATCTACATTCGCTTTCGCTCATTGTTTTATAGAATACTGAGGTATTTTTCTTTTTTATGTTTGGACAGTTTTTTTTCAATTTTTCTGAATTTTGTTCTGGTTTTTTTCCTTTTTTTTATAAAAAATAGACTGTTCACAGCCTTGTTCGAATACTTAAAAATCTAATCATGTCCGGTTATTCACCTGAACATGATGTATCAGGTATTAGTGATCCATTTTTACAAATCAAAATTTTGCGACTGCTACGTATATTAGGACATAATGATGAAATTACCAGCGAAATTATGAATGATATTCTAGCCCAGGTAAATTGAAAATTTTAATTAAACTTTAAAACGGAAAATTTTATAATGGAATTAAATTAGGTGGCAACGAATACAGAAAGCAGTAAAAATGTCGGCAATGCTATTCTATACGAGACTGTGATTTCTATAATGGATATTAAATCCGAAAGTGGTTTGCGTGTTTTAGGTATCAACATATTAGGCCGATTCTTATTGAATACCGATAAAAACATCCGTTATGTTGCATTGACTACATTATTAAAAACTGTACAAGCTGATTACAATGCAGTACAACGACATAGATCGACAATTGTAGATTGTTTAAAAGATCCAGACATATCGATCAGGAAAAAATCTATGGAACTTTGTTTTGCATTAATGAATGAAAACAACATCAAAACCATGACCAAAGAGCTCATTTATTTTCTAGAAAAAGCAGATCCTGATTTTAAATCCATTTGTTCATCGAATCTTTGCATTTCGGCCGAAAAATATGCTCCAGATTCTAGATGGCACATTGACACAGTTATTAGAATATTGAATACAGCTGGAAATTATGTACGCGATGATGTTGTTTCGTTGTTGATTGAATTAATATCGAGTTGTGATTCATTACATCGCTATTCGGTTTGTCAATTATGGTTGCAATTGAACGATGGTGATTTACCGAGCAAACAACCTTTGTTACAAGTTGCTATGTGGACATTGGGAGAATTTGCTGATATGTTGATTCAGGCAAGCGGCAGTGAAGAATTAAATGAATCCGATGTAGATGAAAGTCAAATAATTGAAAAATGTCACGAAATTTTTATAAAGAATCAGATCACTTTAGTTACAGAAGAATATACGATCAACGCATTGATAAAGTTGAGCGTTCGATTTCCCAATCAAACCGCTAAAGTCAAACAGATTGTTGACTTTTTTGGTTGTAGCCACAGTATTGAATTGCAACAACGTTCAGTCGAGTTTGCCACATTATTCTCTCGGCATAATAAACTAAGACCAAGTATTTTTGAACGTATGCCACAGATACCTAAAAATGAACGTAAAATATTCTCTAAGAATGAAAAAATGGAAGAAATAAACAAACCAGACAGTATGGAACAATCAAATGAATTAATAGCAGCTACTGGTGATTCAGCTATGCCGAATGATAGTTCGGCTTTATTAGATCTTCTTGATTTATCGCCTACATCCTTTGTAAACCCATTACCATTGCCAGATACAAACGTGATTACTACAGGTTCAACAAATGATGTACTGGATTTATTAGGTTCCATTGAAAATAATGATACGTATAACACTACACCTGAAATCAATGTATTGAATGAAACATTAGGCGATAGTTTTAAAAAGAATGATCTGAACAATTTGGACGCAATATTAAAATATAACAACAATAGTTCGATGAATGGCAGCATCGATGGTCAACAAAATAATTCCATTTCATTTAATAATGAAAATAACATTTTCGATATGATGGTAAAACAGGAACCGATTGTTAGCGAAAAAATCTCCCCAATCACAGCGTTCGATAAGAATGGATTAAAAATTGTTTTCCAATTCGAACGTTGTGCAGACAATCCGTTAACTATTTCAATAACGATGATTGCTACAAATACTACAGATCAACCTATGAATGATTTTTTGTTCCAAGCAGCTGTGCCCAAGGTATTTTTCACATATTCAAAGTGTTTGATGTTCTTATTTTCAAATATTTTTTTGCAGTCATTCCAACTTCAATTGATGCCTCCTTCTAGTACGATCATTCCAGCAAATAATAATGGCTCAATAAAACAGGTGATCAAAGTAGTCAACCCGAATAAGGTAGGCAGAATTTTGTATAAAATTTGTTAATTTAAATGGAATTTTCAATTTAGGCTCAACTAAAAATGCGTTTACGTTTATCGTACAAATATCAAGACATAGATACAAAAGAACAATGTGATGTAACAAATTTTCCGAAACAAACTTGGCAATGAAACATTGTTGACATCATTAATCGTCATCATAGTGGTTGGTCATCATTCTAAATTATCCATCCACTTGATTCCATTATAATATCATGACAAGTGCCTTTTCTAATTTGAATAAATGTCAATATGGAAGATCATCATCTTATGCATCTAAAAAATGACTAGATTTTATGCTGTAAATATACAACTATCTTTTATTACTGTTTGTAATACAAAATTAATTTATCAACAAACGATTAATCGATCGTTCGATCGATAAGAATTTAGTCATTTGTCATTTTTGTTACAAAAATCCAATTTATCCAATCTTAACCAATCAATCGATCACAAAAGTGCATGTATCACAAAAAGATTTTAAATTAAATGAATAATATAATGATAATCAGATTTCATTTCAAAATATTTTTCAATGCTTCTTCTATGGTCGGATATTTTATCTGAACACCCAATTCTTCCATACGTTTACTAATGACTTTTTGTCCTTGAGTCATCATTACAGCTCTTTCTGAACTGAATATAAATTCAATGATCTGTGCCGGAATGAACAGAAAACTTGGTCGTCTTAAAAGACGGGCAAATGTTTTTGTAAATTGTTCATTGGTGACAATTTCTGGTGCAACTGCATTGATGACACCAGTAAATTTTTCATTCCTTAAGGCTTGTATGAAAATGTTGCAAATATCTTCGATATGTATCCATGGCATGTGTTGTGTACCAGAATCGATTTTCGCTCCTAATCCCAAAAAGAACAACGGATACATTTGTTGAATGATGCCACCATTTTTGCCCAATACAATTCCGCTACGAACAGTTACGTTTCTTGTATGATCATCGCCAACTTTGCTAGCTTTTTCCCAATCCGTACATAATTTGGATAGGAAATCATGGTCACCACCCGTAGAATTTTCATCATAAATCTGTATGGCGTCAGGTCGATAATATCCGACACCAGAAATAGAAGCAAATACTTTTGGTTTCTTTTGACTATCGCATTGATTAATGACTTTAACCAACATTTGATTTGTATGTACGCGACTGGCAATAACATTTTGTTTGAATCCTGGTGTCCACCTACGCATTGGATCCAGTACATTCTGTCCGGCCACATTAATAACTGCGTCTGTACCATCTGGAATACCATTCTGATTCAAATCGTCCTATTAGAAAAAAATAACAAATAAAGAAAACATAGTTGATTGGTGACCATAGCAACTGTGTTATTCTTTTCAATAAAAGTGTTAATTTTCAAGATGTATTCCTCTTGGCAAAATCAAGATCAATTTGATTACGATGAATATAAATTCAATGATGAATTGAAAGCTAATTCAAATCAATCGATTCGAAGTCTGTACGTAGATGATGACGAAGATGAATACTATCAAAACATTCCAGATGTCGAAGATCTACACAATGAAGAATTCATGCAACAAACCGCGATGGCACCGGCTTCACTGAGTTATCCTAAATTGAATACTCTTGAATTGACAAGAGAAAAATCGCCCAGAAATCAACAGCAAACAATATTATCCTCTCAAGATGATAAAGAATTATCAACATTATTCGAATGTTTACTACCCAAAGATCAAATCGAAGAAGAAGATACAACTTGGTCATGGGATTCATTGATGACCGATATTATGAGTAAAATGAAACATTCTTCAGCAATAAAAAATTCCGAAAAAGCTGAAATTACAAAAAATAATTTCGATTGATAATGACACTTACCCATGTTATGCTATCAGGTCTTGGCATACGCGATACAATACAAGTTTCGAATCCATGTTTTTGTAATTGTTGTTTAAGAACAGACCCAATAAAACCTGATCCTCCAGCTATTAAAAATAGAAAAAAAGTAATATCATGTTCATGAAATGTATCTTTGATTTGATTTCTAAATACCAATCAATACTTTTCGGATGTTTGCATTGTTCATTATTAATTATTTAGATTTGAAAAAAAAATAAAATAAAATGATGACAAAAAGTTTTTGTTTTCAAGTTCATTCTATCAATTTGAACAATATTATCTTTTGGATCGCTCCATCTATTGATAATGAAAAGAATTTTCATTTCTCTCGACAACAAAAATAAAATTGAACGATTGAATTAGGATGCCAAATAAACAGACAAAAATAAATTGAAAACTGGTTTGAGTTATTTCATAATCGATGATTAATTGATCATCAAATTGAGAATCACTATGCATAATGTGTTTATAATCATTCATTTATAATAAAGATCAGATTGCCTTTCATTTAACAATCAAATTCGTCGTTGGCATTGATGTTTAATCATTTTTACTTTTAGATCCAATCATAATTTTGATTAGTCAATATTTTTTTTTTAATAAAAACTGTTTCAACACCCAAATTTGACATATATATTAATGACGGCGTTTGATTAGTCATGATTTATTATCAACGATAACAAATATTGTCAACAAATTGTAGAAATTCTATTCATTAATCTTTTAATCATATCATCGACCTGTTGATCGAACGAATCAATTATGAATAATCAACAGTCATCGACATTGATCAATGATTCCATTGAACAAATTTCAAATGATGATACTTTTACTTCGAGTGGTCAATTTTTCGATTCATTTAAACCAAGGTAATAATTTTATTCATGATTATTCATAAATTTTTTACGATATGAAAATTTTATTAGATTTATGATTAGTTCAACTGACGAACAATCAAATTACGAAGAACTTATCGACAATGAAGAAGACAAATATCGAACACTTACAACTTTTTCCGGTGTTTTTGCACCGGTAGCGTTATCCATGTTCAGTGCCATTTTGTTTCTTCGTTTAGGTTTGTCATCATTTTCGGATGAAGAATTAGTAATTTATTCGCATCTTATTTTTAGGCTATATTCTTGGCAATTCTGGTCTTTATCTAACAATTTTTCAGCTCATTTTGGCCTATTCAATCTTATTCTTAACAGTTTTGTCTATTTGTTCAATTGCAACTAATGGTGCCATTCAAGGCGGAGGAGTTTATTGTATGTTTATTCGATTAATTGTATTGTATATTTTTTTTAACATCTGTTATAATCCAGTTATGATAAGTAGAGCTTTAGGTCCAGAATTTGGTGGAGCCATTGGAACACTATTCTTTACGGCCAATGTTTTTTCCAGCGCTCTTTATTTGATTGGCTGTGTAGAAGGTATTATCCATAATTTCGGACCATCCGGTGGAATATCTTCATTTTTACCATCAAATTATTGGTGGTCATTTCTTTATGCATCAAGCTTAAATTTTTTAAATGTTGTCATTTGTTTGATTGGCGCCTCTCTATTCGCCAAAACATCAGTGTTAATTTTTGTCATACTTTTGGGTTGTGTCAGTTCAGTTTTGATCAGTCTTTCTACTCGTCGAGATTTATCGTTTCCTGCTCCTCATGAAAACCTCCCCTTTCGAAATCAAACGCTCCATTTTACCGGTTTCAGTTTAGAAACTTTTCAAGAAAATTTGAAACGTATGTTTTTTTAATCACAATCAATGTTAATTGCAAAATCATGCGACCTAATTTAATCAAATTCAATAGCTAATTTCACAATTGATTACACAACCGATCATACAACCTCATTTGCCGTAGTATTTGGTGTTTTGTTTAGCGGCGTTACCGGAATAATGGCAGGTGCCAATATTTCTGGCGAACTAAAAGGTAAACTATTCCTATTGATCTAGTTTTTAATCATGTCATCGTTGCATCCTTAAATTTAGATCCAACTAAATCAATACCACTCGGAACGATTGGCGGTGTGATTTTCACATTTATAACATATCTGATTTTATTCTTTTTTACTGCTTTCTCTTGTCCAAGAGAAATGTTGATCAATAACTATATTTATATGCAATCAATCGATTACGCACCAGTATTGGTTGCCATCGGAATTTTCGCTGCCACATTCTCTGCTTCATTAAGCAATCTAATTGGAGCATCACGAGTATTGGAAGCTTTATCAAAAGACAAACTTTTTGGACCATTATTGAATCCAATCAATAAGTATTCGAAACCTGGCAATCCTGTTTGTGCCGTGTTGATCACATGGTTTCTTATTCAATGCATAATTTTTATTAACAAATTGAATTTGATCGCACAAATTACATCTGTATTTTTTCTTCTTTCATATTTCGCAACGAATTTTGCATGTCTTAGCTTAACGCTTACTTCGGCACCAAATTTTCGGCCAACATTTAAATATTTCAATGGAAAAACTGCAGCCTTAGGCATCATTGGAACTTTGGTTATGATGTTTGTCATAAACACTATTTACGCGACTGTTACAATTTTTCTTTGTTTGATTCTTGTCATCATTCTGCATATTCGTTCACCACCTTTTCGTTGGGGTTCTATTACACAAGCTCTCATCTTCCATCAAGTATTAGATTCAAAAATATTTTGCTTAATATGATTTATTTTATTTCAATTTCTGAATCATAGGTCAGAAAATATCTTTTAATTTTGGATAACAGAAAAGATCATGTGAAATATTGGCGTCCTCATATTCTTCTTATGGTTTCTAATCCAAGATCTTGTGTCCCATTGATTCGTTTCGCAAATGATTTGAAAAAGAGTGGATTATTCATCATTGGAAATGTTAAATTGCAAAAATTGGATAATTTCGATATTGATCCGGTCATAAATGAATCACCGTTGTGGTTGAAACTTCTTGATATGCTTTCGGTGAAAGCATTTTTTGAAATAACTATGGCCGATTCTGTTCGAGAAGGATTTCATCATCTGGTCAGAATAACCGGTTTAGGAGCAATGAAGCCTAATACAATTTTTCTTGGATTTTATGACGATCAACCACAAATTGATTTTCTGCAAGACGATCCAAATTTTTTCTGCATAAAAACATCACTTCCCGATAGTGTTCCTGATTTTCCACCTATACGATCAAATGGATCGAAAAATCATTCGGAAGAGTCATATGTAACCATTTTATCAGAATCAATCTACAAATTTAAGAAAAATCTTTGTATTGGTCGTCATTTCAATACCTTTAACAGAGTTAGTATATTTTATTATCAATTTAATCCTCTAATTTTTTTCAAAAATTGTAGGCTAAAATTCCTAATCTCAAAAACAAAATCATTGACATTTGGCCGGTAAATTTTTTTCACCGTACCGGAGAATTGTCCGATAATTCATGGAAATTCATTTTGCAGTTGGCTTGTATATTACAAATGGTACCTGGTTGGAAAAATTCCACCAATCTTCGATTATTATTATCGGACAATTTTAAAAATACAATGCTAATGAAAACCCGATGGGAACAAAGATTACGCATGTTACGTATTGATTGTCAATTAGAAATTATCAATTGGGAAGAGAATACATTAGGTCCATATGAAATCGATTTCATAACTACAACCGATTGGGAGAAAGAAGATTATTTTCAGAAAATCAATTCATTCATTCGATCTTATAGTGAACATTCAAATCTAGTTTTTCTTCATCTCCCTTCTCCACCAAATAATCGTAATGGTTATAAAGAATATCTCAAATATTTGACTTTGATCACCGAGAATCTTCCTCCAACAATCATGGTTCATGGTATTACCGAAGTTACATCTGACTCGTTGTGATGACTTTAAAAATTTTCAATTTTAATTTAATTTAAATAATGTAATTTAACAAATTTTTTAAAATTTTCTTATGAAAAAACAATAATAATAATTTTTTATGGTTAAGATTTTTTAACACTTTGGCTACTGATTAATTCATATTAATGTAAATTTACATGAATTGTGTTTTTACTAGCAAACAAATCAATTATTCCTGAAGATGTGTTTCGAGCATTTTTTCAAAAGCCTGTTGATTAAAAAAAATTAGTTTGTGAAAAGAATTAATATAATTTTGAATAATCATCTATACCTCTATTTCGGCTAATGTTTCGGCTCGTATTTCATTGTTTGGTGCATGTTGTCGTTTCGATACATTATAAACAATATTTGATGAATGATTGTTTGATGATTGACGATCATTCAATGATGCTAATGATGAATCCGAAACTGTAACATCTGAATATGAATTTGAAGGTTTACGTTTGGATATTTCAATGAGTTTAGGTTTAGCTTTGTTCAATATATTTGAATTGATACTGAATTCGCTTGTATTCGAATCAGAACTGTTCCTAAATTTATCCGACAAACTTTTGTATTGTTTTTTAACCAATGAATTATTATTGCTATCAGCGTTTGAAGAACCTAATAATCCAGCAAATGATTTTTTCCTGTTTTGTGGTTTGGTACTTCCACTTCTTTGTCGCATTTCATTTTGCATATTTGATGCTGAATCCTCATTAGCTAATGCCCAGGTAATTTCATCGGTGGATTTGGCTCTTTTTGCCGTTGACCATCTACCGCGAAATATTTTATCATCAACTAAATTACCAAGAATTCTAAGTGGACTACGTCGAGCTTTAGTTACACTTATATTGAAAACATCTTCATCGATCGAATTTTTCTTTAAAACATCATCAAATTTTCCTGGTGGACTTAGTGTATAATCGAAAGTATTTGTTATGCTTGTCGGTGTCGTTGAGGTAGATTTTTGTTTCGAACTTTTCGGAAATATTACTGCAATTACAAACAAACAAACCAAAAAATTCAGTAATAAATTTTGTTTTTCATTCGTCTTACATGATGGAATCGATGAAGCAGCTTTTAACATATGAGTCTTTCTTCGAAATCGAGGACTGGCAGTCGATTTTTTATCATCCATTTTTTTGTCCAAAAAATTTTCTGTCGTTTTACTTCTGGTAATAGGTTTCGGTATGTTTGAAACATTCGATACGGATGGCTGAAATACATCATCATTGTATTCATTTAATTTATTTTCTTCCATCGTTAATATGGCATCGAATTCATTCATTCTGTATATTTAAAAAAAATAAAAATAATGAATCAATTCATGGTTCATGACAATCAATCAATCAATAAATTACAGAATAGTCTCATCATTTTCTCCCAGATCACTTTGAATAGAAATTTTATTATTATTGCTATTCAATTTATATGAATGAATTTCACGATGATATGATTTCATTTGACCATAGCCACCATCGTTATTTGATACCTACACACACAAACACCAAAAAAAAAATCAACTCAAATGTCAATGATAATAATCCATACATACTTGTTCTTGTTTTAAAAGATTAGCATTACGTAAAATTTCTTCATGAGCTTTTGTTGTTGTACTGTCACAAGAATTATCCGTTTTATCATCTTCTTGGCTATCCTGATATCTTGTTTTTACTTTTCGTCGAGAATTCATTCGTGAACGAAAATCATCTAAACTTTCATTAGGTTTCATTATATCTTTGTCAAAATCTTCATCATGATGTGTTGATTCGGATAAATCTTTTACTGATACAAATGATAATAATAATATTTTTTTTTTCAATTAGATAAAAACAATTCAAATACCAAAAATCAATTTACAATTACGTATACATTGATAACGATTGTTTCCAGTAACACCAAACGTATATGAATCGGATGAACTTCGTGAAAATGATGAGGAAACATCTTCAGCAATTTCCATTTTAAAATCATCCGAACCACTTTCACTTGTCGTATCACTTTGTCGTCTTGTGAATGGAACAAACTAAATGATTGTATAAAAGAGTTTGTTGTTTTTTTTTTGGTGAATGAAAATTCTTTGTATTTACCGATCAACAAACAAACTTACCTTTGTTGCTGACAAACTTTTTCTTAGTTCTTCTTTGTTTGATTGTTTTTCCGAATATTTTTGACATGGACTTCTTCTCATATAACTCATTTTGTTGTTGTTGTTTGTTGTTGTTATTAAGCTTTGAATATATTTTCTATAATAAATGATGTTTTGAGAAATTGTTCTGTCTAAAAAAATAACCGGAATCACAAATAAAGAATTAACAAAATTGAATAAATTTTTCAAAAAGAAAAAAAGAAAAAATTGATTGTACGTTTATTTTGACTATTATTATTAAGTTATTACAGTTAGAATACCACCACCACCAACATCATCATAATCATCATCATCATCATGAATATAGAATGTAAAAAATTTCTTAAAATTTTAATCCAACTAATCAACAGAAACAAAAATTAACGATCCAAACAGCTATAACAAACACTAACTACTGTTTATAGAGTAATCCGTATTAAAAAAAAAATTTGTCGACATAAAAAAAACCATCATCATCTTCAAGATGAAATTTGTTTAAAGTGAAGTGAAGTGAACGTTTACCATCAACGGGGGTGAGAGAAATTAGTTAAGAAAAGTTAGTTCACTTCACTTTACTTTTTTTTTACCAAGTTGATTAGTTTCGTATCGAGATTTAAAAATAGAACAGAATTCCTATGGTGAATAAAAAAAAATTTTTTTCGTTTTTTTTTTGAACAAATCATCATCATTCAACAAATAACAGAATAACAGCAACATTTATCCTATATTTTGCACATCATAGAATTTTTTTTTCTTCACAAACATTCAAATAAAGAAGCAAGAATCATTCAGTGTTTGTGTGTGTTTGTGTGTGTGTTAAACACTCCATCAACAAAGGTGTAAGGCAAACAACAATTTTGAAATTCGATTCTATTTAGACAATGTTGAATCGTCAGATTTATTCTACAGCAGTTAGTAAAATTCATTTGAATTTTGAAAAATTTGGCCCAATTCCAATGTGTATTTACCAAAATAATAAAAATAGAGAAAAAAATGAAAATTCAAAATAAAAAGCAAAAATCATTGTAACCAATAGATGGCAATCTAATATATATCTAATCTTTCATATATAATCACATCACATGACTAATGCTATTTACTCGATTTTCTTGGTCGCGCGATCATTCCACTCATTTTTTTTTTCGTTTTAAAAATATATTCTCCACTGTCAAAATTCTGGGATTGTCCTATTCCCAGTTTGTTTTTTTGTTGTTGTTGTTTGTTGGTATTATGTATGTGCTTTTGCCTAATGTTTTGTGTCAATGTATATTGTTGGTTGGTTGGTGTGTGTGTGTGTATCAGTTTTTGGAATTGTGTCAATTCTCAATTCCATTAGGTTAAAGTCAAAATTGAATTTGTAAAAAAAAACAAACAATTTACAAATGTAAATATTCTTTATTTGCCATCATTTTATGTGGCCATAAATTTTTTTTGTCTTCGATTGATCTGTGATTTTCATCTTCATCTTTTGCTTGTTATATTGGAATTTCAATTCGAATAATAATAAAAGAATGACAACTACAACGACCACCAATGTTCAAAGTCCAATCAATGATAAAAGTCATTCGCCTTCATTATTAAATCTACCACAGTAAGTATATTCACTATATCATATGTTGTACACAATATAATCACATAAACAAACATCACCAAAGTGTCATATGATTGTTTTCTTAAATATCCCGGAAATATTGTTTCTTTTTTTTAATGAAAATAATAATGATCAACGACAACAACAACAACATTTTCACCTGTTCTTGATCTTCAAAATTATTATCATTATACAAAAGAAAAACTTGAATGTCTAGCCATGTCTCTCCTTTTTTTTTGTCGAACAATCTACCACCACCTCGACCATTCATTCAATTTTAATGAACAGAAATTCATTCCGTTTCTCTTTCATTTTCTCTCTCTTTTTTCTCCCTGAAATATCCACAAAGAGCTAATTATGTTATTGAATTGTTGTTGAATATATAAATGAATACAGAACGCAATTTTAACGTTTATGTGTATACGTTTTGGCATTTTACACACAAATATACTACGCAATCACATTTGTATACACAAACAAAAAAAAATGTGAAACCAACAATTCTTAAAATGAAAAACTTTTGATGATCGCATAATAATAATAATGATGATGATGATATTCAAAAATATATCATCAATTTCACTATTGTCATTGAAATCATATTGTTCAATGTTTGTGTGTGTGTGTTTATATTAGAATAGATAATTTTAAACAGAAACAATAGTTTTCTTTCTTTTCTTTTAATTTGTATATATTTCAAAGTGATGAAATTAAAAACAATAAACAAAAACGATTGTTCTGATTGATTGATACACACATATATGGCAACTTTAAATTTTTTCGATACATTTCGTTATGCTTTGGAGTGCGTTTGAAATCATCCAACAAAATAAAATAATTATTATATTCTTTTGTTTGTGCTAAATAGTAGTTTTTTCATTGTATTTTCTTTCTATTTTATATTATTTAACAAATTGAATAGGTCTGAATTGAGCAAATTGATGACAACATCAACGTTGGTCGAAACTGTTTCAATCAATTATGAAGATTTTACTGAAGGATTTCTTACCTGTGGTACCTGTCTTTATACATATGATGGTGATGAACATTCACCAAAATTATTACCATGTTCACATACAATTTGTAGAATTTGTTTGGAAAAAATTTCATCCAATGCAACGTTACGTGATCCATCGGGAAATTTTCGCTGCCCAATATGTCGTGAACTAATTCAGCTGCCTCGTGGTGGTGTAATGGCTTTTCCACCATCATTTTTGGTCAATCAATTGTTGGATTTAGTTGCCAGTCAACGGCGAGAGGTTATTCCTAAATGTTCGAGTCATGTTACCCAAGAGCTTCTTTATTGTGAACCATGTGATCTCGTGTTTTGTAATCTATGCACTGGTGACAAGCATGATAATCAAAATGCAAATAATTCTAGCCATGATAATGATCATGCAATTACCAATCGAGAACATACGGTAAGTGTTATGATTTATTAATTTTTGTTTTCAAAATTCATTGTCATTGTACTGTCATTATGTTTGTCATTGTCAGGTGATACCTTTCTCGATTGCAATAAAACGAATGAGTGAAATACTATTATATAAAGCGCAACAATGTATTAGCAAACTTGATGAATCATCTAGAAATGTCCTCAGCGAAATGCAAAAACTTGATCAGAACACTGAATTATCATTTGAAGATATTAATAGAACATTCCAAGAGGTAATCAATTTTGTAGACAAACGTCGACAAGAGCTATTGAATTGTGCCAAAAAAATTCGTGAGGATAAACGTAATGTGTTACGAGAACAGCTTACAAAAATTGAACTGGAAAAATCTCGACTTGAAAAAGAATGTAATGAATTTAAATATCAAGTCGAAGTTCGTGATATAAGCAAAAAGATTAATGATTTGAAAGCAAAATTGAATTCGGTAAATACGATGCTAGATCCACGTGAAAATTGTTTTCTTCGTTTTGAACATTTACAAAATTCCACGAATAATATTCAAGAATTGGTAAATAATTTCGGAAGCATTCGTACAAGTAACACTTTTCCATCATTGTGCGTCGCAACCATTGGTAAATGTTCTATTCATCTTCGATCGTTTGCTAATGTAATCACTTTTGATTACAATGGTCAACGGCAGAAATTTGGCGGTGATCCTATCCTGGTTACTTTGGTTCATAATAATTCTCAACAAACCATTCCCTGTAAACTTAACGATAATCGTGATGGTACTTATGAGGTACAATTTGTACCTCAAAAACATGGTGATTTTTCAATGAAAATCACTATATTTGGTCGGCCAATCAAAACTTATCCTTTAGAGTTTACCGTTTCTGAACATATAAATCCACTATGTATATATGGCGGCAAAGGATTTGATCAACATCAATTCTTTCAACCGACTAGTCTAGCTATTGATAATGAAACTGGTTATGTTTATGTGTTGGACACAGGAAACGGACGAATCAAAAAATTACTGCAAAATCAATGTAATAATTCGCCATTCAGACTCATCTGTCACATAGAGGAAAAACATTTTGAAAATCGTGCTGCAACGGGCATAGCTTTTTGCGCTAATTCTCGATCTTTACTAGTCACTAATTGGCGCACTAAAAATATTGTTAAAATTGATTGTGATGGAAGATTCATTGAAAAATTTGGTCATTCCGAATTGATTGAACCTACTTGTATAGCAGTGAATCCTAATTCTGGTCAGATATTAGTTGCCGATAATGCTTCTAATGCTATCTTTTTATTTCAAACAAATGGTGAATTTGTCAAAAAGATTACAACCTGGATGAATCCTAATACCAAGAAAACGGAATCATTAGGCGAAATTAATGGACTTTGTTTTCATCCAGAAACTAATGATATTATTGTATCATCGGAAAAAATATTAATCTATTCATCGGATGGTGAATTTATTAAACCAATAGGCAATGAATCATCATCATCATCATCATCTAATAACAAATTTAAAAATCATTTCTACGGTATTGCAATTGATAGATCAAATAATCTACTTGCTGCACGTGCAGAAAAATCCCGTAATATAATTCAAGTGATTGATTATAAAAATGGCCTTGTAAAATTCTCCATCGATAGTAATGATGCTAAATTGAAAAGACCCAGTTGTTTAGCATTGACAAACGATGATCATGTAATTGTTGTCGATCTTGGTAATGATTGCATTAAAAAATATCGCTATTATTAATTATCTAATGGCAATTTATCACTCATAATTTTTCTTTCTTTCTCTCTTTGATGTCTATCTAAAAAATAAGTGTGTTTGTTTTTTTTTGTTTTTTTTCGTTGTCCTGATTTCATTCGGACAATTTTTAATTTTATGTACTTCATTCCATCTCATAAGACCAATTTTACCTTTTTTTTCTCTCTCTCTCTTGTTTTCAACCAAAATCTTTTTTTTAGTGTACTTATCATTTAAATTTAATTTTATGTGGCAAAATTAACCAGCTTAAACTATAAATATGAAAAATAAAAATAAAATTTGTTTCTAAAATTGGGAAATTTTGATTTTGTTGTATTTCTAAAATCGATCGTCAGATGGTGTTGATCGATTATGTTGACCGAATTTTTTCTTTTTCATCATTCAATACACACGTTCACAGTTGGTTGATTTGATGGTAAATAAACAAGTCACAAACGAGCGATTTCATATAACATTTTTTTTTTCTTCCTCTCTTCCGATGACGTTGACATTCAAATCTTTTATTTTTCATTTGGTTTATTGAATTGAGAATAATTTTTTTTGTTGTCGTGTCATTCTTGATCAAAGTAAAAAAAATATAATTCGATTGGAAATCCCTTAATCGTGTTGATTGAAATTCTTTTTTTATAACATCAATGGCTGAACGTCGTCGTCAACGAAAACGTCCAGAGGTATTTTGTTTTTATATTTAAGATTTAATTTGATTTTATTATTGTTTTTTTTCTGGTGAATTTGCTTTTCAGTCATCGGTCAATAATGAAGAATTTGATAAACCAGAAAAAGTAGAATATGAGATTGCAAAATTTCTTCGTTCAAATTTACCACCTAAACAAACTACATTGTTGGGCCATAAAGTCGATTATTTTATTGGTATTTATCTAAATTTATAATTAATCTTTCTTATATAATATTGTGAATTTATTATTTTAGCATCTCGAGCAATCGATTTGTTGATGAATTCCAAATGGGCCCAATCAAACAAACGTAATGATGAGGTTATGTTTCCTTCTCGAGAATCGGTCATTAATTACATGAACGTTATGTTGCGTCATAAATTTTTCCATCGTGCAAAAACAATCATCGTTAAAAAAGAAATCAAAAGAAAACAAGATACGGATAGCACTGATGAAGGTACCAAAAGTGAAACGAAAAAGATAAAAAATGCTGGTGAAAAATCTGCCAAAAATGCGAAAGAACAATCAACAACAACATCACAGGAAAAAACATCGAAAAAAGAGAAAAAGAAAGTCAAATTAGACATGCATATGGAACAAATTTTTGTCGATGCTAATGAGGTAAACTTTTTGTTTTCTTGCCTATTGGTTTTAATTTGTATGAAATTAAATTCAATTTTTTTTAAATCAGCCATATGTTTGGATATATGATTACATCCCAATGCGTACATGGTTGATTGGTGGAGGTTTAGTAATAGCCGCTATCGCGATATGTCTTTTCCCATTATGGCCTCGAACTGTTAGAAATTATGTTTACTATCTGAGTATAGCTGTCGCTGTTTTCCTATTCTTCATCATTGCGTTAGCGTTATGTAAGTATTATCATAATGAATTTGACATGGAATGATTATTTTTTTTCTCTTCAAAATCAGTAAAAATGGTCGTTTTTGCAATTGTTTGGACATTAACATTTGGTCGTCATCATTTATGGATTTTGCCTAATCTTACTGAAGATGTTGGATTTTTCGAATCATTTTGGCCATTATATAAACATGAATGTAAATCAAATAGAAACGAAGAAAATAATGATGATGATGATGATACTCAAAAAAATGAGCCAGATGATGATACGAATAATATGAAAGAATGTAAACCGATAAATAATAAAGAAGATAATGAAGAAACCGATGATGACGAAGATGATGATAATGACGAAAATTGTAATGAAGATTCTGACAATAATCTAAATGATTCCATTACCGATACTAATCGTTGTACGAAAAATACCAACGGTTTTGAGATATTGGATACAAATGAATGTGACGAAAATTGAAAATAATAATTTTTTTGATTGATACTTTTTTTTGCTTGTATTTCTGTATCCTGTTATTACAATTATTTCCAATTTTTTTTATCTATAAACACCTGCATGTGATGATCAAAACTGAAACAAACAAGAGAAAACATTCATTTCGAAGCACACTTTTAATTATTCTTTCTGTCTTGTGTATTTCATATCATCTTAATTGTTGGATATAATTTTTGAAAAAAAAATATATATTTTAGCCTTTCTTTAAAATAAAAAGATATAAATTAAATCATCAACAAAAACAAAATTTGATTTTGATTTTATTTATTTTCAATTCAAACTAATTTAATATTTTTATGAAGAGCAAAATAATAAACGATAGCCATTAAACGTTGTATTAATTTGATACAGATGAAAAAAATTTCTATATTCGAAACGATTGAACTGTCGGTATTATGGTCAATATAGTCGGATGTAACCACCATAATAATTTGTATCATAATTGTAATCATTAAATATAGAAAACATATAATTATTTTTGACCAATGTTTCGATAATAATGATTTTGTTTTACCATCGCGTAGAATATCTTTACGAAAAAATTGTAATAAAATTGATAATGTTGCCGTAAGTATAGCTAAATCTTGTGATAAAAATAAATATAATTTCATTATAAATGTATTATTGGATTGATTATTCAATCGCAATGATGATAATGTTTCGGTTAATATATCGATTATGATCAACAGATTATTATGTAATGGCATTTTTTTTTTGTTAAAGAAATTTTTTTTTTATTCATTTGATAACAAACAAAATTTGAAAGTTTAAAATTTTTTGGGGTTAATTTCTAATAATTCTGAGTTATATTTATTGAAAAAGCTGGTTACTCTCTGTTTGGTTACTATGGCAATATACGAAAAAATCGAATCATCAAAACAATAATAATACTTTTTTCTCTCTCTAAATGAATGAATGAATATAATTTTGAACACAAAGCTTAAAATTTCAATGAAATTTTTTGTATTTATAATATAAGTAGGTGTGAAAGTAATGAAGAAATGATTAAGAATTTTTCATTTCTTTTCCTTCTTTTTCAAAGTTATTGAATTTTTTTTATATTTAAAGTTTCAAAGTTGATGATGATGATGATGATGATTGTGGTATTGTGTGTTTTTAATTCAAGTGGTTTATTCATTGGGGGGGGTAAACTAATTCGTGATGCAAAGACGATAAGAGAAAATTCCATGAACAATTTGAACGATCCCACAAATGGCAGCACAAACCTAAATAATTGAATTTTTTTTTTAATATCCATATTTAGGAGAAAAAAGAATCATTTTTTTTCATAGATAATACTTACGGAACCAGCTTGTATATAAGTGTTACGTTGTGGATCAGCAAATGCAGAAGCAGCAACCCAAAGTCCAGCAATCAACATAAGAATACCCAATATGAAATGAAATATGAAATCAAAACTTGCTTTGGGTAAAATTGTAGCACTACCCAATGAAAGCAATGCAGCAATTAACATTAATGTAACCGTAATCCAATCGGCAAAGCTAACCATCAATAAGAATCGATCAGAATCTAAGCTAACTTCACGATTATAATTATCGAAATGCATCAAGGCCATAATGAAGGCGACCAATGAAAAGATCTTTCAATAACAACAAAAAAACATTGTAAATGACCAAATAAAGAATTTATTTTTTCACAGAGAAAAATAAAAAACAAAAATCAATCAATTACCATAATCAAAAATTTTAATAAACCCAATTTGGATGAAAGATAACCCGTATTGATGACAATTACCGATGAACGAGCTGTTGTCGTTGTCGTTGTTTGTCGTACTTGAACAGTGGCAGTTGGCATTTTTGATTTAGAAAGAAATTTATTTTGGTTTTTATCTTTAAAAAAATTTGTTTAAAATATCTGGTCGATAAGAATTTGAATTCAACAACAACAACAATTCTTTGGTCGAAAAATGATGATAATGTTTTTTTTTTTTGGTGATGCTTGTTGATGATCGTAATGATGTTTGCGAATGAATTGAATCAATGAATGAACGGACATTGAAATAGCTATTTTTTCAACAAAAAAAAAGAAGAAGAAAGATTTTCCTTTCTTGTTCTCAAGTTTCGTTTCTTCTTACATTCATATCCACATATGAAAATATAAACTATTTTTAGGAAGAGAAAAAACGAACACACCAACATTAACAAAAATTCATAACCAAGTCAGTCAGTAGTGTATTGCATCCTTTTTTGTTTTGTTTCTTTCAACAAACATCCATGGATTTTCATTTCATTATTTTCTGATGGATATATCAATGTGTGTTTCTATGTGATGATTTGTGCACAATTGAATGAATAATATGGAAGATTTGGTGAGAATGAATTAAAAAAAGGAATTGGCGTTTTACACCCCCATTCTCAATCTGTGTGTGTGTGTGTTCGTTATGTGCTGAAACCTTGAAGAAACAATTTTCATCGTCGTTGTTGTTGCGAATGACAAGTAATGAAAACGAAACATGTTGGATGTTTTGGGTGTGCCCATCTGCATAGTCATCATATATCTATCTATATTCCATTTTGCAAATTAAAATGAGAAAATAACGTCGACGACGACGACGACTATTATTGGAAGCAAAGTAAATGTTAGGTTTTGAAATTTTCATTGATTTTTGGAAACAAAAAAAAACGCAGTGTAGAGAATAATAACAATATATAATGCCGCATTCCAAACCCGAACCATTTTATTTTTCAATATTCAAAATGTAAATGTAAATGTAAATGAATGAATGATGATGAAGCGATGACGTTCTTCAAACATTTTTACTCCTACACACACACATAATTAAATCAAAAAAAGAAAATCTGGTTGCTTATAAACAATTTTGTTTGTGTTTCAACAAGTATTTTTTTCTTCATCAAAGTTAAGCTCAGAATATATGTTGTTTGAAAAAAGATTTCAATTTGGCGCCATTGTCATAGCAAATATTCGTGATGACAAGATTTTTTTTTATAATGTTGTTCAGAAATAGAAAAAAAATAAAAGAATCTAAAATAAGAATATAATGATTAACTTGGTTGATTTAGTATAGTTGATAATCCATTTGTTTGTTTGTATTTTCCAAAAGTTTCCTAAATGCATAATTCTTATTCGAGAATTTACATATGGTGTAAAAAGTTGAAATGAGAATCTGAATAAATCAAAAGAAAGAAAGAAAAATTCTATTTTAATTTAGACAAAATTTTCTATTATTTCTTGTCTAAATCGTTTGTTTGTTTTGTTTTTTACTGATTCAATAGTGAATTTCTTAAGGCGAATTCGGAATCGAATGTTGAACGTCTGAATCCAGAAAATCTTCTTTAAGAAAATATTTAAACGTTTATGAAACGTATATATGAAGAAAACAACGAGGTTAGGTTGATGACTAAGATATTTATTTTGGGAAAAAAAATCAATTTTTTTAACTAATATTTATCACTGATAATTAAAAAACATTCAATTTTACCAGAAGGTAAATGATAACCTCCGTCCATACCAATCTTATTTCAATGATGATTCATTTATTCATTGGAATGCTTAAAGGCAAAATTCTTTAGAATTTCATTTTTTTTATCACTTTCGTTTTTTTTTCGTAAATAAAACACACCTGTTTGCAAATGAGAATTTTCAAATGAATCAACAGGCGATTTTCTCACGCTTTGTTTTTTTCATAATCACTAATGAATGATAAGATTTTTGATTTTTGATTCAAAAGATAACTGTGTGTGTGTTTTACGGTTGTAATAAATTAACATAAACCAGAAAAAAACAAACAAACACAAACCTGGGCATATTTTTTTTATTATCAACGTTTTGTGTAAATCCTATCCCAAATCATCATATCTGTATATGTTGTTTACACATTGATTATTGGTGTGTGTGGATCTGAAACGAAAAAAACACAACGGACAATAAGAGATAGAAGCATATGTTCAAAGTTCGTTGAAAAATTTTTATATATATTCTCCAGTGCACTGAGGCAATTATATATTTTATATAACAAACAAACATATAACGTTTGTCGTGAAAAATTTCTTCAATGAAAAACAAAACAAAACAAAAAAATATAGAACATTTGGATTTTATTTTTTCCAATGTTTTTAATTGTTGGTGACAAAAACGTTTTGAAACGACGAAAAAATTGAGAGAAAATTGAGTTTGTTTTTTTTTCTCTCTCTCTCTCTCTCTATCACTTTTCTTTCTCCAAAATCAAATTATATTTTTGTTGTTACAACATTCATCATCATCATCATCATCATCATCAAAATAAAAGATGGATTTTCATCATCATAATAATCTTCACATTGCTCATCAATAATATTGAAATTTGAGTAAATTTTGGATTGAAAACAATGTCCAACATTGATTCTGATAATTGAATGATTGATAATCGGCGGTTTTTTTTGACGTTGATTTGTTTAAAATAGATAAATTTTTTAAAAAATTTGCCTCAGTTTTGTTGTTGTTGTCGTTAATCATAATTGATGATGTGTTGATGAACTCGACGACAATTTTGTTCGAATAAATGAAAAAAAATGTGATTCGAATTTTTTTTTTGTTTTGTCTAACAAATTCATCAATTCGACAAGCACACAATTTTTTCATTGACGTCATTTTTAAAATTTTTCAAAAAAAAAAAAATGATTGCTGATAATGGAAATGAATTTGATGAATTTTTAAATTTTTTAAATGTTTGAAATTATTTTTTAAAAATCGTTTGATCAATTTAACGAAATCGACAGATTTTTTTTTCTTGTTCTTCTTCCCATAATTAATTAATATAAATCACAACAGAATGGGTTCTTGTTTAAGTCGTATGAAACATTGTTCATTATTTTCTAAACAACATCTTAATGTTACTTTGAATGAAAATCAAGCTTCATCATCACATTTGTTTGAACAGGATAATAATTCATCATCACATTCTTCTATTGTTTTTTTTCTTGAAGATATTGATGAATGTCTTAATGAAACTGAAAAAATATTTTTATCAGTTATTGATACTATGTATGTGTATAAATGATAATACTTATTATTCAATTTTTGTAATGAATTTTTTTTGTTGCCTGGATTTTAGAAATTTACCACCTCAATTACAACGATTAATTGAGATTGCCAACACTGATCATGGATGGTTGAAGATAATTAATTCAATGATAAATGTTATTGGTACACATGCTGCTAAAGGATTAGTTGAAAATGATCATATTGGACCGGCTGTAATTATTCTATTATTGGAAGATTCACAACTTCCAACACGTGAATTGATACGTGATTTATTAGCATTGTTAAATCCATATTTAGATCTTCCTATTCATAGTCCTTGTGATGAAACAATTATAAAACATCGAAATATTTGTGCTATATTATCATTTTTAGCCGAAAAATTGGCCGGTTCATTAAGCGTTAATTTATTATCAATGAGAATTATTAAATTTTTAGAAAAAATTATTAAAGATAAATATAATCATTTACATGTATTATTTGCATTAAATTGTGTGGAAAAATTTGCTCGAACAAGTAAGTATTTTGAATTAAAAAAAAAATTTAATTTTAATTATATTTTTTTTAATTTCATGTTCAGATGAAAACAAAGAGATAATATTGAAAAATTTCGATATTGTAAAAGAATTATGTGAATTGGAAAAATATTTACAATATTTTTCCATACAAACATTATATTATTCATCAACAAACGAATTATTAAAATATCAATTAGGTTTTTGTGCACAATGGTGTTTAGATAATGTATTCACGAAAAAAGGAAGAAAATTTTCCTACAAAAAAGTCGATTATTCTAATCTAAATGTTATTTTGAATGTGAATGATAAAACTGAATTCCTTAAACTTTCACCTGATGGATTATCAGTAAGCTGAAATGAATATTCGTCTGTAGATCTTATTTATTTTAAAATTTAAATTTTCAATTTTAGGCTCGCTGTGATACTTATACATTCGAATGTGTACGATCCAATTATCCTGTATCATCGGGAATCTATTTCTATGAAGTTATTCTGTTAACAAGCGGTATTATGCAAATTGGTTGGGCAACCAAATCAACATCATTCAAAAATCATGAAGGCAGTGGTGTTGGTGATGATGCTCATTCAATTGCATTTGATGGATGTCGAAGAGTAATCTGGCACAATATGACTAATTACGAACATAATCTTCCATTATGGAATGCTGGTGATATTGTTGGATGTTTGATTGATTTTACTAAAAAACGTTTTATATTCTATTTGAATGGAAAAAAGATTGAAATTGGTCGTAAAATTTCAAATAAAATCAATCTAGTATTTTCCGATGAACCATATTATGCTGCTGCCAGTTTAATGTCTTATCAACATTGTCATTTTAATTTTGGTCAATCACCATTTAAATATCCACCGAAAAAATATAAATTTAAAGATTTTAATTCAGAAGCAATCATTACAAATAAAGATGATTATAAAGTGATTCCAATGTAAGTATATTATCTATGTTATCGAAATGAAATTAATCAAATTTCTTCTTTTTTTTTTGTTTCAGGCGTGTTAGAATTAAAGCTTGTAATAAGTCATTTTCATTTTCAAGTAGCAAAAAAAATCTATGTAACATTTGTTGTGACAAATCAGCAAATGTTAGATTAAAGCCTTGTGATCATGAGGTAACTTTGATTTTTCCAATAATTTTACATTTTTAATATAATCAAAAAAATTTTTTCGTTTTTTACAAACAGGGAATCTGCAGTGATTGTGCTATCCAAATGGAACAATGTCCATTCTGTCGTGAAACATTTGTTCATTTTGAAGATTTATAATTAATTTTATTTGATTTTATTTCCCCCTTTTTTTTATTTGCACAAAATTTTTAATGACCAATTTATTATGTGTTATTATTATTAAGTCAATTGCATGAGTTTATTAAATGAATTTTATTTTATTTTGATTTAAAGACAATTCCAATTTAGAAAAAAAAATGAAAAAAATGTCTTGTTATTTTAATGTGAATGTATCAAAATTTTACTGTATATTTTCCCATCAATAAAATTTTATTTTATCATTTTGAATGAATTTAACAATTTCTATCGTTTATACTTGTTTTATCCGATGAAAATCTTTTATCAAATTCTTGTGGATTTGATAATGGATCAATATCGGCAAAAAGATTTAACCATGTATCCAATGTGCTATTGTTGTTAGCGGCTGTAGTTGAAATCTGTTGTTGTTTTTTTTTTGAAAAAATTATGACAATTTTTTGAAACATTAATTTCAATTTTATTACCTTGGATGTTGTTTTTGATGATGATGATGATGATTTTTGTTGATCATCATTCTGCATACTTAAAACTTTATCAGCATCATTTGTTGATAATTTATTACTAACATCTTTTGAAAGAATAAGTTTATCAAAAAAACTTATTGTTTTATCTGGTTCATTATCATTGTAATTTGTTTGAATCATTTGTCCTAAATCAATTAATGAACTAGGCATATAGGAATTAAGATGTTCAAGTTTGATTTCTTTTTCTTTACCATCATCATCATCTTCATTATCAAATTCGGTGTTAGTTTCAAAATTAAAATCAAGTAAGGCTTTGCTTTCCATTGAAATTTCTTTTTGGTTTTCTTTATCTTTATTCTTTGGATTTTTGGAATTTTTAAGATTATCATTTTTTTTAATCGATCCATTTTTTCGCCGGCCACTAATAAATCGTTTTTTATTATTATCATCAACATTGTCCTTATTATTATTATCAGCATAATCAGCTTCAAAAAATATTAACATATCCATTTCATTAGTATTTTGTTCACCGGAAAGAATTTCTTTTAATTTTTCTTCAAAATTTTGTTGCGCTTCATCCACATTCGAATCAACATCATTCAATTCTTTTAACATTGTAAATTGATAATTTAGATGTGATTTAAATGTATCGACAAAAATATTCATTGTTTTGGTTGTTTTATTCCAAACAGATTTCAATATATTCTGATATGATAGTAAAATATTGTTAAATAGATTACATCTTGATGCACTTAATAAATCAATTTTTTGAATTGTATCGATTTTTAATTTTTCAAATGATTTTTTCTTTTCTCGAACATGATTTTGAATTTTTTTAAATTTATCCATTTGCATATAAACATCAGGATCAAGTTTTTGTGAAACATCTTTCATCCAAAGTAATGCAGCACGATAACCGGTACGTGATTTTTCCATTTGTTCAACAGTATCAAATGTATCAGTTACAGCTCGATATTGAAATGTTTGTACATCACGAAATGAACGTATAAGTACATTACGTATCATAATAAATTGATGTCCAGCAAATAAAAATGTTTTACCGGAACTGGACATAAGATTACCAGCTTTTGTTGTATCATGTTTACCACATTCACGAAGAAAACGACCAAATATACATTCTTCTTGTGCCAATGCACATACACGATCTTGATATAATTCCAATAGATTTAGAAGATTTTGATTAGTGTCATCAATCGATTTAAGTAACTTTAAATTTTAATTTTTAAAAAAATTAAATTTATTACTTATACGAATATGAATAGCCAAAAAAACAAAACAAACCTCTAGTTTAGCATCTAATTCAGCATCGGAAGCAACAATAAAATCATCTTCTTTACGTTTAATTTTTTTCAAAAATGTTTGTTTAGCTTCCCAATAATGAAGTTGCATTTTTGAAATGGTTGAATCATCCATGATTGTTTTCTTTTTTACCCAAAATTGATTTTCTATCAATAAACAAAAAAAATCGAATTACAAAATTCAGATTAATAACCAAACACCGACATAAACATTGAACATTCGATAATAATCTAAAAGTCAACATTTATTCGTTTTGAACATCCTGTCGATCAAGGTTTTTGTTGTTTTTGTTTTGTTGCCACATCGACTTCTATATGTTTTTTTGTACGTAAAAACAAATTTTTACAAACATACACATTCTTTGGGGTTCAATATTATTCAATTCAACCAATATTTATTCTATATAACATGTCTATTCTATGTAATTTTGTGTTTTTTCTTTTTTTGGAAATGGAACCAGCATTTGTGGAACTCTAAACTTATTCTAGCGCAGAATACCACCGGCTTCCTTTTTAATAAACAAAACAAAAAATTTATATAGGATTTTTTTCAAAAAAAAAAAAAATATAACGAATATCATGCAATATTGCAATATTGCATCGACAACTCCTACAGCCCATTATTATGTTTCTTCTTCTTCTTCCACTTTTTTTTCCATCAATGAATTATTAAATTCAATGAGATGAATAGAATGATAATATAAAACTCCCCATCATCATCATTGATAAAAGAGAGAAAAAAAATTGCCGTTCATGACAATCGGCTGGTGTTCGTATCCGTGTATATATGTGTGTGTATACTGTATATACACAAATATATTGTATGTGTATAATATGAAACGGCTGCCACCAAGTAACTTTTCGGGTTTTTCATTTCAATTCAATGTAGTTTTTTTGTGTTTGTGTGAGTTTTTATCATTTTTCTACTCAATAATCATAATAATCATTCAATCTATTTTGTTTGATTATGTTTTTTTTTCACAAATTAAACCAACAAGAAAGAATAAAAAATCGAGTGCTTTGCGATGCTAGCCTTCTTTTTTTTGTTTGATTTTTATAAAAAATAATAATCGACAATAGCCTATGTCAAACAAACAAACAAAAAAATAGTGGTCTGTTTTCAATCATTATCATTATTTGATTTAGTTTTTGTTTGTCTCTCTTAATTCTCGAAATTCCATTGAAAAAAAAAAATATTATTCACCATTGTCCACTTTGTTGATTTACGAAGAAGAAGAAAATGAACAAATGAAATGAAATGAAAAAAAACCAAAAATTCTATTTTAACCTTGATTCATTCGTTTTTTGTATTGCTAATTGAATCCTATTGTTGATGAATCATATATTGAGCCGGTTTTGGTTTTTGATTAGTATACGATTAATCATTTAATAAAATTATCAGCATAGATTAACTCCCAACATTCATCAATAGCCTGAATAATCATCAAATTGTCATTATTATTATCATCATCATTTGTCGTCCAGCCGTAACATTCCATTCCACTTTCTTTTTCTTCCAATATTTTTATTGTTTTGTGAATTCATTATCATCATCATCATAATAACCATCAATATTGTCAATGATGCCAGCTGTCAGAGGTGAAGGAATGCGTGGTTTAGCCGTATTTATATCGGATATTCGAAATTGTAAAAGCAAAGAAGCCGAAATCAAAAGAATTAATAAAGAATTGGCAAATATTCGTAATAAATTCAAAGGTGACAAAACATTGGATGGTTATCAAAAAAAGAAATATGTTTGCAAATTATTATTCATCTTTCTTCTTGGCCATGATATTGATTTTGGTCACATGGAAGCAGTAAATTTGCTTAGTTCGAACAAATACTCAGAAAAACAAATTGTAAGTAAAATTTAAATGAAAATAATAATTATTAATCATTATTATTTATTTATTTTTTTAAATTAGGGCTTCCTATTCATATCAGTGTTGATGAATGCCAACAGTGATCTAATGAAATTAATAATTCAATCAATCAAAAATGATCTAAATTCTCGAAATCCTATTCATGTTAATCTGGCATTACAATGTATCGCTAATATTGGTTCAAGAGAAATGGCTGAATCATTTGGCAATGAAATTCCTCGACTTTTGGTTACCGGGTTAGAATCTTTATGATTTTTTACTTGAAATTAATTTACTCAAATTTTAATTTTTTTTAGAGATACAATCGATGTAGTGAAACAAAGTGCTGCTCTATGTTTGCTTCGTCTTTATCGTGAGATGCCCGATCTTACACCTAGCAATGAATTTACATCAAGAATTATTCATTTACTAAATGATCAACACATGGGAGTTGTTACCGCTGCCGTTAGTCTGATCAATTCATTAGTGAATAGAAATCCGGACGAATATAAAGGATGTATTTCTTCAGCCGTATCACGATTAAGTCGTATAGTGACTTCTTCTTATACGGATCTTCAGGATTATACATACTATTTTGTACCGGCACCATGGTTATCGGTAAAACTTTTACGTTTGTTACAAAATTATCCACCACCTGAAGATGCCGGTGTACGTGGCCGACTAAATGAATGTTTGGAAACCATATTGAACAAAGCCCAAGAACCATTGAAATCGAAAAAAGTTCAACATTCAAATGCTAAAAATGCTATACTTTTCGAAGCAATCAGTTTAATTATACATATGGATAATGAGCCAAATCTATTGGTTAGAGCGTGTAATCAGCTTGGACAATTTCTTCAACATCGTGAAACTAATTTGCGCTATCTAGCTTTGGAAAGTATGTGCCTTTTAGCCACTTCAGAATTTTCGCATGAAGCTGTAAAGAAACATCAAGATACGGTCATCAATGCACTGAAAACCGAACGAGATGTAAGTGTACGACAACGAGCTGTCGATTTACTTTACGCGATGTGTGATAAAACTAATGCTGAAGAAATTGTTGCCGAAATGTTATCATATTTGGAAACGGCTGATTATTCCATTCGAGAAGAAATGGTTCTCAAAGTGGCTATACTTGCCGAAAAATATGCATCTGATTATAGTTGGTATGTGGATGTCATTCTTAATCTGATACGTATTGCTGGTGATTATGTTAGCGAAGAAGTTTGGTACAGAGTAATTCAAATTGTCATCAATCGTGAAGATGTTCAAGGTTATGCAGCTAAAACTGTATTCGAAGCTTTGCAAGCTCCTGCCTGTCATGAAAATATGGTCAAAGTAGCCGGTTACATTCTTGGAGAATTTGGTAATCTGATTGCTGGTGATCAACGATCAAGTCCTTCGATTCAATTTAAATTATTGAATTCGAAATATCATCTATGTTCGGTTGCTACGCGATCATTATTATTGACTACATATATCAAATTCATCAATTTATTTCCAGAAATTAAAGACGAAATACAAACCGTATTAAAAAATCATACAAATATTCGTAGTGCGGATGCCGAAATCCAACAACGAACTGTCGAATATCTTCAACTCAGTCAGATTGCTAGTTCAGAAGTATTGGCCACTGTATTGGAAGAAATGCCACCATTCCCTGAAAGAGAATCATCAATACTTGCATCATTAAAGAAAAAGAAACCAGGTATGACATCCGATAAAGTGAAACGTTCGAATTATGCTGCAAGTGCAGGCGCTTCCGCAAATCTTTCCAATGATTTATTGGGTCTTAATACAACCACTAATGCCACTAGTGTCGATTTATCGAACACAAATCAAACACAGAACAATTCAAATCTTTTGGTCGATCTTTTTGGTGATTCGACTACAATCACCGCCGCACCGGCTGCTAACGGAATCAATGGTGGTAATGTAAAAGATGTGATCCACAGTAATGAAGAATGTATTCAAAAATTATTAGTAAAAAATAATGGCATACTATTTGAAAATTCCCTCATACAAATTGGTCTCAAAAGTGAATACAAACAAAATCTGGGTCGAATTAGCATATTTTATGGGAATAAAACAAATGATACATTTCAGCAATTTTTGCCAACAATTACATGTCCTGATCTATTAGAACTAAGTAAGTTTTATTGTGGTTAAATTATTGTGACTATTCTAATGTTATAATTTCATTTTAGATTTGAATATTCAGGTAAAACCAGTGGAAAATGTTATTGAAAAAGGTGCACAAGTTTCTCAATCACTTAATGTCGAATGTGTCGATCATTTTGCAATATTGCCAAAGTTAGTGGTACAATTTGTAATTAACAATGTTCCACATAAATTTGATCTACAAATTCCCATCACTATTAATAAATTCTTTGAGCCTACTGCAATGAATTCCGAACAATTTTTTCAACGATGGAAAAATTTGAACAAGTATGTTATATTTAAAAATATACTAAAATGTAATTTTGTTCTTTTATGTTGTTGTTTCATATAAAGTCCCGGGCAAGAATCGCAAAAAATATTCAAGTCTAATTATCCAATCGATGGTGAAAGCAATAAAAGTAAACTTATTGGTTTTGGTTTTCAATTGCTCGAAAATGTTGATCCAAATCCAGAGAACTTTGTTTGTGCTGCCATTTTTCACAGCCGTAAAGTTCAGGTTGGTTGTCTGTTAAGGTTGGAACCAAACAAACAAGCTCAGGTATATATTATTTTTTTTTACAATATTCGATTAGTTTTTCATAATTAAATTTTTTTTTCTTGTTTGATATACAGATGTATCGATTAACAATAAGATCAAGCAAAGATGTTACATCAGCAAGACTTTGTGAATTACTTCAGGATTTATTTTGAAACGGTCTAACACTCTCATTCTCCCTGTCATTTTTTTTTGGCGGCACAATGTTTTTTTTGTTGTGCTCATTGTTTTTGTGCTCGTTTGATTGTTAGAGATTCTCTATCGTCTTGTCTGCTTAATATTTATTTCAAAAAAAAAAATCTGGTATCAACTATTATAAATAATAATAATAATAAAAGAATCCAAACACCTCTGTAGAATTATCCAATGTCAAATGTCATGTTTTTTTTTTTTGCTAAATTTGTGTGTTTTTATAGGAGTATTTCAATGAAAAAAAAAACAAAACAACAAAAAATCATCAACATTTATCCATTAACGAATTTGATTCGATAAAATTCTATATATTAATTGTCGAAAAAAAAACAAAATTCTTTTCATTTACAAAATAAATGTAATTTTTTGTCGCCTAAGAAAATATTCAAAAATTTGTTTCAAATCCGGGTAATATTTTTTTTCCCACATTTTTTTCGATTTTGGTCCTATCATTTATGAACATTTTTTTTTTGGAAAAAGATACAAAAAAAAAAAAATGGTGTGTGCATTCGAATTCTGCGCATATTAAATGAGCGGAGGGCAGGATATCTCATGTTGTGTTCTTCATCAACATATATAAAAGAAGATGGTGGTGGTCGTTGTGGTGGATAATAACGATTTTTTTTTACATTCAAACTTGAGCGCCACCATTAAAAAATAGAATCGTTTGATGTGTGTGTTTGTGTGTGGTTTAGTTATATGCCAGCAGATGTATGTAGCGTTCAGTTTATAAAAAAAAATCCAAACATCAGATCATTTCATTCTTACTTTTTTTTGTTTTCATCATCATCATCATTATTAAATGTGTGGTAACCAATTTTGCCATACTTGCTCACTCTGTGTGTATATAATAATAATCTATTTCCCTCTCAAATCTTCATCTATCCCAATGGCGTTCTCTCTTTGCCAATGGCTGCTTGGTTTGGTTGTATATATGTGCATTCTGTATATATGTATATTGTATATGAATGGTAAGGAAAGATGGTGTGCTCGCGCGATTTCGATCGACCAGCCACCATCATCATCATCATCATCAAACCGACCAAGATCGACCTACCCACCAAGATCAGGCCAAAGTGAATATAAAAGTTCAGTTCACGAACTTGGGTCACTGTTAGTTTTTCATTTTTTTTTGTTTTTGTTGTTATTGTTATTGCCAACATTTTGTATGTGTAAAATGGTCATCAATTTTTTTTGTTATTTTGATTTTTTTGTTTTGTTTGTTGCCATTGTGTGTGTGTTTGGTTTAATTATTATTCATCAAATCAATGCTGATTATCCGCGAAGATTTTTTAAATTTTTTCTTCAAGTAACATCTTTATCATCATATATCAAATAAGATGATCATGTTTTCAAGCTGGTTTGTTTGGTTTGATCATTTGATCGGTCGATAGGTTGGTTGATCAGGATCATCAACATTTTAAGTCATTTCTTTTCATCTGATTTTAAAAATATTTTCTTACGTTCGATATCAACTTTAAATCAAACAACATGATTTGTGTGTGATTTCGAAATATCGTCACAATTATCTTTCTTTAGTTTATCATTCAAACTCGGTATTGTTATTATTGTTGTTTTTGTTTTGATTGCTGTATGGGATTTCCGAAAGTATGAGAAAAACGTGTGTGTGTGTGTGTGTGTTATTGGTGTTTTACCGCCGTCAATCCGTTGCCATAGCGAACCGATATATTTTAGTTTTTGAGAAAAAAAGGTATGTTTTTTGTTATTGTTGTTTTCATGTATATGTACCATATATAACTATGTTTCAATTGTTTTCCAACATTGCATTGGATTTTTCAGTAAATTGCAAATAAATAGTCCAAACCAATTTTGTGTGATACTTTTCATTCGATTAGTTGTTGTTGTTGTTTTTGGCTATCAGTCATCAACCAACCAAACAGGAAAAAAACCCAACATTTAAAAAACCGCATTTTTTGGGTATTTTCCACCCCTTTGAATCTTTATTTTTTCCCGATTATTTCCATCTTCAAACGAAAGTGGTAAAACTAATAATTCTAAAAAATTTTGGTCAAAGTTCGAATTTCATAACAAAATTAAGCGCGCATGTCGTTCATCATCATCATTTGATTCGGGTTCAAATTATTATGGCTATCTTAAAAAAAATGTTCAAAAAAAAAGATTCTCACAAATCATATAGTATATGACATATACTATCCGAGTGTTTTCATTTTAATTTTTCAGTTTTTTTTTCACTATTTTCTTCGGTTATCCTCCTCTTGTTTAGTTTGAAAAAAATGAATTCGACTACCACTCGTGATCAAAAATATACAGCTCAAAGTATGAGAGAGAGAGGAAGAGTGCAAGTATTGTGATGAGGCCTCATTCTTTCATTCAAATAAAATACATAGACACACAACGCCCAAAAGGAAGTTCTTTTTTTTTCTTTCTTTGATGATAAGGATGAATAACAAGAAGAACCAAAAGGCAGAAGCAGCAATTTTATCGTTTCCTTTCAATTTAATTTCAATCAGTTAAATGTATACCACTACTTATATTACTTTGATTATAAACCTCAATAACAGGCAATTTTTTTTTTTTTTTGATTTCATTTTGAAACAACGTACCAACCCACACACTATTTTTTTTTCTCGTAAACAAAATTCGACGTCATAATGTTTTTTTTTTCTTCTCAGTTTATGACGAAGTTGATATGCTGCTGCTGCTGCTGCAACAGCAAAGAGAATAGAAAAAGTTGTCTTCCTCCCTCCTCTACACAAATCGAATGTTTATATTACCACAACATAAAACATTCGACATTTTTTTTTGCCGCCATTTTTAAACGCATGTTATTTTTTTTAATGTTTGTTTGCATTCTCTTCTCCACCTCCTCCTCATCATCGTTGTCATTAGATGCACGCTCACAACTTCCCTCTTCATTCTCTCTCTATCATTTTAGATTCTTCCGTTTTTGTTTCAATTCTTAATGCTACTACGATTATCATCAGTTGTTGCTAGTAGTAGTATCTCATCACTTGAATAGAATTTTATGATTTGCAAAAAAAAAAATATCGCGCCATATCGAATCATCAACGGCCAGTCACTTTATTTTCATTTTTTTTTCTTTGCAATGTATCGAAGGAAGTTCTTCTATCTGTTTTTTTTGTTTCAATATCAGCAGCAGCAATATTAACGTTGTCTTATCCACAAAATGACTGACAACTATACTTCTTGCCTGGCTTTAATTTTTGATTTTTTTTTTTGGCTCGACAATGTTTATGATGATGATGATGAATGTTTGCTTAAATATGTATATTGTGTTCAAGCAACAATTTTTTCTCTCTTTTGAAGATTTTTTTTTTTGCCTGCCAACATTCGTTGTTGTAGCAGTCGCAGCAACATCGCGATGAATCAAGAGAAAAATAGCGTTTTAGTTTTTTGCGTTTTTTTTATTTATTTATTTTTTGTTTGAAAAAATCGCCACAAAAGAACTTGTTCGTTTTTTTTTTGATGGTGCGCGCCTTTTTTGCTTTTCATCAATCTTTGTTGATTTTTGGCCAGTGTTTTGCCGTTTCTAATTGGCATTTGGTTTTTATCATCAAGAAATCTACCGCATCTTTTCATTTTTCATCAAACTCAAGTTTTAAACATCGTTTTTGTACATTCAATCAATGTATGCATCGCAATTTCTGTTGGTCCATGCAATTTTTTCGATTTGTTTTTCTTTTCTGGCACGATTCTTGCCCCATTGTTTCATCATGATCAGCAATACATTCATTAATGTTTACTCACATGAAAAGAGCGCGTAAAGTTTAATGAGTCATAATTATTGACAATCTCAAAATATCTTTGGGAATTGTTCGATTGGTTTTGTTTGCCAATTTTAAAATTTCGCCAAAATTCACTTTGTGATTATTCTCTGTTTTGAAAACTTGAATTTCGTTTCAATGATCGTGTATGTATTGATGAGAGAGTAGTGAGTGCTCACAGGTCGATGAATTGTTTTTTTCCATTATAGTGCTGACCTCTAGCGTCGACGATAAAAAACATCGATTTGTTTTGCGCGCGTTATGTTCAATTTGAACTAATGTTTTTTTCTTTTGTCAATTTTCACATTCGATATTCTTTGTGAAAGACATGGGTAGTGAGATGTCATATTAAATGTCACATGAAATTCATCTCACTACCTTGTCTTTGACGTAGGGTACTCGATCGAAATTCATCTAATGTTCCTTTTATAATTTATAACATGTGTGTAGCCATCAAAAAGTGTTGTGAAATGTGTGATCAATTTAAATTAATGATCGTTTTCAAATTCCATATCACAGCCTTTTTGATGTCTAAACGTATGTTCTTATTATCCTCGATGTAATTTTTCCAAATCATTTGGTTGCAGATCTTAACTCGTGTAAATAGAGCTGTGAATTGTTATTTGAATCATATCACAGCCTAGTTAACACGATTTAGGTTTCTGATATATCATCAATTAATATTTTATTTTTTTCCATCACAATACCCTTTTTTGTGTTGTTATATTCATAGATTTGCTTTCTAAACCGCCAAAGTGGTTGTGAAAATGTTCAATTGGTAAAAATCATATCACAGCCAGCTTTGGTGAGTTTAGATTGCGGAAAAATGTTCTTCGAATTTGGAATAGCATGTGATTGTTTCATATTTGGCCTATCTAATAATAATAGTAGTGTCCTCTGCTTATCAAAGTGGTAGTGATCTGTTTGGTATTTTTAATCAATGCAATGCAATTATCATATCACAGCCACTTTGATTAGTGGTCCGGATACTCAATGTGCAATCGTAAGGATAATTTTCTTTTCTTTTTTACTCATCAAATAGATTTTATTATCTTGCACATCATGGTCACGTGGTAATGATATTTTAATCTAAAAAAAATATTTAAATTTCTTTTTTAATCTCGTTTAGCATAGCTACAATGGCATCGAATGTTTCTTCACCCGTTGGTTGTATATAACGAGCAGGCAACAGAAATCCATAAGTTCCACGATCACGTAATTCCACTGTGAAACTGTATTTGATTCCGGCGGCACCGTAAGCCCAATCTTTTGTAATAAAGAATCATCAGTTTGGAAAAAAAAATTCAACATTCATTTCGACATACCATCTGAACCGCCTGCAGCAGAATCTAAAACAATTAAAATTGATATTTATTATTTAGACTATGAATAAACATATTTTCTGCTTACAAAGTAATGCTGTACTGCTTCCATAACGATATTCGGTTCCGTAACGCATTTTAAATGCTCTCGATGCTATTTCGGCTATTTTCATCATATCTGAATGATCTTTTGGTAAATCTTTGGTCCAGCCCCTAGAAAAAAAAGAATAGCTTTACAAAATTTTCTTTACTCGAAAAAAAATATGCTTACCATGGTGTAAGTATTAATTGTGAATACGAATGTAATGATAAGAAAAGCTATAAATCGATGAAATATTAATCAGATCTAAATAAAATTATTTTTTTTTTTTGTTGTTGAAAACCTTTATACCTTGATATTGTTTTTGTTTTGCATTACGTGACTTGCAATGGAAGCTGTTTCCGGTTCAGAAAATGGACGAGGTCCATGATATGTATTGGAACATGGATTACCACTGCTACCTGTTCGACTCCATTGATATCCGTAGTTTCTGTTTGGATCAACTCCAACACAGAAGAAACTATTATTAAAACTATCAAATTATTAATCAATCCAGAATTGTTTTGGAAAATTATTATTATTTTGTTTACCCTAAGAATGTTCCAGAATTTCTGGATCTAGTTTTACGCCAAAATCGATCAAAAAGTCTTGAATATTCATAACCATCAGGATTTGCGGATGGTAAGATATGAAAATCAAATGTTTTAAGTATTTGTGATATTTCATCTTCATCTTTTTCCCATATTAGCTACCAGAAACGAAAATTATTTATATAAAAAAAAATATAATTATGAACAACAAAAAAAAATTGATACTTTGCTAATGATGTACGTAGCTGTGGCTGGTGCAATCCATTCACGTGCATGAATTCCAGCATCGATCCAAATAATTGGCTTATTTTGTCCTGGATAGCCAATTTTGATTATTTTAAGTGCACGTCCTTCACCCGATTTTCCAATGGTCTCTAATGAACTGATATCCTGATTCGAACGTACCAAATCATCGAGAAACGAAATTATCTAAAATTATTGTAAATCAGGATTAACATAATTTGAAATATGAAATGAACAAATTGATACATTTGACAATGGTTGATAACGTTGAAAAAATATTGTATCGTTAGGAAATCGTGAATAAAATAATGAATCTTCAACATTATCTCGTTGCATTTCAACCATTCTAACAACAACAAAAAAAAAATGAATAAATTTTAATTATTTTATTATTCCATTATTATCGTTAACACTTACCTTCCAACATCATTAATCAATGTTTCAGCTTTAATATTTTGTTTGGCTAAAATGGTTTGAAAATCATTTCCCAATTCAGGTGGAACCATCAAATCGATTGATGAATTTAATGAATTTGGCATTGACCAAAAATCAATTTTTAAATCCACTTTTTGTACATCATCCGATAATTGTCGTAGATATAATAATTGATCAATATTTTCGGCACGAACACGAAATACTTTATATCCATCATAGGCAATTTCTTTTTTCAAATTATTATTACAATAAATATTATTGAAAAATATGGTTGAAATTAAACCAAAAATAATATGCTTAATCCAAATCATGATCGAACGATGAATGAGTGAATGATATTTAATGATGGCTATTGAAAAACTAAAATATCATTCGATCAACAACAGAAATGAAAAAAAAAATCTGACCCAGGAAAAAAACCAGACATTATGTATATATAAAGTCACCCTAAATGATGATGATGATAATCGTTTGGTCAAAAAATACGGAACAAATCATCAATTTATTGATTTAAATAGAAAAAAATAAATTGTTTGCACAATGACGTTTTGTTTGTCAAATTGAAAAGAAAAAAAAATCTGTTTCATTTTTTTTTCGCATTTGTATTTCACTGTGTTCGATCATTGTTCATATCCTTCCGTTTATTGTTCATTTGAATTTAAATTTGATTTAAAAAAAAACAATGTTGTTTCAAATTTTTTTTTCTTTCCTTCTGCGAATCACAAATACATCATGCACTTGAAGAAACAAGTTTCTACCTGTTTGAATGATTGTTTTATTTTAAAAAATTGATTTGAAAATTCACCTTGTGTTCCAATATTCAACCACAACAATTATTTACCCTATCATTGTGTTGATTTGATTGGTTTGACAATTTTTATCATCATCATCATCAAAAATGCTCTGATTTCATCGTTTTTTCCATGTCAATTTCCGGAGTGTTAGCCATTTGATTATCATTGAATCGTTTTACTCGATATCTCTAGTTTTTTTTTTTGTAGTTGATATTGATAAATATAGCTGTGTGTGTCAATAATTTAGCGCGCCAAATTTGAAAATAAAAAATTTTGCTTACGACGTAACAGCTAATCGTTTTTTTTTTGTTAAAAAAAATATTATATCATATTGAAGCGATCAATCCGTTTGCTCCAGAAAACAGTTTGATTAAATTTGATTTGTGTGTCTTTTTAAAAAAAAAAAAATGAAAAAAAGGCCTATATTTCTAAGGCTTTTGACTGATAAACATAGGCCGACGACAAAGACGATGAACGATGCTTTCGTTGTTTGTCTTTAAATTTCTGTAAGATATGGAGAAATAGGCGGCATCAATCAAGAAATAAATAAATCAATCAAAATTATTCATTTTATTTTATTTTTTTTTGTCGGTACGATTTTTATAAACATTTATTTGTTTGACGAATAATATATGCATTCACAATATACATTTGTGACTTTGTTTTAGTTTAGTTTTTTCAAACTAAATTATGTCCTCTTTTTTTTATTTATTGACGAATAGAATATATAGTTATAGAAGATCAGTTTATCTACTGGGCTAATCTTTTTTTGAACAAATCACGTAGTCATTTTTTGTTTCATAAAAGGACCCCTTCATTCATGTTTATGGAAAAAAAAAATTTTTGTTTAATAATTTTTCATTTCTAATTAATCAATCAATCAATCAATACATGCGACAAATTGATTGATTGATTTGATTTGACTGATGAAATTCTAGATGAAAATACATTTTTTTTTTAAATTACAATGTTTTTTGGCAATCTGATACGAATATCAATCGAGAAGGGAAAAAAAGATGTAATTAGTTTTTGCTTGGTCGACATTGACAAATTTTTTTTCCTATAAATGCTTTCTTGCTTGATAAAAATAAAGGAATTCTTTTCGTTTCGTTTTTTATCCAAACCAAAGGCAAAAATGGATTTGCGAAAAAAAAATCAAATCAAATCAGACGTGTTATATTACGGTCCCCGTTATATTACCGTTATGATTATTTGAAATGAATTTTTAGTAAATGCTAAATGATATCATCAATAGAACATAACCAACCAAAAAAAAATGGCTTATTGAATTGCTTACTTCTAATCAAACATTGATTTGATTGATAAATTTTCTTCTTCGTTTTGTCATTCATATTGATTTGGATTTTCATTTTCCTCTCTCTCTTTTTTCTCTGTGGTCTATCGATTATCATCATTATTGTATCGTCAATCGTGTCATATGCTGTTGTTGATCCGTTCGGCAAAGAAGTCTAAAATATCTCTGTTTGTTGTCTCTGTGCATAATATAGCGGCGAAAAAAAGCATCAATTGAAAAAATATTCGAATCATTGAATTGAATCGAAATAAACCTTGAATAGAAAAAAAAACAGAAAAGAAACCACGTTTAGTTTGATGCGGACAAATTTTTTTTAATATATCGGTTTCAAATGAATAAATTTTTTTGTTGATTTTTTGTGACGGACCAAAAAAAAAGAATACATTTTTTTCAAAAAAGTTATGATAACCTGCATATTGTGTTTCAACAAACAGAAAAAAACCTTTATTTCATGTTTCATTAATCTGTTGAACGAGTGAAAAAATAAATCATCAAACAAAGTGTTAACAATGGAACAATCATTGCCTTCCGTAAAGACATCCGTCGATAATCCACCCATAAATGGTCGACCAAAATTACAGACATTAAAAGTGCCTACAATAAATGATTCAAATTATGATTTACAACAACAACAATATTCTATATCACCATCATCACCAACATATAAATCACCTATGAATGGAATTCCCGATATGAATATTATGGTTAGCGGACAAAGTTTTAATAACGATTTGGAACAACAATATAGATTATCATCGGCTGATGATGATTCGCCTATTGATGGTTTTTAATTTCATAAACAATTTTCATTATTAACATTTTAATAACAATTCATTTTTTCTATTCATTCAACAGGTGGTTTTGGTTGGGTTGTAGTATTTGCATCGTTTATGTGCAATGTTATTGTTGATGGTATAATTTTTTCATTCGGTATTCTATTGCCAGAAATTTCGGCTGAATTTAATGAAACTAAAGCAACTACTGCATGGATAGGTTCATTACAGACTGGTTTATATTTGATTGTCGGTAATGAAGAAAAAAAAAATGAAATTTTGTCTAAACTAACGAATCATAATGATTGTTTTTGTTTTCCAATATATCTAATAGGACCACTTGTCAGTGCATTAGCAATACGATATGATTGTCGTAAAATTACGGCAGTCGGTAGTGTATTGGCCGCAATCGGTTTTGTTTTGTCATATTTTTGTACCAATGTTATTACACTTTATTTAACGTTTGGTGTGCTTGGAGGTACACAAAAATCTATTTTATTTGTATAAATTTTTTTCAATTAATTGTCATCTATTATAGGTATTGGTTTTGGATTTGTTTTCTTGCCAGCAATCGTAACCGTTGGTTATTATTTTGAAAAGAAACGTGCATTTGCTACAGGAATCGCTGTTTGTGGTTCAGGTATTGGAATGTTTATCATGGCACCAATTATGCATTTTCTTGTCGAACAATATGGCTGGCGTGTAAGCGTATTGATTTTGGCTGTAATAACATTGTTTTGTGCAGTTTTTGGTTCATTTTTTCGGCCAATCAAATATGATCCAAGAACGGATGAAGAAATACCAGCACCAGGAGCCATACAACCAAAACCATTACTGATGCGAATCAAAGAAGCACGTGCTGCTGCTTGGGCTAGATCCGAAGAAGAACTAAGCGAAGAATCACCAACCAGTAGTCAGAATAGTGCACCACCTCCTTATTCGGAAGTTTTAGAAGTAGTAAGGACGCCTACTGAAGATAGAATGGTTTCATTTTCGAAAAATAGCCTATTTCAAACATCAATCGAAAATCGTAAACGTACAAGAAGTACAATAGAAACAATTGGATCACGTAATAATCTTCAAACAGTAAAAAAAATTCCCACACCTCGAGATGAAATGCTTTACAGTAATTTAAGTCTTGTGGTTATACCTCAAAGTCGTTCATATGCTAATCTTCGTTCACAATCAATGGGAACTATAGCTAAAAGTGGTGAAATAGATGTACCAAGTTTTTGTTCAGGTTTTGATTTATCGTTATTGAAAAAGCCATCATTTGTTTTATTGGCATTAAGTGGATTTCTTTGTCTGGTTGGATTTTTCATACCTTTCATCTATCTTAGTGACAGAGCTAAACTTTTGGGTAAAATATTCAATTATTCATTTACACAATTTTTTTTTTGGTGTTTAATCTAATTAATCTTATTATTAGGTTGTTCACCCGATAAATGTGCATTCATATTATCGATTATTGGCATAGCCAACACATTCGGACGTGTAATGTGTGGATGGGCAGCAGATTCACGTGTAAATGCATTACTTTTAAACAATATTGCATTGACTGTTGGTGGAATTGCTACCTTTATTTCACCGATTGTATTCAATTCATATTATTCTTTAATATTTTATGGTTCAATTTTTGGCGTTTCTGTTGGTAATGAACACAAAAAAAACAATAATAATATTTTCATGAATTTTTATTTTTTCTCTCTTAATCAATCAGCATCATTTGCTACTTTACGTTCTGTGATAACAGCCGAACTTTTAGGTCTAGAAAAATTGACCAGTGCATTTGGATTATTATTGTTATTTCAAGGTTTAGCCGTTACTATTGGCTCACCAATTGCAGGTAAATAGTAATTATCATTTGTCTCATTACCTTTTTTGATAATGTAATTACCTGGAATTTATCTTTCAAATAGGATGGTTTTTTGATATTACCGGATCATATGATTATTCATTTTATTTATCAGGATCGGCTATTGCATTATCCGGTGTTATGTGTTATCCATTGAATGCAATTGCTGCATGGGAGAAAAGATTTTTTGATGAAAAAGAACAATCAACAAATGATAATCAATCAACAAACAAAGATGATAAATTTTGATTCTGAAGAAAGAAAGAAAAAAATATCGGGTATGTTTTAATTCATCATTTTTTAATTATAAAAAATCAATTTATAATTTTCATAAATTTATAGACGTTTTTTTATTATTATTTTTTTTTGTTTTATAAATTACATTTACTACATCATTATACTGATTTATAATAATTATTAAAAAAAAGGAGTTGGAAAAAAATTTAAAAATAAATCATTTAATTAAATACAAAATTTTTAAAAAAAAAACAACAAAGACAACAATCATCAATTTTGAAGATTTAAAAAAAAATGATAAATTTCGATTGGAATTTTTATAAAATAGAATATAGATATTCGAATATATAAAATGTTTCGTTTGTTGAAATAGTTGCAACAAAAACAAAAAAAATCCATTCAAATTCAAAATATTTTGTCTTCTTGAGCACAATGGAACAATTTTTGAATAAACATTGTGAATGATTCTGTTCGAAAAATTTATATTTTAGAAAATTTTCCTTCGGAAATATATTAAACTTACCGATAAGTCGTTGATAGGTTCTAGGTTTACGTTTCCATGCAACTGTAACCAGATATATTGGAATGCCACTTAATGTAATTAATGCACCGATACCAGTTTCATATGGACTCACATAAAACGGAAGAATAACAAGAAATATACAGGTAATAAAAAATAATATCGGTAACAAAATGTTCACTTTGATTGGACGTTCCATTTCTGGTCGTTTCCATCGTAGCCATAATAATGCACCAACTGATGCAGCAACAGCTAATGATTCAATAAATGCTGTATAATTGATTAATGTATAAACCTGTGTTGTTGTTAAATATAACAACGATAATACACCCTATATTTGTTGAAAATTTTTATGAAAAAAAGTAATTTTGAATGTTTATAATTGAATTACTCATACCAAAAATATTAGACTAGGAATTGGTGTATAACATTTTAGATTGATCATTGATAAACTTTTTGGTAAATGACCATAACGTGCTCCTACAAAAAATAATCTTGAAGATGCAAATATTCCACCATTTAGACCACCAAATGTTGACATTGCAACTGAAAATGGCATTATCCATGAAAATGATCCTAAAACACGATCACCAAATGTTACGGCAACAGCATTCGATGTAAGCAATTCATGTGGTGTTAATACAGTAAAATAAGATATATTTGCCAATAGATAAATGATTGTAACTAATGGTAATGATATATAGATAGCTCTTGGTAAATTTTTCGATGGACTTTTTAATTCTTCTGTAACAAAATTCAGATAATTCCAACCGGCATATGAAAATAAACCAGAATAAAATGATAATGCAATATGACCGGGTGAAGTTGTTGTTCCTTCAAATGATGCTGGATATGCTAAATTTCTATCATTGCCTTTGACCAATTGAATAATACCACAAACAATGATAATGATCAAGGCTAAAACTTTGGCGAATGTAAATGAATTTTGTACGCGTGTTGCCCATTTGACATTGTAACAATTGATGAATGTAAGCAAAACTGTATGATGATAATAATCAGGCAACAAAAAAAAAACCCAAAACGTGTATTGATGAATAAATTTGAAATGAAATTTTTTTTTTTGTTTCGCTTATTATTTTATCTATCTTATTATTTTTTTTACTTACTTATAACCGAAGCGGCAATCAATCGTACCGCATTTGGTGGTGGTGCACAAACCGGATAAATAGATTGTAGTATATAATTGGCAAATGTCATTGCAGCAATAGCATTGCTACAAGGATTGATAATAAGCAATGCCACCCAAAGAAATCTGTACATTCAAATAAAACAGTAAAACACATATCAAGACATTTGAATGAAATATTTTTAAATTTATTATTATTTTCATTTTTCATTGGAAATTTTCGGCAAATGATTGATTTGAATATTTTGAATATATCGGAAAGATGAAATTATAAAAATGTTTAATTGATTTGTCACCATTTGGCTTGTTTATAATACTAACTTTGAATAAAGTTTGATGGTAACCAGATATATCCAAATATCCACATCACATGCTATTCCCTCATTTTTTTTCTCTCTCATTAAACTATTTGGGATTTGTGTTTTTTATCCAATTATTTAATTGATATTAAATTACTAATTTGATAAATCTCGATTTTTGATCTCGACGATTAGGAGATGTTTTCTTTTTTTTGGCTTGAAAAATTGAATTTTCTATGTCGATTTTTTTTCTTCGAAAGAAGAATGTTTGAACAAAAAAAAACTATTATTTCAAAAAAAAAGAATCCTAACTATAGTTAGCATGAAATATGAAGCTACAAGTGTTAAATAGCTAAAAATAATTCTATTCATTCTACTAAATCAATCATTTTGTCAAACGATAAAGACGACAGACAGTATTTTGTAATCATATTTTCAATGTTTTTATAATATTTAAAATAAAACTTACAAAAATGAAGGCAATGGTCCAAATGCTTCACGAATATATGCATAATCACCACCAGATTCTGGTATTGATGTTCCTAATTCAGCATAACATACGGCACCAATTGTCGATAATAAACCACAAAGTACCCAAATAACTAATGAAAATCCAATTGAACCGGCTTCCTGTAATACACCTCTTGGTGAAACAAATATTCCACTACCAACAATAACACCAACAATAATGGCAACACCATTTAGTAAGCCAAGTTGTTTTTTTAATGCCACTTGTTGCTGTGGCGATTTTTCATTACCCGATTCAGACATTTAATTTAAAAAAATTTTATTAAACAATACAGACAATGTTGACACAAAAAAAAAAAAAAAAAAAAATTCTAGCAAAAAAAAAAAAAAATGCAAAAAAAAAAAATTAAAAAAAAAAAAAAAAAAAAAAAAATTTTTTAAAAAAAAAAAAAAAATTTTAAAAAAAAAAAAAAAAAAAAAAAATTCTAGCAAAAAACAAACACGTGATTTAAGGAAAAAAAATGACAAACAGATTGAATTAATTCAATATTCAAATTTGCCCATTGAAAGCAATTTTTCCTTTAAATTCACTTCTAGCATGTGTTCAATATATGTTTTTTGTTGTTGTTGTTGTTGTTGGATATGATGATGGTTATTAATGATTATTGATTGATGGATAATGATGGTGGATATTTAGATGGACATCACAAGAAAAAAGAAGATTTTATTGAATATCATTCATTCATTCATACAATTGGATAATATCATATTGGAAATTTTCGATGTTTTTGTATGGGCGTACGGATTCAAAATGTATGGCATTTTTATTTTGTTGATGTAAGTGTGTGTGTGTGATGTTGATGATATGTGTTCAGACTTTGTCGTCGTCGTCGTCATCGTTGTCGTAATAATGATCAATGCTACCACCAAATAATTTCTGTTCATTTCTGTCGTATCATCATCATCATCATCATAATCATCATGATAATTATGTATGGAATCAATGGCTATAAATGCCCTTGAACTGTTAAGTTTAATAGTTAACCGATGATGTCTATTTGGATGGAATAAAATGAATGCCAACAGCCTAAGTTGATAAATTAGAGCCTGAATCCATCCATCAAACCAACCTATCGATCTGGTTTTTTTTTTGTTTGTTTGTTCCTCTTTACCATTTATATCCAGTCTTTGTACGTAACAAAATATATATAAAATGATGATGTTTAAATATTGCTTGCCTGTTTTTTTTCTTCTTCTTCTTCTTCTTTCACTATGGGATGATGATAATCATTTTTTTTTGATATTCGTTTTGTTTTTCCAAATTAGACATTAATACATTGTATTACATTGAACAAGAAATTTAAAAAAAAAATTTCATAAATAATGACCTCGAATTAAGTTGATTATCTCTTTGTGTGTGTTGTGTTGTAGATATGTTATGAAGAAGCAAAAATGATCATTAAAATGAATGAATAAACAGGTCTTTTGAGCTGATGATGGCCATACACCCTTAATATTAAAATGTCATTGTCCATCCTGATGCCTGAAAAAAAAATGTAAATTATAAACAACAATTATTATTATGTCAGCATTGTTGCAACCAATGATCATCAGGCTAAGTTCTTGGTCGACAACCTGTGCGCAATAATTTTTCTGTTTGTTTTGTTTTGTTTTTTGTGAAAATTCTTGTCGAGCAAGTTATTATCATTTACACCCAACAAAAACCACACCACCATTTCTTTTCTTTTCCGTTAACATTCGAAAAAAAAAGTTGCTGAGTAATTTTTTTTTTGTTTTGTTTTTGTTTTTGTTTGGCTCATCAGCAATGATCACAAGATGAAGCAAACAAATAAATAAATAAATGGATGTATGTATGTCATATTATAAATCATTGGTAAAATTGAAAAAAATAAATAAATAAACCCAGCCAACAGGAAATCATAGATTTATCAAATCATTAAATAAATGAAATAAAAAAACAATGCCATTAAATTATGATTAAATCAACATTGAACATCATCATCATCATAATCAGTTGAAACAAAAACAAATAATTAAAAATGACAAACATTCATTTGATTCAATCTTTTTTTTGATTCGGATTTTCATTTTTTTGTTTTTTTTTTGATTTATTAAGATTATTATTACAAAAACCATGGACATGGTCTATTTCCTCGTTATTTTTTATTGTTTTTGTCCATTGGAGAAAGTTTGGGGAAAAAATGATTGGAAATGTAAATGGATAACTGTATAGAATGTATATCGATAATAACAATCGATTTTTGGAAATTTTTTAAGAATTTCTCTCTATCTATTTTTTTTGGCGGGCTCAAATATATTTGATTATTTTCATTCCACTACTTTGTTGCTACTAAATCATGAAATATTTTTTTTGCATTGAAAATGAATGGCTATTTTTGTTTTGTTGTTTTTGGATTCAAGCGCGCGCATATTGTATATCAATTCTCATAACATAGATTTTTTTTATATTTGACGCGCTAAACTTTAGCGGGCTTTATGGGCCAAGCTTGGCGGCAATCAATAACATATTCCGCCAAATTACTTTCTCTTTGGCTGAACAGACAACCTGCGCTCTTCATTATCAATACACACTAAAACATGTATTGCTTAGCATAAACATTACGCGGTTTTTTTATCGTCTGTTTCGATTTTTTTTTCTTTTGGCCAAAAAATTCTTTGCTTTTATTTTCTTTTATTTATTATGGTCTGTGTGCATACAAATGATCCAAAAGAAATTGTACGCCATAACGATTCGAAATTTTTTTGTAGTTAATGTTGTGGTTTTAGATCGATTTCTTCTTCTAGGAACTTGTTATAATTATTGATTTTTTTCAAATTTTAGCATGTATGTATCTTCTTGTTTTTCTATGAAAAAAAATCAATAAAATTTTTCTTATTTTTCTAGGGATAATAAAAATAATAATCGATCTTCTGGTTGTAAGCGAAAAAATCACGTAAGTTTCAATGTTTTTTTTTTGGAAATTCTGTAATCCAGAAATTATATGTTAATGTTTTCATACAGGTTCTGGATGAAGTCGACACTAATCGTCAACCAGTTAATGATATTCATAATGTTATTAAATCAAAAAAATTAAAACGTTCAAAAGAGAATATCAGTTCCAAAGAAAATTTTCCAAACGATTTAACGCCATCAAGTTCACGATTTTCTTCAACATATGAAAACATTACTCCTTTACCAAATCTAAATTTCGCCGATTCAGTTGAAGTTTGGAATATAATGCTAAAATGCGATAATTCATATAAACGTGATTCTAATCTATTTAATCGTCATGTATCACTTCAACCAACAATGCGAGCTACATTGCTCGATTGGTTGAATGAAGTTTGTCAAGCATATAGTTTAACCAGACAAACCTATTATCTTGCATTAGATTTTTTCGATCGTTTCCTATCAATTCAAAAAGATTGTCCAAAAAAGAATCTTCAACTAATAGGAATAACATGTCTATTTATTGCGGCGAAAATTGAAGAAATTTTTCCACCCAAACGAAATCGATTCTCGTTTGTTTGTGATGGTGCCTGTAGTGATAAAGAAATATTCGATATGGAACTAGTCATCATGAACACACTAGAATGGAATCTTCGTCCAATCACACCTATCGCATGGCTTAGTGCATTCTTTAAAGTTTATACATTTTCTGAAAAAGAAAATACAAACAACAAATCAAGGCAACAAGTGAATGAATCATTTTTAATTCCAGATTATGAATCCGAATTATTTGTTCATGTTGCACATCTTATTGATCTTTGTACATTAGATGCTGGATCATTAACATTTCAATATTCTGTGATAGCTGCTTCAGCATTTTATCACTTTACAGACGAAGATGTTGTATTGCATTGCACAGGTTTGTTATTATTATTTTGTTTTCAAATTTAAAAAAAAATAATAAAAATTTTAATTTAGGAAAAACACTTAATGAATTACAATCATGTGTCGAATGGATGGTACCATTTGCAATTGCAATCAAAAATGTTGGACTCAGTTTTCTTAAAGATCTGAATAACGAAAAATCTATGATTCAAACTCATACAATCAGCCTCGAACTATTAGTAAGTGATCATGTTTTTTTCGTTAGATTTTCATTTAGTTATTTTTCAAAATTTCCTTTTTTTTATTAAAAAAAATAGCATAATGCACAAACTATTCAGGCCGATATTGAAGCAGAAAAATTAACAATATTCGAATCTTCTGAAGCCAGTTCTTTGTGTCCAATGACACCATCAAAAATGGCGAGTATGCCACCAACGCCACCTCGAAGTACTGGAACTTCATAAATGTATTTTTACCATTTTAATTTCATCTGATATTTTATCATCGAAAAACAAATTCCAATCTTAGTTTTTTTAGGAATGAAATTTATTTTTTTTTAAATCATGATAGTCAAATTAACAATAAATTGATTATTTAAAAAAACAAAATAAATCATTGATTTTTACTTCGGCTGGCTTTGAATTTAGATTTTGGACGCTGCGATGTTGAAATCGATTTGGTGTCCTGTTTATCTAGCGGTTGAGATTCAGGAACAAGTCTTTCAATTATTTGTGATTTAAATGGCTGATCTTTATCATCATCAATCGGTTCGTTTTCATATTTAGCAAAAATTTTATTCAGCTCTTCTTTAGACATTGCATCTTTTCTATTCGATTTATTCTTGTTTTTCTCTTGAATTTTTTCATTTCGTTCACGTATCCATTGTTGATATTCTTCTTCTGTACACGTTTCGGTTATATTGACAAATTGATCATTTTCTTCTTGAAGATTGGCAGCTGTTTTTTGCCATTCATTAATCATGAATTTTTGACGTTCAAGATCAGTAAGTTTTTCCCGACAGAATTTTAATCTTCTTTCAACAAATTCGGTTGCTTCTTTTGTTGATTTTTCTACAAAATAATTATCACCAAGAAGAACTAATATTTCATTCGTATGATGAATGTAACCAGGCATATAGGCCAATTTAGTACCTCCGATCGGTATCATAATATCATGACGAGTTTTATCGGCCAATGTTGATAGCCTTGTCTTCAAATGTTCATAATCATCGATGTATTTGGTAAATAGAGCAATGTTTTGTTCGCAAACATTTAATTCGTATTGTTCACGATTGAATAAAACGTCAAAATTTTTTTCCATATTTTTCTTTTTTTTAATTTCAATTTTCTATCAACAATAAAAATTGTTGAATTTTATGGATCATCCAAATAAGAAGATACGGGAATGCCATCCATGTGATCATCATAATCGCATGGTTTGATGTGATAGAATTTTTTTAACAAGAATATTTTTGTTAGTTTTTTTTGTCATCAAAATGTTTAGGTCTTTAATGCAAACATGTAGTCAAAATTTCGGCCGAACATTTATCAATCAATCATCGATCGATATTAATTTGAATAACTCAAGAATAGTCAATTCGGTATTAACAATATCGGTTCGAAATGGAAGATATTCTGCACCAACTACTAAACGTCGTAAAACTTATCCATATCATTGGTTAGGAAGAGCAGAAAAAAATTCTACATTAAAAAATTATCTTACAAAAGAAAATAAAAAATTTTTAGATGATATCGATCATAGTAAGCAAGAACCATTTCAAAATAATAAAAGTCCATTGAAAATTGAACAATTGGAAAAATGTGAATATGAAGAAGGATCAATGCGTTGCGGTGTTATTGCCAAAAAAATTGGCGTTCAACCAATGTGGACGAAAGATGGTCAAAGATTATTAACCTCTGTCCTTCAAATTGTTGATAATCATGTAGTTTCTTATATCAAAAATGAAGATTTTGTCCGTACACGAAGACCATTCTATAAGAATCATAGATTCAAAAATATGGATGTATTAGTTGTTGGTGCTGAAAATGCCAGTCATTTAAATTATCCATTATCGTATCTGGGATTATTCCAAAAAGCGAATTTACCACCAAAAAAGAAATTGACTCGATTTTTTATCACTCCAAATGCAAAATTGACTCCAGGAACCCCATTGTTAGCAAATCATTTTTGTGTTGGTCATTATGTTGATGTTTGGGGCAAAACTATAGATCATGGATTTCAGGGTGTTATGAAACGATGGAATTTTAAAGGTCAATTAAAGCATCATGGTGTTACTAAAGCTCATCGACGTCCAGGTACGATAGCTAGAGGTCGAAAACTAATGGGTCCAGTAAAAGGTACTAAAATGGCTGGCCATATGGGTTCAGAAAGAAGAACATTGAAAGGTTTGAAAATCTGGCGCATCAATACCAAGTATAATGTTATATGGGTTCATGGACCTGCAGTTCCAGGTGCAACTAATTCATGGGTATATATTCATGACACTTCATTACAAGAAAAGTATGTTATAATTGAATTTGTTCATTTTTGATTTAAAATAAATCTTTCGTTCTCTTTTTCTATAGAAAATATAATAAAGATAATCATCCACCGTTTCCCACTTATTACGAGGAAGAAAGTGAAGAAAAATTACCCGAAAACATCTATGATAAAGATCTTCATCCATTTGATGAACCATCTTTGCTTTTCGAAGAAACTGAAGAGGAAAGAAAAGCTGCATTGGCGGCATTAAGAATGACCAAGAAAGCAAAGATTGCCAAGATTCGTTAATATTTAAAAATATTTGTAAAATTAGTAAAAAAAAATTTCAATAAATCATGTGAATTTATTCATTTATAAATTGCATTTTACAAGTAACATAGCAAACTATTAGTATTTAATTGAGTGGCTAAAATTATTTCATATTAATTGGATCGATCTTAGTTGTTTCTTCGAATTTGAGTCCAAGATTGGCAATGTTTGCTTCATCTTTGATACCATAAGCGTTGGCGACACGTTCCATATCTTCTTTTAGCTTTTTGACAACTTCAGGATTGGAATCGACAAGGCCGCTCGGAGCACTCTTGGCTTTGTTGCTATATTCTTTAATTTTATCGGCAAAAAGTTTTTGGATCGGATCTGTCGCTTGTGAAGCTGAAGCTAAGCTTCGACAGACGATGTTTGGAGAAAAAGTAATCTGTAAACGTCTTAACGGAAACATGATGTTGACCAAATTTCAAGACAAATCGAATAAATGAGCACCGAAAATTTTAATCACCAGACAATAATTGTAAATAGGTTAGCATGACCTTATACGCAATTCATATATGTCGTTTTGAATTTTTGCATTAAGAATTAATAGAAATAAATTAATAAATCAGGTTATTTTATAAGGTTTTTATGGAAGATTTTTTAATTTATGAGTCAAGTTAAATAATGATCTATTTGATTTCAATACTTAAGTTTTTACCATTATCGTTAAAATTATCTCGAAAATTTCAAATTGTTATTTGGTTTATGAATGACTCTTGAATGTTTAGGTAGCCCGTGAAAAAGGACGTAAAGTTTTTTCAATTAAAGTTGAATATTTTTCGTAAAATAATGATTTCTTTGCGAAATTTAACCCGTATTCAAAAGCTAATAGCTTTTAAAAATGTATCCAGATTGGCGCCTATCATTTCAAGTTCGTTAATACCGCCGAATCGACAATGTTCAAATGTGGTAAAAAATTCAAACGACAAACAAATAAAACCAACTTTCTATGCGATTGATGAAGAAAAGAAACAATTTTTGGTCAATTTCGCTACCTATATGGCCGAATGTATGCCTAAATATGTTGAAAAAATGCAAATAACTCATACAGGAGAGTTGGAAATTATGGTTTGTCCTGAAGGAATTGTCACTGTAATGGCTTTTCTCAAAGATAATCATTCTGCTCAATTTACAAATTTGGTTGACATTGCTGGCGTCGATATTCCATGTCGCAAGAATCGTTTTGAGATAGTTTATAATCTCCTTTCATTGCGATATAATGCACGTATTCGTGTTAAAACTTATACGGATGAATTGACACCAATCGATTCGATTTGTTCAGTATTCAATGCTGCAAATTGGTATGAAAGAGAAGTGTACGATATGTTCGGTGTTATTTTTTATAACCATCCTGATCTAAGGCGTATTCTAACCGATTATGGTTTTGAAGGATATCCGTTTCGTAAAGATTTCCCTCTATCTGGCTTTGTTGAGGTAAAATATATTGTCTTATTAAGTTTTTTTTTCAAAATATTTATCTCTTGTTTACATTTTTTAGTATCGTTACGATGATGATAAAAGACGTATAGTAATCGAACCATTGGAATTGGCACAAGAATTTAGAAAATTTGAATTACAATCACCATGGGAAACATTTCCTGCATTTAGAGAGACATCACCAGTGCAAGAAATTCCTTTACCAAATGCCAATGATGATAAAAAATAAGAATAAACTTTGAATAAGTAGAAAATAAAGAAAAATTTATTCATGTTGATTTATTAATATTAAATTAGTTACGATTTTGTTCAGTTCATTTTTAAATTTTTGATGATTGAATTTTTCAATCACATGATCATGACCTTTTGCACCCATCTGATTGGAAAGAGTTTTATTTTCAATAAATCGATGCATTGCTTCGGCAAATGATTCGGGCGAATTAGGTTGACATAAGAATCCGGTCTCATTATTAATGATTGTTTCACGTGGTCCACCACTGTTAGCTGCAATTACTGGACGACTCATATACATTGCTTCTAATGGTACAATACCGAAATGTTCGTTTTCAGGCGTATAAATAACAGCTGTACATCTTTGAAAAAGAAATTGCTTTTGTTCATTGGTCAGATTTTTCATGAATGTAACATGAGGTTTAATTCGTAATCTTTTTGCTAATTGATTTAATTCTTCAGCATATTCAAGATTTTCTATATTTTGGAGATCATATCCACCGGCAATAATTAAATGTATTAAAGATCGATCTTTTTCTTCTACGTAATTAAATTTATCATAAAGAGCTTTCAATGCTTCAATTGCAAGTTCAATGTTTTTCTTTTTTTCATAACGATTGATCGAAAGAAAAACTGCATCCATATTTTTCAGTTTAGTATTCAAAGTACTAGGTATTTTTTCTGGAATCGATTTGTTGAAATTAACACTGGGATAAAGAACTTTTGTTGATATGTTGGATAATGATTTGAATGTTCTATGAAATACTTCATCGGTGAAATAAGAATTGACCAAAATCATGTCCGAATAACCAATGGCCCATTCTTCGAAAAAATCAATAGGAAAACGATAAATTTTCTTTAAAAAAGAATCATGTTTAGATAAAAGTTGATCAGGAAAATGGCAATAAAAAAGGCATTTATGTTTGAAAGCTTTCAATATTGGAACACCACTTGGAACCTGATCACAGATGATCAAATCAAAACGATAATTTAGAATTAAATAGATGGTCAAGTAAATCATGCGTATATATGCCCAAAAAGCCATAAACGATCCGAATGTAGATCGTGGTATCCAATCACCAGCAGTGATCACAGGTATCTGACCATTATTGGTTTCTTCAAAACAATGATCTCGATTATGATGAGAAGTGAATATGATTACTGAATGGCCACAATCTTTTAGAGCCAAAGCCAGATCAACAATCAATCTTTCGGCCCCACCAATTCCAAGGTCCGGATGAAGAAACGCAATCGAAGACATTGGAATTGAAGGATGTAAAATTAAATCACGAAACACGTCAGATCTTCTTTATAATGTCTATTTGAACCTAAGGTAGACGAATGATAAAATTTTTATTTTTGAGTTATCAAATGCAGATGATTTTCAAAAAATTAAAAAATTAGCAATTACCTCGCCCTTTTAAAGTATCAGATTTTTTTTTTGATGAATTATTGCAAAAAATGGACCATGATGATGTACTATTGCCGACAACATGTGTTCGTCTATTGAATGATAAATTATTTGATAAAAAAAAGACAGCATGTCGGGAGATTGAGATGTAAGTTTGAAAAGATTTCATTTGAAAAAAATAAATAGATAATAATATGTTTCGGTTTCAAAAATAAAATCATAGAATGGCAAAAGAATTTAATACACAAGGCAAGACCAAGCAGATAAGAAAATTGATCAGATATTTAGTAGAAAATTTCATCGATAATTCGGCGGTTAATTCAAAAATTGGCGGACTAATTGCTGTATCTTCGGTAGCTATTGCTCTGGATACGAATGCTAAATTATATTTAGATGATATTGTAAAATCTATCTGTACTTGTACGTATGATAATCAACGTGATGTAAAGTATCGAGCTTTAGAATCATTGTACAATGTTGCCAAAAGTGTTCGCAGTGAAATCCTTGTATATCTTGATACTATTTTCAATATAATCATCCGTTTGGGAGAAGATGGTGATGCTAGTATTCGAGAGGCATCATTATTAATGGATAAATTGCTCAAAGATATTGTGATTGAAAATCCATGTTTTGATATACCAAGTTTTGTTGGTTTAATTCGCGAAAAAATATATGTACTAACACCGAATGCAAGAAAATTGATTCTTTCATGGATCAGTTTTTTAGATAGCTTACCAGATATTGATCTACTAGTATTCATTGAAGATATTCTTGATGGTTTATTAGAAATTGCATGCGATCCAAATTTAGACATTCGACGTACAGCGGAAAATATTCTTGAAGAATTTTTTGTCAAACTTCAAAACGATCCAAAATCAATCGAATTCAAATCGTTGATAAAAATAATTTTGATACATGTTCAAAAAGATAGTCAATTAGTGCAAAACATATCATTAAAATGGTTAAATCAGTTTATTATGTTGGGAAACAAAAACGATTTATTACATAATTCGCCACATATTTTAGGTGTGATTTTGCCTTGTTTTTCTTATCCTCGTGCCGAAAATGAAGAATATGATACGGATAATTTTCAGAAAAAAAACACCGATCTAGCAAAATCAATCAACGAAAATTTAATGAATTTGGTCACCAATGTTAAATCATGCGTTCCTACAAGAGAAACTGGTGATGAAAATTTAGAAAAAGATCAAAACGATGAACCGTTCAAGATTTCGAAAATATTAATAGTTTTATTGAATGAATTAGAACTAGGCTCAAAAACATCACCACAAACCAAAATTGCCATTCTTGAATGGATTTATCAGATTTATGATCATTTGAAAATCGAAATCGATGAACATTTAGAGGATAAACTATTTAAAATTTTGCTTACAACATTGTACGATTCATCCGATGATGTTGTATTACTTGATCTAAAGGTATTCTGTCGAATCATTTTCAAATACTCTAATGAAGTGAATGAAAAAGAAAATTATCGTAAATTAATCAAACCTTTGATTGATTTATTTCATAAAAATCCAACCATTCTTCAAAATCGTGGATCATTCATAATCTGTCGTCTATGCCATAATTTAGATGCTCAACAGGTGTATATTACATTTTCAGATATTCTATTAGAATATGATCATAAATATATCTGTTCTATGGTTTCCATTCTAAATACAATTTTATTAATATCAAAAGAATTAACTTCAGTTCGAAATGATTTAAAAAACATGAAATCAATAGAGTCAAAATCATCATCAGCATATATGTTGTTTGATTTTCTTTATAAAACCTGGTGCTATTCATCAGTATCGGCCATATCATTATGTTTTCTAACTAAACGCTATAAACTAGCCTCGGAGCTGATTTTACATTTTGGCAACATTAACATTGATATTGATATCCTTTTGGAAATAGATCAACTAATTCAGATGCTTGAGTCACCTATATTTACTTGTAAGTGTACTGTTGTGGCATCATATTGATTAAAAAAAAAATTTTAATTACAGCATTACGACTCGATCTTCTTGAACCTAACAATAATTATTATCTTCGTAAAAGTTTATATGGTTTGTTGATGTTATTACCTCAAAGCGAAGCATTTCATTTATTACGAAAACGGCTACAATGTATACCAGATTTTCCTTCATTCGAAAGTAAAATGTATGGTCATTTTCTACTATTTTTTACAATGATCAATTTTTCATCATAAATCTTTTTTCTTTTTCTTTTCTTTCCTTTTAAATTGATTAGGTCATCGAAAACGGATGAGAAAATTTTCGTTCATGATCAAAGCGATATTGACAAAGATTTTGCTCAAAAGCTTAAATATTTTATCGATATACAACAATCTTTGGATAATAATAATTCGAATTCTTCATTGATTCCCACACAACAACCACAATCAACATCATCATCATCATCAACATTATCGGCTGCTGGTGTCAATCATAATTGATAATAAATGATAAAAGTTGTTCTAATTTATCTGTGGCTCATAGCTTTTGTCTTATATTTTTTTTCAATGTTAAAACTGTATGGACATTTTTTTTTATTTATTTATTTGCTTGATTGAAGTTGGTTATCATAGTTTGAAACTCATTGTTCATTGTGTGATTACACAATGCCATCAAACAAACAAACAAAAAAAAAAGATGCAAAGTAAAAAAAAAATGAGGAAAGCACTTTGAATGTCACGATTTTCTGATTTGTTCATTCAATGAATCCACCAAAATTATTTAAAAGAGTCAACATCATGGTTATATAATATGCAAAGTTTTCAACGTCATTCATTTAGTCTAATTTTTAAATTCATCAAAAAATTGGAGAGAAAAAAAAACCAAACGGAAAAAAATAAAATTGCCAACTGTAATTACCAATTATTACCAACAACCATTATGATCTAATGTATTGTTGATTTTATATCCTTATTATAATAAAATTTTCATAATTTGAAATTAACTGATCACATTTCCAGTGTGTGTGTATGTAGATGTTTGGGCGCCTATTTATCCAGGTTTTTTTTTCTTGATTGACAGTTTAAGAATCTTTTGATTTTTCGACTCCTTTTTTTCAGCTTGTGTTTGTTGTATACAACATTAATCATCGATTTTTAAGAAATGTTAAAAGCTTAATCTTTGGCTTCCGAACATGGTTGAGTAGAGAAATGTTTTGAGAAGAAAGGAAGCAACAAGTTTTCGTTCATCAAATGACATGACTTTTTTTTTAAAACGAAACAAACGATTGTTGTCTGTAATATCAACAATAGAATGGCTTTGTTATTGTTGTTTGAGATTAAGAACTAAAGAGAATTGTAATTTGAACAACAACAACAAAAACGAACAAAGAAATGAAAAAAAAGGAGTTACAGAAAAAGTCGTTGGTTTGGTTGGTGTCCAAGAAACCAAGAATCGTCAAACAAAAAAAAAACAAGAAAAACAAACACACCATTCGCACAGACGCACGCTCAAGAACAAATATGATCAAAGCTTCTTTTCGGTTTTTTCCGTTAATGACAAGTTGTATTTCTGGTAAATCTTGTCGAAATTTGTTTGATTCGTATTCGTATATTCTTCATGTCTGTCACCTTTGGCATCAACTTGTTGAGTGGTGAAAAACTCGAATCAAAAGTTTACTCAACTTTGTTCTGCATTGATTTTCTTTTGTCGTTGTCGTCGTCGTTGTTGTTGATAATTTTTATTGATATTTTCTTATTTTTTTTCATTTGTGGTTTGCCAATCATCAAAATCAAATAACCAAAAAACGAAAAAAAATCCTGTAACCTTCATTGAATCAAAGAGATTCAAAAAACACAACCATTTGACATTCATTGCAACAAGTTTTCTCAACAACAAAAAAAAAATCCACTTTATAAAATTTTCAGTTTTCAAATTTCATTGTTTTTATATATGAAAATTTCATTTCATACGGTTCATTTGATTTATTTTTGAAAAAAAAATTTTTTGAGTGTTTTTTCATAACGAAAATCCAATCCAATTGTGTTTCATTTTCATTTTCGATTATTCTGAATTTCTCCCCAATTTGATTTGGCCAATTATGTTTTGGGTGCCAAGCAAGCCAAAAAAAAAATAATCCTTGATTCGCCTATGTTGAAACAAATGAAATTTCTCTGCTGTTGTGCTGTGTGTTTTCTCTTTTTCATTGACAATTTTCATGTCCATCATCATCATCATCATCATCATCAAATATGATAATCATTTTATATAATAGCCCGGGAGTGAACAAGAAAAAACAAAAAACAAAAAAAAATTTTCCCCACAAACATTCATTCATTACATACATTTGGCCAGACTAATTTGGCCAAATTAGCTTTTTTTGATAAAACATACACACACACCACCAACACGTTCATCATTATCAACTCCCGACATCAAATACTGCTGAATACTGTTGATGAATGGATGAACTTATAAGGATTCAAAAAAAAGATACCGAAAAACTCTTTTCATCATTCATTTCTCTATACAAGCAAAAAATTTGTAAGTTTTGTTGTTCTTCCTTATCATGAAATCATTCTAATCATCAATATTATTATTAACTGAATAAAAAACAATTTTACAACAACAACAAAAAAAAGTTAATTAACAACTTTGCCCATTATCCATAATGTTCGTGTGTTATGTTTTTTTTAAAAAAAAAATTCAATTAAACCAACAACATTTAGATGGCTATCTTTGTGCTGATTTGATTATCTAAATAAATGAATAAATGAATAGCTAATTTCAATCATAATCATCAACACTATATGATTATGATTTTTTTTGATTATTTAAAAATCAGCCATTTCATTAATGATTCTTCTTTTTCCCATTTGCTTAATCATGATGATCATTATCATCAAACAAAAATCCTATGTGTAAATCAATCAATGTTCCAAATGATTGAAACAAACTTGCTAATGTTTGTTTGTTTGTTTGATCTTTTGTTTTGTTTTGAACCAAAAAAATAATCATGTTTTGATTTCCAACAAACCAGATACACAAATTCACATCATCGACGACCTCGATTATCCCATTTTGTTTTCTCTTCCCATCATCATCATCATCCTTGTCGCCGTTTGTCTGAGCCAAAGTTTTCAATAAATTCAAGTCTATCCGCGTGACTCTTTTCCTCGATTTTTTTCTTTTTCGGTGTTTTTCTTGGATGGCTCTTTTTTGTTGTTGATTTTTTTCTCTTTCTCAGTTTTTTTCCTGAATGAATGAATGAATGAGATATGACTTGAATTGATATTTTTCATTCATTCATTCATTGATGACAGTAATGGATAGGAGTTGGTTCGGAAATATATCAGTGAAAAATCAAAGTTCATATAACGGCAATAAAAAAAAAGTTTTTATAAAGTCGTGCTGCATATGGATGTGTTTTATGGTAAACTTTTTTAAACATCAAAACAACCCATAAGCATCTTTAAAAGTTTATCCTCTCCATTCTGTTATTATTATTATTATTATTATTGCCAACAATAACAGTAAAGAAAAAAACATCATTTTGTCCCATCATTTCAAACTACAACATCATCATTTCAACAGCCATTTTAACATCGTCGTCGTTCGGGTTTTCAAAGTGTTTTTTCTTTGAATAGATTTTCAATGTGTGTGTTTGCATGTGTGACAGACGAATTTGAGCCAAGACAGATGAAGAAAAACCAAACCCAATGATATGGATATGTCACCATTCAGTTTTTTGAAGAAAATTTATTATCATCATCATCATCATTTATAGTTTTTTGGGATGTTATGTATGTTATGCTGGTGAAAACATCAATTTATTTTTCGTTGAAAAATCTAGATATCGACATTCATCATAGTGAAATGAATTTCATTTAAAAAAGTTTCCATTTTTCAAATTTATTTGATTTTCGTTGTTTAGTCGTTTTTTTTTCGTTTCTCGCCGTTAATCAATTTCGACAACAATCCACTCGAATCGTAAGTTTCTTGCTTTCTATTTCACTAATTCAATATTCATAAAACGACCGATGAAGAAAAATTAACCTTTTCTGCTGTTCATAAAACAACAAACCTTTTTTTGCTTTTTAAATTATGCAAATTTTTTCATTACAAATTTCAATTATTTCTTTTTCGTCAAAAACAACTTGTTGCCAATGTTCATTTATTGTTTATTCTTGTCAGGGGAAAACTATGATGATTATGTAACAATTCAGAATCGTGTCATGTTCATTATTTATTGTCCAAAAGAAAAGAAAAGAAGAAAAACTTTGGCTAATTTGGTTCAAATTTCAATTATATTTTTCTCTAATCATAATAATAATCAATTGTTATGTTCGATCAAAAAGAAATGAGAATGAGAATTGAAGCCTTGAGTGTTGGCCATGTCAATCAATTTTTATCTATTGAAAAAAATGAAATTAATAATAATTTTCGCCCATCTTGGTGAATTGGTGATGTTTTCTTTTCTTTCTTCTTTCGTTGTTGTTAATTCAAGAGCCAAATATAAATGATGAATGTGAATGAAAATTCACAATATACTTTATATTGATTGATATTCAGATCAGAAAATGTTGAGGATTCAATTTTTTCTTCTGAATTGTTGACATAGCAAACAATCGAATCGAATTGAAATAATTTTTTTTTTCAAAATTGATCTATTTTTAAATTTTCATAATCGTTATTTTCACATGAGATCCACATTGAAAAACCGATTAAATGCAAATTAAATTAAGCCAAATGGAATGCAAACAATTATTAATCGATGAATTTTTTTAGCAAACAAAAATGTTAATTAAAACAAGATTAACCATGATGATGATGATGATGATAAGTGGAAAACATTTTGGTATTGTTTTGTTTGATTTTCAAGATTGATTTTTTTTTGTATTTTTTAAAATAAATAAAAACAAAAACAGAAGCTTTCTAGAAGATATGCAAATGAATCTTTTGATTTCCTATGACCATTATTATCATTAGTTTCTATTAATAACTTTTAATAAGAAGAGAGTAAGCCATAACTTCAAACATAACCGAAAAAAAATTTTTGTCGTATTTTCTTTCTATCACTTCTCTTTCACTAAGAAAAGATTTCGGTGGTCATAATTTTGATCCATCAACGATCATCATTGATCGAATGACCACAACTTATTATTCAATGAATATTTCATTCATAGTGAAATCCTCATCATTATCATTTTTTTTTTGTTGATGCTCTGAATTTCAAACGCTTGATTTGTTTGTTCTTATTATATATAATCAGATTCGGTTTTTTTCCTTCTTCTTCTCCTTAACCGATATTATTGCTGCTGCTGATGTACGGATTTTGTTTATTAAGATAAATTATTTGTCTAATATTTATCGAACGGACCTCAATGATGATGATGATGATCATCAATCATTTTTTGAAACAAAAATTTGAATAAGATTTGTAATTTATGTTTGTTTTTTTTTCTCTGCCATTTTTTTCAACCAACCAACCAACCAACCGACTTGTAGATCCATATGAATAAAAATTCAACCAGAAATTTGGCAATCAATCATTGAACATATATTTTTATCCAGAAAAGTGATAAAGAAAAAAAATTATCACTAAAATTTAATTTCAATTCGGTTTTTGGTGGAAGAAAAAACAAAAACAATTTACAACAACAACAAAACGCTTATGATGGATACGACAACAACAACAACAACAAATGTCGATCATCGTGATGGCAATGCATTAGGTGGCCTATTTCAGAATATTATCGTCGATCTAAGGGTAAATAGTGAATTTATTTTCTTTTGCTTTAAAAATTTCATTTCCATTCTAGTTTTTTTACCTTATTTTTTTTTGTTGATTGATTGATCATCATCATCACAATTGGAGTCTTTCTTGTTCTTGTTGTGTTATTCGATCGAAAAAACATAATAATTACTATGGTTTACTATTTTCGATTTAGAAACCAAAAAAGAAAAAAAAACCTTTTAAGGAAAAGGATTCGCGATGATCAACATTCAATTCAAGTGATTAAATGAAACATATCGCACACATGGATATTGTGAAACTTTTTACCTGTTGTTTCTCTTTTGTGTCCATAACATCAAAATAGTCGAATACATAGATATATGGTGAATATAGCCAAAGAACACACTATTTTTTTTTTCAATTCAAAAATCCGAATTTATTTTTCATTATTGTTACCGAAATGGAATCAAATCAACAAAAAAATGTTAAAATCTTTTCATCATTTTTTTGTGTGTGTGTGAATAATGATAAAATAGGGATTGTTAGCCAACAAAAAATTTATTTAATAAAACGAACAATTTTTCTTTCAAATATTCAGCTGTATTCAACAAAGATGAAACCGTGTCAGATGGAGGTCACATTACTTACTTTTTTTCTGTTTGTTTGTCGGGATATTTATCTTTTCTCACCCGAGAAAAAAATAAACCATCATTTTTGTCTAATGTGTCTGTGGTTTTTTAAATCCGAATATGAAATAAATGATAATGATAATCAGTCATTCGCTTTTTCTCCATTCTCTTCATTGGGTTAGATTACCAGGCCCAAATCTGGCAGAATATTTACGGTTATACAACTCTTGTTTTCTTTTTTCTTACTTTTCTTACTTTTTTTGTTTTGTTGAATATATTTTCGTAATTTCAAATGGCGACTATCTTTAGAAAATTGAATTCATTCCAAAAACAACAACAACAACAACAACATTATATAATATTTTGACTACTTTCACCTCACATAAACATATTAGTGATGATATTTGCAATTTTTCGCTCCTTAAAATTGATGTTCATTATGTTGATAATGATGATGATAGCCATCATCATCATCATAATCATCATTATCAACAACATCATGAATTCATTTCAATTTCTTTTTTCTGCTCTAGATTATTTTTCCGCTTGTTTCAATCAAAATTTGTTGATTTTTTTTGTTTTGTTTTTGTTAAAATATTCCATATAGAATGGCGCCAACAATTGGGATGATCTATTATTAAAAGCTAACAAGTTTCATCTACAGTTAAAGTAAAATTGTCATTATTTTCAAACAGATTGATGGTGTATCATCATTATGGTTGTTTTTCTCTTCTTTTTGCTTTTAGATTAACCATTAGTTCGTCTACAGCATTTTTGGATGCCTTCCAGAAAATTGCCGACATGGCTACAACAACCCGAGGTACGTTTTTTTTTCTTCTTCATGATTGATCTGTCGTTGAAAATCGAAATTGTTGTTATTCATCGGTGATCGTTTTCTTTTTAAATAATTTTTTTTTATAAATCATCATCATTATAATTGTTCACAACAGGAGGAACCAAGGAAATTGGAAGTGCATTAACAAGATTGTGTCTAAGAAATCGTTCGGTCGAAGCTAAACTAAAATCATTGACTAGTTCATTATTCGATAGTTTTATTTCACCATTACAGGATCGTGTTGATGAATGGAAAAAAATTATTTCACAAATCGATAAGGAACATAGTAAAGAAATAAAAAGGCTTAAACAATTCCGTAAAAAACATTCATCTGAAATGCGTGTTACATCGGCATTTGCTAACAATACGTTCAGGATGAGGAAACATTTACCACGAGGTAAATTGAAGAACGATTTCCCACGTATTGGTTCCATGTATGATGTGGACAAGATTATTGAATCGGTTGATTGTAATAATAAGGAAAAATATTTTATGCTCGAAGAAGTTGAAAGAAACTATGTACGACGTGCATTGATTGAAGAACGTTTACATTATTGTGTTTTTTTCAATCTTTTACGGCCAGTCATTGAAGAAGAGTTATCAATGTTACAAGAAATAATCCATTTAGAAGAAATTCTCACCACATTGACTAGCCTAACTAATGATCCACATAAATTACCTACATCAAGTGAAAATTTTATACATAGTTTACAATTTAACGATTCAATTGTTCCAATATTGGAATCAACTTATTCAGATTATGGTTCTCATCATAATCAACATCATCATTCAAGAAAATCAAGTATATCTTCTATGGATAGTTTGAACACTTTATCAACTGATAGTGTTTCATTTAGAAATGTAAAATCATTATCACAGGTAATTTTGAATTTTATTTTCAATTTTTGATTTTGATTATAATCAATTTTTCAAATTGACAGCCAAATATTATACCTGGTTTTAGACCAAAAAGCATCGCCTCACAGGATTCAGGTTTTTTATCACACGATTATAATATTCCCAACATAGGACGTTTGGTTATCTATAATGGTGTCAATAAAATTGACAAAAATTTGAATGTAAGTCATCACTGTGTAGAGATTTTTTTTAAATTAATTGTTTTCTTTTCTTTTTCTACAGTCTGTTGATAAAGATCGTATCTGTTTGATGAATGGTAAATCAATTCTATGTTCATCAACAACAACAACAACAACAATCGAATCGAATGATAATAAAGAAATTGAAGAAAAAATAGAATATGCAACAAGTGCACCATTATATCAATCAAATAATATTTGTTCACAACCAATATATGTTAATGTTCATAATGATAATAATAATGGCTATGATAGAACAAGATTTTCATCAGAAGGTTCATTGACGCCCACTAATCATAATCATGATATTCATCCGATTGATAATAGTAATTATAGCAAATATTTTACAAACAATGTTAACAATTCAAACAATTTACAACAACAAACAAACGTTGAATCCAATCAACAAACATACAAAAAACCAATACCACCGAAACCACCTTTACGTCATAGTTCTAAATTATCTACAAAATATATGACGCCTGATACAAATAAAAGATCGACATTAATTTTTGTAAAAAATACAGAAAATTCGGATTTTCCACCACCACCACCGGAAGCATTCATCAGGCCGCCAGCAGCAGCAGCAGCTGAACAATGTGAAAAAATTAATGATAATCTTTGTTGTCGTTATTCAGTACCAAACAGACATCTAGTTTTTTGTGATAATAAAGAATGTCTAAAAGATTATAATCAAACAATTAGACAAACATATGTACCACCGGCAATTTATCATAGTACATCGATGATGAATTCAAATCAACAACAGCAATCATCATCAGCAATTGGCCAGGATTCTTCATTAACAATTCAAGGATATCATAAAGATAATGATACTCAATATGACAATAATAATCATCATCATCATCATTATCAAAGTTCAATTAATCTATCCAAAAATCATTGATAAAGAAATTTTTTAATTTCATTTTTTTTTTTTTGTTTGACTAGTCAATAAGCGCTCATTTTTTCTCATTGTTATAAGATTATTAGTTGTAAAATCAATTTTTGAATAAAAATTTTTCTGTTTCCAAAAAAAAAACAAATTATGAATTTTTAAATTATTGATCTTTCTGTCCTGCAGATTTTTGATTCAGATCAAATTACTGGTCTTCTTTTTTTTTCCAAATATGAAATCAAATATGTTATGCTGAAATTGTTATCGTACCATTTCGAAACCAATTGTATGATATTTTTAACGAATATGAAAAGGCAATCATTGCAAGAAAACCAAGAATCTATTTTTTCCAAAAACATAAACATTGAATTTTTTGAACTTGTTTTTTTTGTTGAGAAACTTACACCTGCAATAATATAAGCAATTTGTGGTCCATGGTCACAACTGGCAAATATGATAAAAAATGATGCAATCAACCAAAGAATCAATGCGACCACTTCATTGGCCATCAACTATATAAAAAAATAATGATAATTAAGAATAACTGAAAAAATTATGAAATTTATAAAAATTTACCGTCAAAGGTAGATTAATATATTGTTCAAGTTGTCGATAGAAACGTGTAATAAATATAATTATTACTAATATAGAAAATATTAGACAATACGAAGCAATGAATACATAAAAATTTACACTACGTAAAAATTTACAACGAGGTATTTCGATGACAATCAAACTTAGTAATGAAATAACCTATATTATATTCCAAAATGATAATAAAATGATTAGAAAATTCAACGCAAAAATAAACAAAAAAAAACATACAAATTGACAAATTCGAACCAGACCAATTTTTGTTGAAATAAATTCCGTATCAAAAAATGCTTCTTCAGTTGTATAAGTTATTTCAGCCATTTTGAATTTGTGAATTTGTTTTTTTTTTCAATCAAAATCTTTTCTATGATCAAATGAATGAATACCAGAAAAAAAATCGAATGGTCATTTTATAAATGAAAATAAAAACTTGTTACAAGTTTTTGTTATACAGCAAACAAACATTGTCGCCTTTTATGGTCATTTAAGGACCTATACACTTACCTATAGGTATATCGCGCTTTAAGATGTTTGGTAACAATGATGATGATTCGAATGAAATTTTTCTCTACTTCTTCTTTTTCACTTGGCGTTGATTTTGCTTTTTTGGCTAAAATGATTCTTAAGTCATTTTATTGTATGAAAAAATGGGCTGAGAAAATTGAGCGAGAAAGAGAGAGAGAGAAAATGAAAAGTTTGAAGAAATAGAAAACTTTGAATTCAGTTCAGTCATTCACAAAAATAAATAAGAATGAAAAACATTTTTTTTTCTCAACTTTCTCAGTTTTTAATCGTATAAACAAATTCACAATATACATCATCAATGATGATAATTGTGTTATGAATTGTCTATTTATAGAGAGATGTCATAGATCGGTGGTTGTTCTCCATCATCATCATCATCAAAGAAATATTTTTATTCTGTCCTAAATCTTAGTCAGAATTTGTTTTCAACCAAAAAAAAAACGTTGTTTAGACAAACAACTATTCCACGGGATATTCACATTTAAACTTTTTCATAATTCTGTTGATAGTAATTCTCTCTGGGTGTGTGTGCTCAAGACCAACATGAAAGTTTTTTTCTGATAATAATGATGTAATTGATAAAATAAAGTAGTCTAATTTTGGATTTTTTTTCTTCTAAAATTTTAAAAATTCTGGTCAATAAGCTGTCAACAACAACAAACGAATTTGCGAATGTCATTCGTTGGATAAAATGCCATTAAAAAATGGTTAAAATTAGAACCAGTGACGATCATCAAACGAGCTTACAACCAAAAGCAGCTCGTTTGACTTACGCGTGCCAAACACTCTTGGTTGGCCATTCTCTTCTTGTTCTTCTTCAAACAACCATATGCTCGATTGTTCGAATGACAATTATACAATTCCAGTAAAAATTTTCATTTTATTTGCATTAACAATGAATAATAAATAATATTCAGTGATCAAAATTAAATTAAATTTATACAAAAATAAATTGTAACTGTAAAAAATAAATTAAAAAAAAAACAAAAAGTTTTATGAATCGAAATCATCATCAATCATCGATGATTCTGATTCGGAAGCATTTTTTGATTATGATGATTGTGTTGATGATGATAATGAAGATTGTTTGTTCGTTTATGTTCTTGTTGATGACGTAAACATGATGATTCTTCATGTTTATAAAGATAACTTTTTAATGCAAATGTTTTTCCACAACGTTTACAAACAAATGGTTTGGTCATCGAATGTGTTTGAACATGTGCACGTAGATTACTATTATTTCAAGTAAAAAAAAAGGAATTTTATTTAGATTTTCGTTTTTTTAAAAAAATTGATCATTTTGATCTTACCTTTTATCGGCAAATGCTTTATTACAGATATGACATTTGAATGGTTTTTCACCGGTATGTGTACGGATATGTCCTTGTAATAACCATGGTCTACTAAAACATTTACCACAAAAATGACAACGACAACCTTGTGTATGTGTACGAACATGCATTGAATAAGCCGGCATTGATACATAAATTTTATCACAATATGGACAAATACGTGCTTTTTTATCATTAACACTACGATGTGTTTGTCTATGACGTGTTAAATTTGATGATGTACTATAACTTTTACCACAATCCAAACAGGAATGAATTTCATTACCATTATTATCATTATCATTATCATCATCTTTATTATTATCATTGTCGACTATATTAACCTTGTTTGTTATAACAGTATTATTAGTATTTGTTGTTGTTTCCGAAAAATTCAATATCACCTGTTGGAATTATCAATAATTAAATGATAAGGAAAATTGTAATTGTAATCATTTCAACTTACTTTTAAATTAGATTTGGTTAATTCAATTGTTGATGGTTGCGGGGATTTCAATGATCCCGGTTGTTTACAGTTTTTATTCGAATCTTTTTCATTATTAACAGAATTTTTCGATTCCAAATTAATCTTATGATCAGCATTTTTATTTTCATTTATAGATAATTTTGAATTGAATTTTAATTTTTCATAATTAAATGAACAACGACCATAACGTTTATTAGTGATCAAAAATGATCTAGGCATTATAAACGATAAAGAAGAAGATTTATAAAACAGAATTTTATTTCAAAAACAACAGGAAAAAAACGATATTGATCAATTCCAATCACAAAGTTTTCATGATTAATCAAAAATGAATATTTTTTTTATTACAACAAACAAAAATGAAATGAAAAAGGATCTTTCCAAGAATTTTCTATTCGCTCAATACAATACTGAAGATATGAATAAGAATTTAACAATTTTTGTTTGTTTGTTTGAATATATAAAAGATTTAAAGTATGCAAACTGTTGCATATTTCTAAAATTAACTAATTTTTTTTTTGAATCTGGTACGCTGGGTGGCTGTTTTCTACTTCTTCTTCTTCATTTCAGTATTTGAAATAGTTTTTTTCGAGGTTTGATGGATTTAGATTTTACATACACACACATAACGTAAATACAGACAACTTGAATACAAAACAACGCAAAACAAAATCTTTGCCAACAAAAACCAAATGCAAAAAGAAAAAGTGAAAACCACCCCCCAAAAAGAAAAAGCTAAATTCATTATGATGGATATAAATATAAAATAAAGAAACAATTTTCCCCGTCCAGATGATACATGGATGATCCAGATGATCACATCATACATTTTTGAAAATGATATCCCCTTAACACTTAGTTTATGATGTATCCATTGATCTTTTGCCTTTTGTTTCATATATTTGTNAAAACAACGCAAAACAAAATCTTTGCCAACAAAAACCAAATGCAAAAAGAAAAAGTGAAAACCACCCCCAAAAAGAAAATGCTAAATTCATTATGTGATGATATAAATAAAATAAAGAAACAATTTTTTTTTCTCGTCCAGATGATACACGGATGATCCAGATGATCATATCATACATTTTTGAAAATGATATCCCCTTAACACTTAGTTTATGATGTATTCATTGATCTTTTGCCTTTTGTTTCATATATTGTATATAAGAATCGCTTAAACGTCAAACACGTGAATAATCATTCATGTTTGTTTCGAATAATAAACCATTTCGATATTGACAAGTGGTTATTTTAGGAAATATTGTATCATCATTGTTGATTTTTTTTTCACCAGTAGCACACTGTCACAAATGTAATTTACTGCAAAGACAGCATACCCACCCACCCACATGCATCAAAATGGATAAGGAATTTTTGTATGTTTTTAGCATCTTGTCATCAGTGTTCGTTGTCCATATGGCTTTTTCTTTCTTTTCCTTGACTGATGAACATTTCCAACAAAAAAAAAAAAAGATCAAAGTTCATTCGTATAGGAATATTTACAGTTTTTTT